GGCAAGCTGGCGGGAAAGCAACGAGATGGGCCGTGCCGGGATGAGTGACTAGGTGAGAGCGTCTGGAGAACGTGGGCGCCCACCGGCCAACCAATTGGCGCTGTAAGCAACCGAGCTGGGCGCGCTTGCGATTGTATACGTCGTCGGGGTGGCACCAAGGTTGTTCTCACCCAGGAGCGTGAGCTACACGAGACGACATATGGTCTCGGAGGTGGAAGTCGTACAGACCAAGACCTGCGGTGCAACGAACGACCCTGTATCCTCGCCGTGACGACCGACGATCCAGCGACGTCGCTTCTCGCCAGCCCGAGGAGGAGATCTTCCGATTTGCAGTCCACAAATCTCCCTGGTGCGCTGTCCCGGACGGCAGCCTATCCGGACCGTAGGGTAGGCATCAGATGAGATGGCGAGAAAGAGAGAGAGGGAGAGGGAGAGACAGGCCTGCAGGCCATCTGCAGCCAGGAGTCGGGAGCAATCAAAGTCGCAGGACAGGCAAGGGAAACGGCACGGAATCGGTAGCATCTGCGTCTTTTCTGACTCCCGCTGGGCATTCCTGCGTCCTGTTGCGGCTGACGAGTGCACGTGTATTAGGATTCGCCCCGGGGGTCCAGAGAGATCATCTGTATGTACGCAGGTAAGCGGCACAGACGTGCCACGAGGTTTCTTCTCGCAGCTGGCTCAGCACACAGGGCCGTTGGTTGTCCGCACGCACATACACGCTCTAGTTCGGACGGAGGGCTGAAAACATGACCGCGAAGGAAAAAGATGGCAGGATGGGAGAAGCGGGATGGGTAATCCAGGAGGAATGGTGAGAAGAAAAAAAATCAAAAAAAAAAAAGAAAAAGAAAAAAGGACGGGAAGAGGAAGCGAAGCCTTCTTCCTCGGGTCGATCCCCAGCAGCGCAGCTCGCACCGGAATCCTTTCCACCTATCAGACAACAGGCAACCCGGCGTGGCCCTCGACCGAGATTATGCTTAGTAGGTAACGATATACCTAGACAACAAAAAGTAGAACGGCTCACCGCTACCGCTACCACTACCTGCAACGACGCGGTTCTGTTTCTGAGCCGTCCAGTCTTGTTTAGCAAGCGAGTTGACTCGCAGCGTCACCCCGAAGCGAAGGGCGAGCGTTGTCTCCGCCGAACGTTGGCCTTCCCTCCCGTTCCTCTTCTTCTGCCTTCAGTCTTTCGGCACTCTCGACAACGATGACAGCAAGATGATGACTCGAGCCAACCGGAAAAGCTGCAGCTGCAGCACCTGCCAAGCTGGCCCTGTCGATCCGCCAAACGGGCAGATTTCCAGATCCCTCGAGGTTATGGATACAAGGCAGCAGGGGAACATCGGAACCATGGCGCCGCGATTCCCTCTGCTTACTTCCCCGTCCCTGACTGACACATGGCATCATGTAATCGGTAACTTTGGCTCGAGCCTGCATCGGTGTACGCACATAGCTTGCGTGTAGTGTATGCGTATAAGTGAGTGAGGGAATCGACGCCACTCCTCCCCGTAATTGGCTGGGTAAGGGAGTGGTTCTCTGCTGCCATTCAAACTCGCCAGGGCCAAGGGGTGGGTTGTCCGGAGCTGAAGCGATATGTGACATTGCTCGGGATCTGACGCAGAATAAACCAGGAAGACGGAGTATAAGAGGCAGACAGACAGAGAGAGGGGCGGAGAGAGAGAGAGAGAGAGAGAGAGAGAGAGAGAAAAGAAGAGTCCTTGACGAAGCATGCTCACCCGCCCCAGTCGTCGGTGCCCCTTGCAGCGGCAACAGCAGCAGCACAGCCGGGTGAGTAAGTTGTAAGCAGTATTACCTTACCGGCCGGGGCCACCCTAGGATATCGTAACCAAGAATCCACATGTAAGAGAATTATCGCAGCAGCGTACAGAACGTCTAGTTTTACAGGCGGACCGCAACCAACTGCTGATCTTCTGTCCGTCATGGCAGGTTATTGCCATCTTCCTAGCCAGCTCACGAGGTTTTCCCCACTGGAGTTCTACCTCGTCTTGACCGTCGGTGCTACTGTTAGGACTGCGAGTGGTTTATTTATATCATGTTTCCCCACTCCCATCCCCTTTCATTCCCGTCGGAACGGAGCCGAGAGAAGTCTTTCTCTTTTCTTCATGGACAACGATCAGGACGAGGTTCCGATGGTGTCACTTGCCCCCCCCCCCCCTACTCTCCTCATACGCAACTCGGCCTCCTCGACTTGGTGTCACACGCATCTCGAGTTTGTTCGAGCAATCATCCCCGATCAGGGTCGTTTCGACAAATGCCAGAGAAGATCCTCAGCCATCTCACTCTCCACTACGTAGCATGTACACGCCTAGATGTGTGCACAGAGCGCCGGCAAACCCTGGCGGCGTGCCTTATCGCGGCCGTTGCTTGTTAATGCGCCCACCGGACTAGACTGGCTGGCACTTCGGTAAAGCCCGACAGCTTTCTCTCGGCGGTATTTCCTAGCCAACCATGGCGTACGGGCAGGTCTCGCTCTTCCGCAAGAGAAGCAACGCAACGGCGGCACGAAGAAGTAAAACCGAGTCCGGCGGATGCAACCCTGAGTCGACGTTATATAACCTTCGTGGCGACGAAGAAGAGGGGTTGTCATCCTGAAGGCGGATGGCTCGATGCTACGGTAGGCGAGTAGGTCACCCCGAGACTAATTAAAGAAATCGAGAGAGTTGCTCTCTGTATTTCCGGATAACCAAGTCGGCCGTGTGCGACCTCATGACGACGAAAACGCCTAGTTTCAAGTGCAGGACCACCCTCCGGAGAAGAGGAGGAGGCGCTGTGGTCCCGAAGTTGGCAGGGCGTTATTGTTCTCAATCCCGCACCTACACCCAGGTGAACAATATGGGCAATGATACCTCGCAGCACACCTTTCTTTCGCCGCTCTGCCCAAAGCCGAACATCACATGCGTCACTAAGGGGGGAGGTCCCCTGCATTGAGCTCGCAGCCCAGAACGCAGTTCGCGCCTCCGGTCCTTCGCCTCAACGGTAACTCTGCGCAGGAGAACTTCGAAAAGTCCGAATGGGGGCTTCCTTGGCTGCCTACTACTACTAATACACCATCGGTAATTCGATCGAAATCGATATGGTACCAGCATTCCTTGCGGCCTTCACGTGCGCCTGCAGCACCAAGACCGATTCGCAGGACGCTCGGCCCGCCGACGTCGTCGTGGGCCAGCGAGCCCACGCAAGCTTCTGCGGCGTCAAGCTCAATGATCGCCCCCCCGCCCGAAAAATTGGCTTCGGTGCGGCGGTGAGGGCGCAAGCAGAGACCAGCCTAGGCGCGACCACACAGTCGGTTGCATATACGCGGCGGCGCATGCACTATATTTCCGTCCGTCGGGACCGCGAGAAGACTTTTCGCGACGGCTAACCGAGGCGGGACGGTTTTCGCAGACGACGCCTTCGCAGCGCTATGGACATGGGTTGTTCCGAACGCCCCCCCCCCCCCCCCCCCCTCTCCCCCTTGTTCCTACCGCCGCCGTGGGACGATGCATGAAAGCCTTCAAGCACGATCTCGCTTGAGAATCGCGCCCCCAGAGGGCTGTCCGTGCTAAGCGAGGAGGGCGGGCCAGTTCGTCCTGCATTGCCCCCCCAAGCTTTCTCGCGTATCCGGCGTCCAGCAGTATCTGGGACCCGAGGGAGGGGCGACGACAGCACATCGTCAAGGGTATGCGTATGCTCTGGCCTCCCCAAGGTTCCGAACGTGCGCCTCTCGCAGGGTGAGACCGCCACAGCGAATTTCACCTCTCCCTGAATGACCTCCCTTTTTCCTCGCGGGAAAAGAGAGGCAGGAGGACGGGTTGGTCGTTCAAGTATCAACGGGCACGAGCTGGTCTATTTCACGCGGAATGCGCCTTAAGAACCATCGCGTCCGCTTAGAGGCGTCGGTTCATCGATGAGGATACAATACCAAGGGGCATGCCAACAACGCCGAAGGGCGTGGTGGATTTAAGGCCGGCGAGACGAGTGCTCTCCTCTCCCACGAGACATCCCAACGCAGCCGGGACGATGTGCGTAACGTCCATCTCGTTGATTGCTGTGCACAAAGACCCAGAGTGGCACCATTTTCATGCCCCCATCCCATCCCATCCCGTCCCGGGCATCTCGTTCAACAACAAGACGGTGACACCCGCGTCAAGTAGCCTAAGATCCAGCCCCAGGTTGCCGCCGTCCCTGCTTCTTTTTCCTTTGCCTCTTCTCCTCTCTTCTCTTCTCGCCCGTCCGCGCGATATATCTGTTGATGACACGTGCCGCCTACCCGCGGCCGCCTCATCCCGCACACGCTTGCCAATCAAACCCAGAGGAAACGGAGGCAACTCCAAGCATCGGGTTCCCCGCCATTTCCCGCGAAGCCGCGAGACTGGGTGAAGCCTGGAGCTTGTGGGCACACGCGCCGTGGCAGACACGCGCTGCCTGTCGATCCACGACCCAGCAAACGGCTCGAGGAACCATGCCACGACGGTCTTGCGGTAGCACTCGTCCTATTCACGTATCATTTACCGTAACGGAGGCCTGCGGATTTAAGCGCAGGCCGTGTAGATCTCGATCTACCTTTGTAACGGGTGCACGCTTGAGGGCGGGGGTTGGCGTGGGGCACATCTTGACTCTACACACACGGCTCTCTAAAGGGAGGAAAAATTCTGGCTAAATGGCTACTACTCATCGTCACGAAGCTCTACTATTCATCGTCGTAGGCCTAGTGAGGCGAGCCTGGTTGAAATTGCAGGGGGATTCATTACCACATAGCCATTTTAGGAGGAATAACAGCAGCCTTGACCCGGGCCGATGGGCATTGGGACCCTCTGGTCATTGTTGGTATTTTACGCTAGGTACGCTATGAGCAATATCGTAGCTACAGTTACGTGTAAATATATTTATATAGGTATATGGTGTGTTGGCACCTGCACCCGTATATATTTTCAGAATTAGTTCCGTGTCCCTCTCTCTGGGTGGTTTACCGTAACCCTCGGCATATTGAGATCCAGTCAGCACACACACACACACGCATCTGTATGAATATATATATGAACGTGTGCATCAATCCATACTATTCTATACACCAGATGTACACACGTATATTCGCACATGCACATCTGGGTGTGTGTGGAGTTGTGATATCGAGATGTAAAGAAGCCATTGGTTCTCTGTTGACTTGGCTGACTGGGGTTGTGCTGGGGCGACGGGGTTGGCCGGGTGACAGATGTCAACAAGTAGCTGTTCGCTTGGCCAGCATCCCTTTCTTCCACTTCTATCCAACCAACACTCGGAATTCAGCATTGCAGCCTGCACGTCTCATAACACATCTTCGCAAGCGTAACACGTCCTCAGAGTGACCGCCTTATCTGGGCGAGAGGTCTTCTTCAATCTCATCCGTTCCGCCCTGTGTTACCTCCTTCTTCTCCTCTCTCATCTCCTTTTCTCTTATCTTGAATGCCTCGAGTCCAGCCGGACGACGACCTCGAAATCAACATCGACCCATCCGGCCCAAGCTCCCCAATTTCCGAAGCGCTCCCGTTGCGGACCGACCGCCGACATAGCAAAAACCCGTCATTTCTCGGGCGAGAGGCTGCGCACCGCGAAAGACTCCGGCATAAGACAGGACACAGCTTCGGGGTCGCCTGCCATTGAGACAGCGTAGGATATCAGAACAAAGATGGCATCGGACAGCGGCCGCGACTCAGAGGTTCGCCCCAGCATAGAGCGAGACCTCCATGATGACATAGACGGTAAGGCAGCATCCAGCCGACCCTCGTCTCACAGGGTATCGGAACGAGCCGAAGCTCTAATGCAAGCAACAGCCCATGACGATGACAGGCATGAGGATCTGGGGGACGGCGGCTCGGTGCTAAGTGATAGGTCACACGATGATCACGACTATAGCGAAGAAGAGTATTTGCAGCCGGAGTACGAATCCGACCTGCCCCACGGCACCGCTACCTCCCCCGATGATGTCGGCGACAATAGCTCGCACCACGGAGCTACGGACGAGGACGTCTTCAGCGAGAAGAGCCCCAGGAGCTCGATGGGCTCGTTCGAAAGCCGGCCGGATTCGCGCAAGGCACGCAGGGAAACAGACAATATGACGAATATGCATCGTCCGCCTAGGGTCTCAGACATCTCTCAGTACGACAAGGAGGAGTTTGCCCCAGCGGCCCGAGGCACACCGCGACCGCCTTTTCGGACACCTTCGGATGTGCGCGGTGTGCACGTGTCTTCACCGACACCTTCTGTGCTAGGCTCACCGCGGTCCAACAACAAGAAACATTTCCCAACCGTCTCCCGCCTAGGGACACCCAACACCTCCGCGCAGTACTCGCCGAAGAGGATGTCGACGCCTCCGCGCTTTAAGGGTCGCAAGGAGGCGCCTCTCGTCCTGCTCCACGTCACCCTCCTCCCCCTGCGGTGGGTGTGGGCCGACCTGCTCAACCACGTTGAGACGGAGGAGATGAGCGAGCGCGCGAAGACGCTGCGAGAATCCTGGCGAATCTTGCAGGACCGCATCGGCGACACCGTCATCGAAAGGGGCATCCTGCTGGGCCATCCTCAGAATGACTACGAGATTCTCGAGGAGCGTCTGCTGGAGGCCCTGGAGCTTCCGCTCCGCCGACGAGCTCGGATCTTGGAGTGCGGCCACTACCTCGGCCCCTCCAACGAGATGTCTCTCGCCGACGATGCCGAGAGCGAGGACGAGTACGGCAGTTCCGATCATCCCCGCTCGGACGAGCAGCGCCACTGGTGCGGGACTTGCAAGAATGAGATCCGGTACGATTCGCTCGGCCCTGGCAAGGTTTTCCGAGTCAAGGTGTACGCTAGCAACGGGCTTATGAAGGCCGGGGCATGGGCAGCTTGCTGGAAGGAGATGGAGCGCGTCGACGTAGAGCTCGAGCCTATAGTCGAGCCCGACGTCCAGGAGGAGCTGGTCCGCCTCGCCGCGACACGACAGGAGCGTGACTTCGCGCACCGCGAGGAGGCCGAGATCGCGAAGGAGGTGGCCGAGCAGCTGAAGGAGCAGCACCGGAAGGAAGAGGAGGACCTGCTGCGCGCCCACAGCAGAACTCCCGCTCGGTCGGAAGCAGAGTTTGGCCGATCGTCCAGCTCCGCGGAGGAGCGCCGCAGGCGGGACGAGGAACGACTCCGAGAGGTATACGGCGAGACGCCGCCCCCACAGAAATCGGCGTCGAGAGATCCGTCTAGCCATCCTGGCCCGGAGTCGTACCGGCGCTCGCCCTCGCCGCCATCACGTCCGTCGGCTCCCGAGGAACGTTACGGACGAAAGGGGCAGGCACAGAACTACGGGTACCGGAACGCTTCGTTCCCGGAGCTGCTGCAGCGGTCGGTGCGAGTCCTGATGCAGGACCCGAAGAACGTCGTCATCTTCGTCCTCGGCGTCTTCGTCCTCGTGCTCGCGGTGCGGCATGCACCCGGGCCCTCTGAGCCCGTATACGAGCCCGTGATCCACAGGATGAGGGACGGACCCATCATCCGCCGCGCCACCATCGTGGAGACCTCGCAGGCTAGGGTCACGACCTCCGTGCCCTTCCTCGCCGAGCCCTCGGCGTCCCCCGACTACCACGAGTCTCCGGAGGCCGCCTCGTGGCAGCACATTTCGGTCGACGACGACCCTCTCGAGGCCTCGCAGGAGCCTCCTAAGGCCGAAGAATCCGAGACAGCTGCGCCGAGCTACGAGGAAGAACCGTCAGACGAGGTGACTGAGGAGCCCGCGACTAGCAGTGCTGCACCAGAGGTGCCCAAACCAGCCGTCGAGTTCGTAGTGGAAGAAACACCTGCTGCTCCCAGCTACGAGGCGCCGTCGGAGGCCCTCTCTCAGCCCACGCCCGCCCCAGAGGCCGCCACCGCCACGGCGGGGGTGTCTACCTTCTACGAGCCATGCTACATCTCGGCGGCCATCCAGGGCCGGTTCCACGAGGGTGTGGCGCAGCTCGAGGAGACGGAGATCCTAACGGAGAAGAAGGTCGTCCGCGTCGTCCACACGGTCACCGAGACCGAGGTCGAGACCTCCACTATCAGGGTCACCACCACCACCGCCGCCGAGGCTGAGGCTGCTATCACGACCCAACCTGAGCCGTCGATTGCCGCCGTTAAGGAGGAGCTGTCCCCGGAGGAAGCTCTTCCGGTTGTCAAGGTGGAGCCAGAATCAGAGCTCAAGTCAGAAATCGAAGTGAACTCGGAACCCGAGCTAGAGTTGGAGTCAGAAATTAAGGTGAACTTGGAATCCGAGTCCAAGTCAGAATTGGAGTTAGAGGCAGGAGAGCCTCTGGCTGCTGAGGCTGCCGCCGAGGAAGTTGCTGCAGAGTACTAATGATGTGGACGAAAAAGGGGGGCTATGGCGGCGGGTACGAATGGAAGACTCATCTTGATGTTTTTTGTTATTTTTTTGCCTGTTTCCTCTGTTCCCTACAATGAGCCAGGTTGTATGGGCCGCAATGGGATGGATCACGTTAATGTTGGTTGACTCCCCCTCCCTGGGCCTGCCTCTCGTTTTGACAATTCGAACACGGCTGTACATGGTGGAGTGGACGGACATAACTTATCAGTCAAGATTGCGATAGACCGACGATACCAGCAAAGCACCTGTGGTTGGAGAGATGCTTGTCTTACAGATCAGAGCCCCCTCTCATCTGATGATCATGGATGTAATGTTAGTTGTCTGCCAGTCTGTCTCTAGATGGAGATCTGGGGCTCACTTTTGCCGATTCTACATGGTCACTCCTACCTTAGTGAGATAATACCATATAAGGATACAGTCAATATGCACTTTTATAGTGATAAACTTGATTCTGTCGTGGTAATTCACTTTACTCTTGATGAATACCGAATAAATCCCACGTAACTGGACGTCAGTAATAAGGTGCTCTTCTTAAGGCACAGCAGCCTAGCTTTCAACAATGAAGACTACCTCTCTAACACTCCAACATACCGAAATGTTACCCGTCTATAAAGGCAGTAGTGTCTTACAGCTGCAGTTGAGGGCCTTTTTTCAAGAGGATGTGAATAATACAGTAAGTTTTCCCTTTAATATCTACCTAGGTATCTAAAACACCGGGTTGCCGCAATGAAGAACAACTGAAATGCTAGTGAATATTCTCTAACTTTCAACAACTCTAATGCAATATTCACTAGATACAGCAGCGCCGCTATTATTATCAGCACTGACTCCCCCATTGTTAGGCGAGCCTAGCTATATATTCACTGCTCGCTAATGAAGTACGCATTGTTGCCATTTAACCCCAGACCTAATGGATTGATTACCTCCACATTCACAACGAAACCCATTAGAGGCTCTCCCCTAAATGGTATAAGTAAGGCTCCGTAGACTTTTCACCAGCGTCCTTTTCCATCCACATCTCTTCTGCCTCTAGATACCAGCATCTCAAGCAAAGAAACTTCCATCCTTCTGTTGCCATATCAAACCCACACCAACATCAGCTCTGGTCCTATCCGGAACAACAACTACTAGCATTTACTAAGCGACAACCGTAACAGAAGCACCATGGACAAGGACCCAGGCCGCGGCCCCCACCCAGTGTGGAATCACGAGATACAGCTCACCAACCTCCCTGTGGACTGCAAGCCTGACGACCTAGTGAAAGTTACCGAAAACATCGGAACTTTGCGCAGCATACATATTGTTCAGGTCAAGCCAGACGACAAAGACAACTCGGGAAGCAACGCGGAGGGCAACAGCCAGCCGAAGAAGGAGCCAACTTCCATGGCCTGTATTATGTTCGACGACCGCAAGGACGCCAAGATCTTCGTCTCGGCGTATGATAAGGAACCTCTCATCATTTCTGGGCGCAAGATCGGTATGCTTCGCCATGCCGTCTTACTCGGCTGGGAGTAACTGCGCCGATTCCCGGTTCTTATAGTCGCCTAGCCGGCTAGCATCCTCGCCAGCTTAGCTCTCGATAGCATAGGTACGGATACCTCGGATCCCACCCTGACGTACGCGTATGGATCGCGTGGACTAACCCCAGACACAGATAGAGAAACGAATCGCCTGCGTGGCCGACGAAATAGGATATGGCTGGGGAGTTGGAGGAGCGGTAATGTGTCACAGGAAAGGAAGGCAAGGCACTTGTCCCCTACGGAGACGGTCACATGAGTTGGTTGATACGGCCACCTGAGTGGCCCGGTCCTAAGGGTAGCGAGCAGATATTGTTTATTTAGATAGGTGTGGAGTAAATCTAATCCCTAATTACAAATTTGTGACTATGTGGCATATGTGATTTCGTACTGCCTATAGAACGCAATCGTCTCTCGACCTGCAAATATCCAGTTCTAGCCGCAGTATTAGCATCTGCCAGCCGCTCGCACGCGCTCGCCGCGGGACTTCCTACCGTGTGCTCGCTCAGTGGACGAGGCCGAGGTCGATCTGCCTGCGGACCTCGCGCCAGTAGTCTACGCGGCTGCGCTGGCGCAGGGCCTTGCCCCAGCGGACGATGGGGAGGAAGACACAGCAGATGGCGAGGGCGACGAAGGCGACGCTGACGAAGCAGTTCTGGGAGCCGAGGGCGTCGAGCCAGGGGGTGATACCGTAGCCGACGGCGAAGCCCATCGTGTTGCGGACGAGGATGCAGGTGGTGAGCGCGTCGCCGGCCAGGTCGCGGTACGCGTCCACCAGGTACGCCACGCTGAGCGTGATGCCGACCGTGTTGGCGAACGCCGTCGCCCCCATCGCCACCGCCAGCCCGAACCAGTGCACCCCGTGCGCCGCCCCCACCCCCCACAGGATGAACGATGCTGGTACCACTGCCGTTGCTGCCGCGAACAGCCACAGCCGGTGCTCCGGCTCCGACACCCCCCCGTTCCGCCGCGCGTACCAGATGATGAAGCGGTCTGAAAACACGCCCGTGAACGCTGACCTACACTACTCATTAACACTGCGCATACAAGGACGCGATCACGCATCTGAGAAGGCCAAGAAGAAGAAGAAGAAGAAGAATGTTTACCCTACGGCGACGCCGATCATGCAAGCGATGTAAGTCAGCCCGACGAAGGAAGGACGGAAGTTGTACGGCGGGCCGCCGAGGATGATGGAGGTGGTAGCGTTGAGGATGTTGAAGTAGACGAGGTAGGTGCCGTAGCTGAACCCGGAGTAGAACACGACGGGCCACGAGAGGAGGCGCAGCGACTGCCAGGCGCGGTAGTGCATCGCGAACGGGCGGGGCGTGTCCAGGATGGCCAGCTTCTGCCAGAACGTCTTCGTCGGGGCGCTGGTGGGGGAGCCGTCAGGAGACGGGGAGCGCTCCGCGTCGGCAACCGCGTCGTCGGCCGGGCCTCGCTTGCGCTTCTCAGCGGCAGCCGGCGGCGGCGCGTCGGCGACGACGACGCCGACGGTGCGGCGGTCGTAGTTGGTCTCCTCCATGAAGCCGGCGAGGAAGGCGAGGGTGGCGGCGCAGGCGATGGCGGGGACGAAGAAGACCCAGGGGTGGCCGGCGCCGTCGTTGACGAAGCCGCAGACGACGGGGGCGAAGAAGTTGCTGCCGGCGAGCGTCCAGGCGTACCAGCCGAGGTAGGTGGCGCGCTCGTGCGCGAAGAACAGGTCCGCCACCGTCGTCTCCGGCAGCGCCTCGATCGGCGCCGCGAAGAACCCCGTCAGCACCCGGTTCGCGATCCACTGCCCGCGCCCCCGCGCGTACGGCCCCCACGCCGTCACCGCCGCCAGCGCCGCCAGCGACACCAGGTACGTCACCCGCTTCCCGTACTGCAGCGCGAACGGCTGCCAGAACAGAAGACCCCACCCGAGCAGCAGGAACACTGTCACCGGCCCCGGAGTCAGCGATGAGGCGCTGGGCTAGGGAGGTAGGTTGGTATGCATGCCTGTGTAGTTTAGGGAAGGGGGGAGGGGGGTGGGAGGAGAAAGGGGGGGGAACCACCGAGGCGAGGCGCACGCCCCGGAGCTCAGAGCTCATCACGGCAACGGCTCAAGACAAGCAGGCCAAGCGCGATCTATGCAGGCACCCGGACCAACCACTACAAGCCGGCCCAGCGTACGCAAGAGGGAGAACAAGGGATAAGCGGGGCCTGGACGTACTGTAGCCGGTGCCGGCGTTGAGGTCGGCCTCGGTGACGGAGAGGGCGGCGGAGAGGGGCACGAGCACGGAGTAGACGACGGACAGGGCCATGCCGTTGAACCAGGTGTAGAGCAGGGCGCAGGCGAGCGCCAGGCGCTTGCGGCGCGGCGCCCAGTTGAGCGGGTCGTCCGGGTCCGCCGACGGCGTCGGCACCAGCACGATGTCGCGCCGCCGCGCCGCGTGCCGCGTCGCCAGCGACCGCTCCAGGTCCACCAGGTGCACCGTCCCCGGCACCTGCGCCTCGTCGACGGGCCCGCGGCCCGCGGCCCCTTGCGCCACCGTCATCGCGCGGCGTGCAGGCTGTGCTTTTCTATCCGGCCGTCTAAGGTCGGGGCGAAGCTGGGCTGGGCTGGGCTGGGTGAGATACCTAAGACGGGGATGGATAGGCTCGGTCTGCCTCGACGTCGAAGGTTGAAGGTCGAGAGTCCTCGGTGTTCGGCAGTGCCTATATAAAGGAGAGCCTGCGGTCAGGGACGCCTTATCTATCGACTCGGTCCGAGGGCGCGGAGAGAAAGAGGAGGGAGGGGGGGGGGATAGCAAGCAGGGCTGTACTGCCGGTGGCGTGGATAGAAAGAGAGATTAGATAGGAGAATAGATAGGTGAATCATCTCACGCCATCCCACCTCCTCTTCTTACCCGCATCCCCGTCAAAAACATGGTTGGTTGTGACGCAACCGTGGTATCACCAAGCTACATATCACCAAGCTACATAGATGCTCTCCCTTTAACTCGCCTCGCCGTTTGATACCCCTCCCCTTTGCCATTCAGCTCTATTTCAGCCGGGCCGGCGCAGACGCGAAGAGCCATGTGTTACGACTGATCTTCTGTGAGCTGCTGCCGCCAGAGTTTCACTCCTAAACATGTTTTTGCGCGTATATATATATGCGCGTGTGTGTATGTGTGTGTGCTTGTCGGTATCTGCAGTCGAAAGATAAGTAACGATGCACTGAGGCGAGCTGATAAGGCCGCGTGTCTCTTCTTATCTATTTCTCTCCCTTTTGCTTTCTCCTCTACAGAAAGGGGGGTAGAGGGGAGTCCTGCGCGTCCCAGGACCGGGCTCGATCTGCTGTCAGCAGTCCGAGTATGCAGTCTGCACGCATGGAGGGTGGTGAAGAGCGAGGGTTGGCTGCCACCTTAAGAACGTGGAACGCACTCCAGGATCCGGGGTCTGCGTATAATGTAAGAAGCTGCCCAGATCTTGGAACCGGCCAGGCCTGCCGGGACAGGGTTCCAGAGGCTCTCTCCCCCGGGAACATCACCGCCGGTATCGGTTTACGGGAATAACATATGGCCATTAGATCCATGCTAGGTACTAGCAAGTCACTTGAGACTTATGTATGAATCCCCCCTAGTAAAAAAAGTATCTTCTGAGCCGGACTCCGACACCAACTTCTGAAGCCATCTTGTCGAGTGAGAAAATGGCGAAAGTAATACCTGTTGACTGACTACGATATACTGCGGAAACTGCCCTGATACCTAGAGGGAACTTCGCGTTTGGGCGTATCCGACGACGATTACTATGAGTTGGGCCGTACTACCAAGTCTTCTAGCAGGTCTCAGACATCCCATTGACCTCCTCTCCTATTAGAATATAACCTTCGTTACCCTATACTACATCGCGCTGCCTCGTCTGGAGTGCCTGTAGTCCCCGATCACTCAAATCCCGCAGCATATGAGGAAAAGGACATCTGGATCGGAGGCGTTCGGCTACGCAATACCTACTTAACCTAGTTTCTCTCATATGCCACAGCCAAAGTGTATTGGTATGGGAGACAGTGTTTACGAAAGTTGTTCTGTCGGTCGAACAACCGTAGTAGGAATAGAGGAACGGCCGGTTGCCCCGGCGTGGCGCACGTTCGTGCTCGTCCGGGCGTCACCGAAGCGGGAAGGGAACTCCCTTAAGATCAGGTCCAACAGGGACATGTCGCCGAGCAGGGTTTGCACTGTCTACTCTCCCTCTGTCTATCTCTCGGACGACCACGTCCGCCTCGACTACGCTTCCTCATCAACTAGCTGGTCTCGCCAGGCCTAGAGGCTGATCCGGTCTGGGGTTGCACTAGACGTCCGCAGTATAACTGATCCCTGCTGTTATATAGGATGACAGGTAGGCCGTTATACCTAACACTTCGTCGGTATTGACGGGGCGGCTCAGGCAGGTCTGGATTCATGCTCGGTCCTAACCTTGATATTGCCCTCTCTAGGTGATACCCCTGAGACAGCATGCTATACACGGAGGGATGTACTGAATACCCCCCAGGAATATAGCGACGGGTAGGCTGAGCTTTATCCGTAAATATATCCTGAATGCTCGGACAAATAAGTGGTCTCAGTCGTCTTCTGCGACGTGTTTGCCCGTAGCCTCCTTCCCCCCCCCTCAAGTCAACCGCATCCCCGTGCTCTCTCCCGGGTGTCTTGCGACTTTGATCTATGTACTCCTGTATTCAAGATGTCCAACACGCCACGTATGGGGAATACGGATGAAAGCCAGGCGGCGCTGCATATGGTAGAGGATCTGTGCTTTTCAAGGTGAGGACGTCGACACGGCGGCGCGTACTCGCTAACGTCCGTGCATAAGTCTATCGACCCCCCTATATAGGTGCTGGTATATCTACTCTTGGTGGACGATGTCTTCGAAGGAAAAGTAGCCCGGGTTCCGCTGCTGGCACTGGCGGCACACGATAATAGTGTTCTCGGCGACCTCGAGGAGGAAGCGGCGCATCTCGCGCGGGGTGCCTGCGCACAGCCAGCCGTTGATCATGCCGTTCGGCAGGACGGACTGCTCGCCGGCGGGCGAGCGGCGGAACGCGACCTGGTGGCGCGAGCCGGACTGGCAGGCGAGCGGGTCGTGGCCGAGCGCGCGGACGCGGATCTGGCTCAGGCTCATGGCGCGCGACATGAACCGGAACAGCGACGTCCACGCGTTCGGGTACTCCGGGTTGTTGTCCAGCTCCTGGTCGCCGCGCTGGACGCGCACGCCCACCGCGCTGAGGTGCAGCCGCCGCAGCGACGGCGCCACGCACCGCAGCACCTTGACGATGCTCGCCTGCGGCGCCAGCATGTGCTCGAGCTCCAGCTCGCCCAGGTTGCGGAACCGCAGCGACGGCGGCGTCGCCGCCAGCCGCGCCGGCCCGCTCCGCAGCAGCGGCCCGTACAGCGTCGACGCCTCCGGCCGCTCGCCGTTCTCCACGTCCACCAGCCCCGCCAGCCAGCCGATGATCCCCTCCGGCAGGAACCCCTCGCCCCTCGACTTGACCCGCAGGCACGCCAGGTTCGGCATCTGCTCCAGCAGCGCGAACAGCCGGTGCGGCTGCCACCGCAGGAAGCCCCGCGTCATCGACCCGACGCCGCCGAGCGTGTGCGCGAAGGCCACCGTCAGCTCCAGCGACGTCATCCCCGCGAAGACCGGCTTCATGGCGTCGACGGCGAACCGCGGCATCGCGAACGCGCTGCTCGAGAACCCCATGAACACGTTTTCGATGTCGGCCGTCAGCGCGCCCAGCGCCTTCCCGCTCGCCCCCACCGCCAGCAGCGCCGTCGAGAGCACCACGTCCGGGAACGAGTCCTCGGTGCGCAGCCTGGCCCGCTCCGCCCGCAGGTCGATGCCCGTCTCCCGGAAGATGTGGGCCACCCCGTAGCTCACGAGCACCTGGCTCGCCCCGGGCCGGCTCGACCGCCTCGCGACGTTGCTGTCCCGCACGCTGAGCTCGGCCAGCCGGGGCAGGTTCCTAAACGCCTCCCCGAGCAGCAGCTGCAATTTGCCGCTGCTTGTGAGCCAGTTCTGCTCCGTGGCCAGCTCTTCCAGCCCGTCCATATCGATCCTGGCATCGTCGGCCTGGGCTATCGGGGAGGTGCTCGCGTTTTGGGGCAGGGCGTCGCTGCTGTACAGTCGGTCGAGGCCGATGGTGACTTTCGATAGGCATTCCGCCAGCGCGTAGTGTTTCGATATTTCGACCAAGCATGTCAGGCTGCCTGTGCTCTGTCAGCTTCTGCTAGTAGAGCCTGTTGGGGAGGGCGGAGGGCGTAGATGAGTCGATGGATAGGGGCGGGGAAAGGGGGGGGGGGGGTTCGAAGAAGGGCACGGAGGAGGCGGTGGGAAGGAAATATGTAGTTATGGCGCCAGAAAGTGTCATGTATGCCGCGTAGGGGACGACGTGGATATAACAGGCAATCGGTTAGGGGATAAAGTGTTCGATGGCACGGAAAACATACTGTAGCCCGGTCAGCACTCATGCGAGACATGCCGGGAGGTAAGCAAGACATTTTAATTAGAGAGAGAGACGGGGGGGGGGACGGGGGCTGGATGGGCGTATACACCTACCGCTGGGTAACCATGAAACGCCTATCGGAGAAGAACTCCTCGCGGAAGTTCACGAATAAGCACCTCTCGATACAACGGCAGGCTAGGCGGAAGGAGAACAGGTCCTCGGAGTAGAGATAAGACGCCATATGCACGAGCAGTTCGCAGGGAAGCCACAAAATGGGGGACTTGGCCATCCCGGCCCCAACATGCGTGTAGGTGTTCATCGGGACGGCTATGGGTCGTCTCGGCCAGTTGAGCAGCGCAGTTCCACTCCCCCGTCAGCCATAAGGCAGCGTCGACGAGCAGCAAGCCGTCAGCAAGCAGCCGCCTCCGCAGCAGCAGCGGCAGCAGCGGCAGTAGAAGTAGTAATAGGAGTGCGTCGAGTGAGATAAGTACGGCAGTGCGGCCTAAGTCGTATGTAAGACCTAGCGGGAGTAGCACCACCGTAGAGACTCTCGAGATATCTCGTGAAGCCTGCCAAGAAAAGAAGAATTTTGAATCACCCCTGTGGCGAGGGTCGTCGGTAGTGGCATGGGTACTAGGAAGGTGATGCTCTCTTTCGTTCTCGTGCCCTACGGGTACATGTCTGTCCCGTTTCGGGCTCGGGCGTGGGCGTGGTTGTTGGTTAGAACTCGAATTTCCGTCGTTTAGCAGCGAGTCCTGTTAGGAGGCAAAACAGGGGGGAGGGAGGAGAAGGGGGAAGGGGGGGGGGAGGCTGGCCAGCTTACCTACTTGGATCTGTCCAACCCATCCTCCCTGGCTGGTATCCTCCCCCCTCCCCTCGCTGGGGTTGTTGTGAGAGGTAGGCTGGCCGTTGGCGGAGGCAGGTTCTGCTGGACCTCCTCGTTTCCTGCCCGCTCTATTGGTGGGCCGCCGGTAACGGGATTTGCATACATGTCCAGGCCGTGGCAGTTGACGCTGACGCTCGCCCAGGCACGACAGCCAGGCAGGCGTACAGCTCTATTTATGTGAGACTAGTGCAACCTTTATATATTGGGAATCCGTCCCGGTGCTCGCCTCTCGGGCAGTAACTGCGGCGGCGACACACACACACACGACATACACACGCCGCACGCGAACACATACACGCATACTCAAATACTTATATCTATATCTGTATACGGATATTTGGCCTCCACGATCGATCTCCTTCGCCCTTACGTCCCGCCCCCCCTTCTTCTCTCCTCTCTCTTCGCTCGCAGCGTGCACCTACTATGCTTAGTGACGATGCTACGTGAGGAGGTCCGAGTAGCTGGCATACCGCAGCCAGTTGCTTCCAGTCGACAGCAGTGAGCCTGCTACGTGGACGGCGATGAGGGCTGGTAGGCCGGCAGGAAGGCCAGGAAACCATGTATACCAGACAACGACCCAACTGCTCGGGAGGGCGTTATTCCCCTCAGGCGAACCCGGAATCCGGGCCTGGCGACGGTCGTGATGGGTATCACGATGCCGGTTACACATGCAAAAAATATTAAAGAGGATGTGTGCGTGTGTATGTGTGCTGTGCCGTGTGTGCGTCTATGTGTGTGCCGTGCAGAGCTGTTGGTTGTAGTATGTGTAGGCCTAGTCAGTCGTAATAGGCCAGCCGTGTCGGTTCGTTAGGCAGGATGTCAGCATCGCGGGCGCTCGATGGGAAATGCCTCTCTTCGTTCGTCATTTTACCTCCCTGTCGCCGGTTCGAAACACTTACCGCTTCTCCGAACAACAACAACAACAAAAAAAAAAATACCACCCCCCTTTTCTCTCGCGAATAGGAAATACAGCACCACCGCAACTCCGCATCACACGACGCCGAGCACGCAGCAAGTAGACCTTCAGGACGCCGCCTGCAATTTGCCGTCGAGGATTCGAAAGTGCTCCCATTGGCCCCCTGCGCATGCACGCCGGCCAACACAACCGACAGGAGGCCGGGCCGAAGGGGTGCAAATCCCTCTGGGCTTCCCAGGATATGTGATCCCGATATATACCATCTACGCGTATCCGCGACACAGGTTCTTAGGCTCGCGGCACCGATGCGGTTTAGGCTGAGGTATCGTGCTCCAAGCACGCTGTCGAGCATCACTGCGGTCAGCGCCACCTCAGCTAGACAGGCAAGTTATACTTACTAGTAGGGGGCGGTCGACCCGGGGGAACGGTTACGAGTAGAGCGAGACCAACAAACCATTCGATCCATGCAGGCCCTTACCCAGCGCCCGCCCTGCCCGGCACGCCCGCCATGCCGTAAGCGTAGTGGCGGACGGCGCAAACGCCACTGTTGGTTCTGTTAGCCGGATTCGTATATAATATAAACAGGCAGATATAGGTGGCTCTACCTGCTTACCCACCTAACACTACCTATGTCATACACTATGTCGTATGCTAGCCTGCCTGCCTGCCTGGGTTAGGGGCCTACCTAATCACCCAGGGAGTCGAGAGTGCACCAGGGACCCCGGGTGGCGGCAGAAAAGAAAACACCGCTTAACCTGCCCGGTGCCGGTGAGGTATATGTGGGAAGAAATAAACGAAGAAAAGACGAAGGATAAAAAAACAACCCAAGGAGAAGAGCCGGGGGGGGGAGGGGATGGAGGCAACGAGGTGGCATACCCGTATCGAGAACCTACATCTCTGGGACCTTTCGTTAAGCGTCTGACCTCCCGTCTCGCTCCCTTGCTACGCGTGCGGATAGGGCCACGCCTCCGTGGATAACTACGCACACCCCGAGGCCGCGAAGATTGCACGACTTCGTACTATGGGCAGACCTGGCGGGCTGACGTCATGCTCTCTCTCTCTCCTTTTCTCTTATCTCGTATCTCCGGCTGTCCGTCTGCCCCCGATCTGGACCCCTCGCCATCGCCGTCGCCATCCCCATCCCCATCTCCAGCCAGCGGCCGGACAGTGTTACCTGGCCAGCTGCGAGATCTGTGGTTGTGAACCCCCATATCTCGATGTCGGGGGGAGGGGGAGGGGGCGCCATGCATGCCTTGTACCGGCCGCCACACATCACGTACCTCGTGAAGGTATCGTAGGTACCTACCTCGCGTCGCCAGCCAGCCGGCCAACCAACGACTGGCTGCAGAACTTACCACGCTGACCTACCGTCTCGCCGCCGCCTGTCGGGTCCCAACCCCTACAAGCCCCTTCTCCAAACCGCGGTGCGAGAAATTCCGCCGCCGCTCTCGTCGCTGGCATGCCGTCGACCCCCAGGGGATACGCGTCGTTCCACCGCGCGGACACCTCCCTATCCCGCTCGGCCGAGCCGCCGCCGCCGCCAGGACCCGGGTACTGCCAGTTGCACCGCGCTCCTGCATCTTCCTCTCTGTCGGGCCTGTATTTGGGTATTGGAAGCTGTCAAGCCTACAGATTCGCCGTAGTATAGGAACCGTGATAGCGAGGGGGGAGGGGGAGGTCGTCCTAGACTACCTACGCAACGCTCGGGTCAGAGGACGGCCGGCCCAGGAGTACCGCCCTCTTTCTCCCTCCCCCCCTTCCTCTATCTGTTAGAGCTTTCCACGGGCCGACGCCGGGATCGCGATGTGGCCATCGCCCTCGAGCACCTCTCTCCACGCATGGCGTCTGCCAAGCCGCGCCCGATGAGGCAGGGAAAGGAGGAGGGGGGGAATGTTACGTCTCGCAATCGCGTTCAGGCGGAAAGCAGAGAGAGCAAAATGCTCAGGTTGTCGCGGGCGGACAAGTTGGCCAGGTCATCTATATTGAAGCTCGATCAGGTAGGTCAGGTCAGATCCGGGATTCTCTCTTCCCCTCCCTCTCCTCCCGGTAACGCCTCGGCCGACTCGGACTTCCCACGTCAAGCTTGCCTTATTCGCCTGCCCGCCGCTATGCCAATTCCAAACTCGGTTTTTCCAACGCTTTCGCTTTTCCGCCCAAGTTGATGATATCCGTAGCTTAGTCTGGTTTTTTTTTCCCTTTTTTTTTCCGCTTAAAAATTTCCCGACTCCCACATCTCATCCACTGACAGGCTATGCCACTATTCGTCCTATATCGTCGCTTGCGCGGATGTGCAACTTTCTCTCGCGCTCTCTCTTTCTCTCTCTCGCCGTGTGCCTTGTTCCGTTTTACGTTCTGCCTCGTCTCTCCTCCACCTGTCTCCTCTCCGTGTTCGTGAGTACTGCTCTCCGAGACTTTTTGTCTTCCTCTCGTGTCCGCCCCGCGTCTTGCTTACTGAAAACGCTCGTTCTCTGTGGTCAATATACACCGCCCGCCCACTTGATGCATAGGTTAGTAATAGTTGAGAAGGGTAGTTAGGTATCGCTCTTATGTAGGGGAAACAAAAAAAGGAGAAAGCCGCCCTCGCCGCCGCTCGTTTCCCGATTGGATGACCACGTGTTTATGTTGCTTGTATTCCTGACATGCGATGCATGCGCCTGCCCACCCTCTATGGGAAGAAAAAAATCTGTCCGTCCGTCCGTCCGTCCGTCCGAATATGCGTGCGTAAGTGTGTATGTGACTATAAGTGGGAGTTGTGTCGTGTTGTGAGTGCCCGCGTGTATTGTCTATGAAGAAAATCCGGTTGAGGAGAAACAAACCACTCCCCCCCCCCCCGCCATGCCCCCTCACGACCTTCTCTTCCTCGTCCTTGCGTACTATAGCGAGCCGAGCTTAGCTATTCCCGACCTACCCTCTACCTATCTCCTTGCTACGGTCGGGAGCGGTGGCGCGTTAGCCCCCAGATTCCGGATACGTCGCCATCATGTCCGCGTACGGTACCGCGGTGCAGTCGGGGCAGATGCGGTCGGTCGTGCAGCGGCCGTGCTTGTCGCAGTGCCACTCGATGCTTGGCTTGCAGACGCGGCACTCCTGGCAGTGATCCCAGTGGTCGATGGGAACCCAGCCGCCGCGACAGAAGCTGTACCAGTAGCCGTAGAAGTCGTTCTGGTTGGAATTGCCGAGACCGCCGCGGAGGAGCTCGAACTCAAGGCGCTCGCGTTCGTCGCGCTGCTTCTTGCTCTTGCCGCCGCGGGCCTTCTTCCAGCTCTCCTCCCACTTCTTGAACGGGTCGGCGAACTCGCGGATGCTGGCCCACGACGTGTCGTCGTACAGAAGCATGTCGACCATGAGGTCCATGTCGAGCTCCTCGATGTTGGGTTGGTTGCAGAGCCAGGTGGCGAAGCAGCTGTTGGCACCGCACGGCTTCGAGAACACGGACGGGGGGCCGAAGAAGAGGCTCAGGTCCGCGAACGGGTTTGCACATGCGGCGCCGCACGAGCACGCGGCCGTGCAGCCCAGCCCGTACTTGCTGCACACGCACGAAACGCAGGCCTTCTTCTTGCCGCGGCCCTTTTTGCAGCAGCACTTGTTCTCGTGGCCGGCCTTGGGGGGCGAGTCGACCGACGGCGGAGGCAGGGAGTCTCTCAGCGACAGCTCGGCATGAGAATAGACCATCTGAAATGGGGTGGCCGGATTAGCATTCTGTGCCTCCTTGTTTCGTCTACCCCGGTCCAGGGTGGTATTCGACCTCGGGTGTAACGACGGGTTGGTTGTCATGTTCTTCTGCTCAGACTTACCTCTGTGGACTCATCTGTCGTCTCGCCCTGGGCATCTTCGTCACCGTTCTCGTGCATGACGTCCTCTGGCGTATGCTGATTTCCATTGCCGTTCTGGGCAGTTGGGGCGGGTATGGGAGCCGGGCTGAAGTGGGAGTTCAGGGTAGCGGCGTCGGGATAAGGGGTGCTGGTGGCGTGATACGTGGCGTGGGCCGTCGGTTGCGAGCCGTACGAGTCTCCGTACTGGGACAGAGCGTGCGGTGGGTGGTGTGGCAGCGTTGTGGTTGTCGAGACATCGTTCGGCCGCGGCGGCTGGCTATAGCTGGAGATATGGTGGGTTGTCGGTATGGGCGAATACGTAGCACCTGATCCAGCCTGTGACGCCTGCCCTTGCACCAGCGCCTGTGCCTGTGCCTGTGCCTGTACCTGTGCTTGCGTCTGCACCTGTACCTGCGCGTCCGCAAAGCCTCCGTTCCGCATCTCGTCCACACCGGGCTGTGCGAAGTGGGCAGCGTGGGATCCCATCTGGCCGTTAGCGGGCGTCTGCGCGTACTGGGCGGCGAAGGCGACAGCCTGCTGGGGGCTGTAGGGACCGGCACCGTAGCCGGCAGAGGTCTGATAGGCTCCGGAAAAGGCGCCGGCGGAATTCGCTACCGAGCTGGGAGAGTAGGTATGGTAGGTAATAGGCTGCCGAGGGGCGGGCTGGAGGCCGTAGCCGCCATTGTCGTAGGCCGTGGGCGACGTATACAGGCCGAGGCCCTGGCTGAGCTGGGCGTGTCGAAGGGCGGGAGCCGCAGTCTGCGGGGTGCCGTTGACCGAATCTCTCGACGTGTTGGACCGCTGTCGCTTGGCCGGTGGGTACGACATTGCATCTTTGCCTCGGCCTGTCTCTTTGTGTTATTGTCCTTCCTGGTTCCCTCGTAGGTCGCACCGAGGAAACGGAGGAAGAGAACGAGGCCAAGACCCAGACCGGGCGAGCGAGCGAGCGAGCAGGCCAGCAAGCACCGGACGGGACAGCGCCGGGGATGGCGGAGGGGATGGCGGACGAGACGAGGGAGAGAGAGGAGAGTCTTGAGAAGTCAGCGAGCAGCAGCAGGTTCTTGTCTGCGTGTGTGTCGTGTGCGGCCCAGCGGCAGATGGGGCCCGTCTCGGGAGGGCCGGGAGCGGAAGGAGGGGGCAGTCTGGTCGATAGGAGAGGTGGTGTTGATTGAGGTTATTTAGATCAGATGTTCAGGCTCTGGCCAGAAATTCTTGACGTTTGTTGAATCGGCCAAATTCCGCGTCTTCGACTGACTGTGGCGCATGGCCAAGGTGTTGCTCCCATACACCACCCCCCCCCTACAAAAACGCGCTTTTCCCTCTGATTGTACTCAGGCCCCCGTTGCTAACCTCGGGCCTGGTACCTCAGGTACCTCACGCAGCGTACTCAGGTACATCGATGCGGCGCAATAGGTACACTGGTACCCACCTGTAGCCCGAAGGCAGCGGGAGGGGGGGGAGGGGCGCTGGCGAGGTACCTAAGGTAGGTAGCCTGATACCTAGGACCACTCAGGCGTAGGTACCCTACAGTCGATCCTTGCGGCGCTCGATTAGGTACCGCCTCTCCTGATCGGGTCCCGCCAGGGTTGCCAACGCACCCACCACTCGGGCGCTGGACCCTAGTAGGCCGTCTAAACATGGCCTCCTCTCAGCGTTGGAGAGGCGGGCGGGATGGTTACGGACACACACACACTCTCTCTCTTCACGTACACACGCACACGCGCGTACACATAACATAACACACAAGTACACTCGGTATGTATACACGCGAGGTAGGTCATGTCTCACAAAGTCATGCCAGATAGCGATGGAATGGCATGTAGGTACATAAACGGTAGCAGTCCTCCGAATAGGCAGGTATAAATGTACATATATACCTGCCTCCAACCTCCGACGTAAGAGGCGAGGTGGCCACGAGCAGACCCCGACGCAAATGATACCCCGGTGCCTGAGATATGTGTTGTGTTTGGAGGCCGATGGCCAGTGGCAGATCGCCGCCGCGTCGTACGGGGAGGATCCGTACACATAGGTATTTCCCCAGGGACTGTGGCTGTCGGTACCGTCGAGAATACCTCCTAGCCAGAGGGCTGGCAGGTATCACTGATGGTTACGGAGGCCTTTCCGGCGTTCAGGGGGTTGTCCGGGCGTCGGCTGCAATCTTGCCAGTTGCAGCTCTCTCTTTCTCTCTCTCTCTCTCTCTCTCTCTCTCTCTCTCAGGCTATTATTGTCGGACCAATCTACGAGCTATATGCATAGCCGGTCTCTTCGCGTTCACTTCGCTTGCTTTTCCGTGCATCCGCACATACATGGCACCAAGTTGTCCCGGCCCCCATCCGTACAGCATGGGAGGTGGTTAGGGCAGAGCAGGGCAAGGTGTACGAGTTGGTATTATGGCGTGCCTTGGACACCTAGGGAGGTCAGTAGGTAGGTAGGTAAGGCAGGTAATAGGAGGCGACACGGCGGAACGATAAGCTCAAAACTCCACCGCGTGCAAGTGTCGCCTCCTCCACCCTACTTTGTGGTGCTGCACATCTACCCGAGGTGTGTGCTGTATATCCAGACGGGCACCTGCGTACGGTACCCACTCGGGGACGATGGAAGAAGATATTTACAGACATCGGCCGTTGCGATCTAACCCGTACAGGCATCCATCTCGCCTGCGTCAATCAGCCATCCCGCCTCGACGCCTGCACGGGCTCGGCACGCAGTTAACGTTGTCCTCGTCACGCACCGTCGGCTGAGGAGAAGGGCAGAGATAAAAAAAAAAACCCTCGCCTCCGTATTGTCGAATCCAATTTGCCCCTGGCTCTCTCTCGCCGCCGACTCCTCCCAATCTTATCCTTGTGTCAAATTTCGATTCATCTCAGTCACCCGGTCCGGTGTAAAAATAGCAGCTCAGGTCCCGGTCACAAATGACAAAGACGACTAGCTAATAGCGACTACGGAGCAGGGCCGGCGCGTGTGTTGGTCCTAAAAAAATAAAATAAAATAAAAAAAGACGGAGCTCAGCCAGGGCACGTAGGCACGGGCACCTTGCAGCTTGTCAGTCGACGTCTCCCCTCCCTGGCTGAATTGTCCCTGGCTCGGGGTTTGACATCTAATCTTCGGGTTGCTGGCCCCCATGCGTTGTATGTACGAGAGCGTTATTAATGACACCCCCCCTCCCCCCCCCCCCTATTCTCCTCCGACCAACAAATTTGGGAAGACGAGGCAGATCCGGGGCGGCGAGCAGCGGGATGCAGCATGCGGATGACACCAATGGAGGCACCCGATTTACCAATTGCACAGGCGGGCGGGACGCAGGTGGCCTGCGCAAGCTCGAAGTCGAATGCTACGATAATCTAAGCCCAACGCTGGCAGGCCGGCTCCTAAACCGGGTGGCTCGGGCGTCCCCACCTCGGATCCGACCGGCCGGCAGGTTATCACGAGACGAGCTGTCTATGTAGCTTATTGGGCTAGGTGAGCAATGGATGCCAGCCCCTCGGCTCTTTTCCTGTAGACGAACCTGGTGGCGTAAGATGCACGGGTATGTGCAGCTGGAAATCGATGTGCGAGTCCTGTTGATGCCAGAGCCCTCCGCAACCAGCATCACTCGACGTCGGCGAATCACCAGTCGAGAGAACAGGTCGACGCAATAGCGCTCCCTTTCCCGGAAAGCCAGGTGCATAACAAGCTACAGTCCATAACCGTGCAGAGATAACCGGTCATTGGGGGTTTCACGCATCTCTCCTCTCCGTTTCACGCTACCTTGTATTTGTGGTAATAAGTCAAATTTTACGACGAGGACGAAACCGAACCCATTTGGTCGTACCGGCGAGTGTCGGATCTGTGGCACGAACACAATGGAACTGCCCCGCCATCTCCGGCGGGCACGCACTCGTCGAGCAACACTCGTCGAGCAACGAAGCTCACTTAGCGTTAAGATACTTTGGGCCAAAACACCGGGAGATGGTAGGATAATGCCTATCAGGGCGTATGCAGGGACGGTAATGAGCATGGCATGATGGTGTTGCACAGCAATATTATCCCTGCCCACTGAAGAACCAACCGAACATAGTATGCCTCGACACCATCCACCTCCGACCACAACATCCCCAGGCCCCCACGAACCGAGTACGCGCGATGCTCGCCACAGTTACCGATGATAGCAGGAGGCACACCACACGCGAATCTCCATTTGCGGAGTAAGGTATAATATGATCCATACTTACAAACCCATGGCGGCCAATATACCTATTATAATTTAAGTGTGCGTACAGCTGCGAGCCGGAGCGTGGTGCATGCATATGCACTTCTGATCTACCCCCCAGTCTCGGGATACCTTTCCACTGGGCTCTGTAGGGACACGAAAAAAAGATGCTCATATCCTTTGTGACACAGTGACCAGCAGCCATATTCCTTGAATATCAAGCATGCTCATCCCCAGCTACGGCATGGAGGCGCAAAGACAACTGAGCGCCTCCGCATGCAAGGTCATGGATCCCTAGAGCAGGGTAGCTATCCGAACTAAGCTGCAAGTGTCTAAAACCACAATAAGCCTGCTGCGGCTCAACCAAGAGCTTTTCTAGACAACAAAGCCTCCATCACACAAAAGATGCGTGGTGGCTGAGCGCCATCTTCGAACGGCCTTGTCGGGCTACAATCCCATTGTCCGCCTACGTCTACAAGAGGCGGGCGAAGCTGCCCTCGACAAATCCGAAACCTGCATGTGCGTCATCCATCCATCCGGATATCCATCATCTAGCCCTCTCTACCGCGGAAGCTCGCCTCTCTGACTCGTCGCCAGCGTCACAATCTAGCAGAACCGCAACCGAGCCCCCCCCCCCCCCCCCCACCGGTAAGCCCGCTCCTTCGCGCCGCCCCTTTCCCCGTCCCGCGCGCCATGTGCCAGGTCGACGGGTTCCGGTACGCGCGGTGCCGGCAGGCGGCGAGCGGGACGCCGCACCTGGAGTTCCGGAACGAGCGGCGGTGCGCGCGGGCGCGGCTCGGCCTGGCCGCCGGCACGTACCACCCGACGCGCGTGGTCAACTGCGTGAAGCGCGGGCGCCAGCCCCCGCGCTTCCCCCGGATCGACGCCGTCTGCCCCGTCTGCTACCCGGACGAGGCCGCGGCCGAGGAGGCCCGGTGCCAGCGCGACGACGCCGCCGCCCGCGTCGACGCCGCCGCCCTCACCGCCCAGCCCCTCGAGTTCGCCGACCTCTTCGCCCACGAGCTGTCGTAGCCGCGATGTGACGACGCATGGTGGTCCCGTGGAAACCGTCAGGTAAGTGCGCGAGTCGCGTAGATGTAGGTAGATGGCCGTCCACCCGACTTGGCGAGCGAGGCGCCGCGTACGCGGTGCGTAAGAGGGCGGGTAGGTAGGGAGTCGTAAGCGAGTAGAGAAAATTGGGGGAACGGACAGAAAAAGAAACGCACCCGGCATCACGCTTGTCTGTGTGCCGAGCACGACGGGCCGCGGAACGGGTTTCCGCTCACGTCCGGCTAGTCCCCAAGGTAAGTCAGCGGCGGCGACAGCTACCGCGCCCATACGCAGAGAGGAGGTGGGTGCACAGCACATATGGCCCCCGGTGGGTGTTAGGTAGGTTTTGTAAACACCAACAGAGATCGCAACCAGAACAATTCAGGCAGCAGAAATGGCAGTGGCACGTGTGGCTGATATTGATCGCTATAAACTGACGGCTCCCTTCGGCCAGGCCCCCGTCTCCCGTAGACTCCTCGTATTCTCTAGTAGATGAGCTTGTCGTCGTAGGCGCGCACGCTCTCCAGGTAGGACTTGACGTCGTTCCAGTTGCGGCAGACTGGGGGGAGTTTCGCGATTAGCGACATGCACGTCCATGCGATTGGACGGTCGAGGGAAAAGGAGTTGCAACCACTCACCGTGCTTGGAGTCCCAGCCGTCGGAGCCGCCGTTGTGGTCTGGGAAGGTGGTCTCGAGGCCCTCGAGGGCCATGTCGGCGCTGCACATGATGGCCTGCCGCATGTAGTCGAAGCAGTGGATCATGTGCCAGTGGTGGTCGTCCGGGATCTCATGGCCCGACGACATACCCGAGTACGTCTGGACGATGGCGAACTGCGCAGGTAGCTCTGGTTAGCTGACGATGTCTCCTGAAGGCGTAGCCTACATATAAAAAGAAAAAGAGACTGGGTGGGCATTCGTACCAGGCAGTGCAGCTGGTGCGTCGCCGACGTCGTGAAGACCGTCTTCTCCGGCCACATGATGGGCGTGGGCAGGTCATGGTACTTGCTGGTGTCGTTGACCCACACGAAGCCCATGCCTTCTGCACAAGTCGAAGATACCTAAGTCAGCGCTGATCCTGGCACCCGAGCAGCTATTACTACGCGGCACTACGTACTCGGCATCAGGTCGTTCCACCGCTGCAGCACCTCGTCCGTGAAGAAGGACGCCGTGTCGTTCGGCGCGTACGACTCGTCCCGCACGAACGTCGTGATCTCCTGTGAGACTATCCGGGTCCGCGGCGGAAGGAGAGCCATGGTCGTTAGCAAGGCCACGATCCTAACAGCAAGCAGCAGAAAACCACCCATCTTCACCAACGACGCTTGAGGGACCAACTTACATCTAGGCCCGACCCCGGTCAGGTCCTGGCCGAACTGCCAGGGATTCACGTCGCCGACGGCGAGCGAGGACGCGGCGCCCTGAGGCGCTGCGGTGGTGGGCTGGCGCGCCTGGTCGCGGAGCAGCAGGCCGAGGATGACGAGCAGCAGCGCGGTGTCGAGGGCCCAGCGGGCGGTGCCGGCGGCGGCGGCGAGCCGCGCGCGCAGCGTGCGCCGGCCCCGCGGGAGCCCGGCCAGGGCGCTGCGCCCGTCAAGCTCGACGTCGTGCCACTCCTTGCCGCCGTGGTCGTCGCCCATCAGCGAGTCCTCGACCTCGGTGCTCGACCGCGCGTCGTCGCGGTCGTCGACGGCGTGCCCCTGCGCCAGGTTCGCGTACCTCGTCTGGCGAGAGCCCATCTTCGTCGCTGTCGCTATCGTCGCGGTCTACGCGGTCTGGTGGGGAGGGGGTTCTAGGTGGGGCGGAAGGGCAGGGAAAAAGGGAAAGAGAAAAAAAGGGGGGTGGTGACGGTACGCGAGAGAAAGCTGAAGACAGAGAAGAGAAGGGAAGGTCAGACTAGCTGGTGGTCATATTAATTAACTAACTGATCAACAGGACGACGGTGGCAAGGAAGAAGAGGAGAAAAAAATGCAAGAGTATGAGAGGGTGATAAGGGGAAAAGAGCGGAACAAGAACTAGAACGGGAAGTCGAGCCAAGTTCGAAGATCGTGGGCGATCAGCAACCCGAGGGGCCGGGCGGTTTTATGAAAAGCAGCAGAGCGAGCGGGGCTCCGATTCCCCTTTCGCCTTTTTTTTTCTCCACGGGGAGGTTTTAGCGACTGTAACCGCAGTTGTTTCGACTTCGAGGTTTTGAGACAGCTTCTCCGGGGTCCTCTTGGTGGACAGGGGGTGCCTCTGTCCGTGTTAGCGCCTGTGAGGCGTGCACGACACCGCAGGATGGCTAGCGAGACAGATACCTACCTATATGAGGTAGGTTAGGTTGGAGGGCAATGATTGACTCTCGCGACCACGATGCACGGGCTGCATGCGATGAAATACAAACAGACGGGGTTTTAATCAATACCGAGGTCTATTTACAAGCAGATCACAGATATGTATACGGATAGCAATGGGTGGCGGATGCCGAGGGGTTGTTTACCATCACCGTCTCTCTCTGCAAGCCCTAGCCATTATAAACCACACGGAGGGGGGTGTGTCGACGCTATGTCGGGTCAAGGTAGTAAATACTGTCACCACGGATGCATATGTAGGTAACATCCTCATCAAACTGACACTGTTACAGGCACAGCGTTAATCCTGACATGATCGTAGGGTAACGTGACTATGTCGCGTAGCTGATTATGACCAGCAACATGTCCGTCTCCTAAGTGTTACACTATTTTATTTATCAGCATCACGACCTGCCATGATGACCAAGTGAAAATAGTTCGTTATAGACACCATGTTCTATTGAGGAACCATCTTAAGGAAGGAAATAACTGCCTTTAGGTTCTCTGTGAAGCCAGACACAGTAGATGATAATGCCCATGCCATTTCTAGATGGTTAGTACCGATGACATGCGCTGCATCAGTACCTCCTTGGAGCCGTCCTCACCTTCATGTAGGAGGAATAGCTCCCCCGCATCAGCCTTTCGATTCCAGGGACCTATCGACAGATGACGTCGGTGCGCAAAGAGCCTCAAGGACCAGATTTGACCGATATCTCGAAAAGTTGAATCACTCTAGTTACCCACGAAGAAAAGTTGAATCACTCTGGTTACCCACGAAGAGGAGTAATCAACCGACCAACCCCTCTCAATTGCTAGGTATAAATATGTGTGCGGCGTCTTATTTCACTTCCTTCTTTTCCCTACCATCAACCCTGCTACATTCACACTCCAACCTACACCTCAATTCCTTCAAACCGCAACAAGGAAACCTACACGACGCCGGCAAAGAAACGCCTACGTTTCTTATTATCAAGATCTTGACTGAATAACTCGGATCACGAACACCTCGCATGAAAGGAGACCGATACTCGAGATATGCAAGTACCTATACAAACTCTACTTGCCTTAGACCGCTATCTAACACATTAATATAGCCACTATTGCCCTCGACCAACGCCCATAGCTATAAGGACTGCTGGTTTCTGGTTGGGGACTGCAGCCAGCATGACCCCCAGGAGTGCGTTTCTAAGATGAAGTCGATATAATACCAAGTCAAAGAGCCTAACCTTCTCACCTGCCCAATGGACGATGCATCGACAAGGTCGCCCCAGAACCTCGGCCGAGTGAATGACCATCACGCCTCTCAAAAAGTCCCTGGCGATGCCAGCCCCGCAGCCCGGGGGCTCATGAAGCTATAAGAGGACCTCGACGAAAAACAGGACTCGAAGGTGCGCGATTCCTGAAAAGATTCCGCTGACGCAAAAAATCTAACCATGAAGTGGTCGTTCGGTCAGGTCTATCGAAGAACCCGAAAGGCAGTGAGGGAGGCTAAAGTGTGCGTCGCGGAGCAAAAGGGACTCGATATAAATTCGTTGCAAGGTGATGATTTGTCAAGGGAGATTTTACGCACCTTGCGTGCGAAAGACGGAGAGAAGAGAAAGAACCTCTAAAAAGAGGGCGAGGGCATGCAAAAATGCAAGGGAGAGGATGGAGATAAGAGGAGTGAACATCCATCTGCTCTATAGGGCGAAAGTAGGTGAACAATAACGAAAAGACTGGGTGGTGAAAATACCTATGTGTGCGAGACCTATATAAACACTCATCCGAAACCCTACATGGACAAGTCCCACCGCACCGCTACAATATTCGCCCGTAACCTACATTATGTAGGCATCTCGACAGCGGCCCTCGTGCGAGGTGCTTGGCTACTTATCTTCAGAATGTAACCTCCTTTTCAGCCACCTGGTCTCGGCAGTGCCCCATGCCTTGCAGCATCACCTCTTATCAGTAATCAGATTACCGCGAGATTGTGTATACCTCCTCCCGCTAGATGGAACGCAAGTGCATAACCTTAGGTGCCTAATATATTACAGATATTAAGGCAGTTACGGGCTTAGAGGCTTATGCGGACACCTACATGCCCAAGGAAAGCATCTAAAAGAGAAGGAGACCGTAATACTTCTCGTAGGTAGGATCCCAGGCGCCGTTTTCCCCTAGTCCTTCCCATCTACTGCTCTCCCATCTATTGGCATCTCCTATGTGTTGCCATCCAGCTCTCTCCGCCCGAATTGCCTACCTAGCTAAACCTATCTCCTAAAGTGCTTCACCTCGAGCTTCAGCTACCTTCAACCATCGTCTGACCCACGCAGGCTCCTTAACTAGGTATTACCTCGCCATCGTCTCGTTCTTTTTTTTTTTGCCTGGGAGTCTGGCCCTCGTCTTCCATCAATGACGCCTGTTAACGCGATGCCGTAACCGCCTGATAGGGCCGAGGGGTACTGGGGGATAGGGAAGTATCTATTGAGAACCAAGACTAGAGAAGAGAAGACATGAAAGATTCCCGTTTCTGACTCTCTCGCTCGTCTCTAGCTCTCGTCGTTCGCTCGTCTCCCGTTTAGGGTCCGTCCTCATACATCAAGCTGGGTTCGAGATCCCACGGTCCGATCTAAGCACGCATAGTCCCCGTATCCTTCCCCTTCTATTTACGCGGGTAAACTGGTCGCCATTACTTGCTAACGAATGCGGGCGAGAAGAACGACCACGGAGGCTACAACAAGGGACCATAATTTTTTGAGGTTGCTCTGAAGAGGCGTTCCCGTAATAGGGAGATGGGTCGCCGACTTGAATTGCTGCAGTCCTGTGACATGTCAGCGTCGCGACCATACCCGGACGGAGAGCGGAAGCAGGCACTCACGACAACGGTGAAAGCCCAATCTATCTTCAAGAGGCTCGCGCGATCTCTGAGAACCGTTTTGTAGCTTGTGCGGATAATAGTAAATTGGTGGGTGGCTTTGCCTTTCTAATGATAGCTTTTTATGATTTTATCAAGAAAAATGTTCTATCGCTTGCGGGGATTTCCATGGCATTCTAGCACGATAGGTACACTCTCCCCCCAGTGATGTGGCCGGGTGAACTTACGAGAGGGTGCTATATACTATAAGCAGTTAGATATGCTATTTGTCCATGGACATATTTTTAGTTGATTATCATTTCCAACATGTCATCACAAACCTCATCGTCGCACCTCAGTGTAGCCTCATATTAAGAAGGCGTATGTCGAAGTGCCTATCATTAGCCCAAGAGGAGGTGGGTCATCTGATGACCTTAGGCTAACACCACGGCCACCATCACGAAGCCTCGTCATCGCGCTCTAGAGCATCGTCAGGACAGCTTACCTATGCCGAAGAAAATAGGCCGCATTACCACTAAAGCCCTGCAAGTGTCTAAAGTTGCTCATCATCACCTATAATTTACCTAGGTGCCTATGATGCTAATAGATTAGGCGTTGAACTAGGTCTCACAACACTGACGCTTAGGCGTTGTAGGTTCTTGATGCCTCCATGTAAGTCTCCAACGCACCCACATCAATGTCATACCTGTCATCATTCGTCACCCCAGAGTTCAATTCGCTACAATGTGGATGCGGACGCTATGTCAACACCCTGACACCATTGCTGACAGGGTATCGACAGATCCCCTCCCCTGTATCGTATGCAAAAACACACACGTTCTATGTACACATATAGCAGACGCCTCTATCAAGGGACGCTCTCGCAAATCTATCTACCCATCCACTGGCAAGCCGAACCACGCCTGCCCGTGTTTCACGATCCCCGCTTCGTAACGCGCCGCGTGCACAGGATAGCTAAGGAGGGCTTACCATGCCATCCCCCGACGCCAGGGCCATTCTCGCTTATTACCCATCTAATGCTTGGCCAAGCTGTTGCTATGTATGCATGCAGGTAGGTACTTATTAGGACGCCTCCGCCTCCTCCCCGCAGCGATTCGGCAGTCGACCCGAAGCAAGCAGGCAATTTGAGCCGGCCTACACCTACCTGCCTGTCTACGCATTCAGAGCCTGCCGCGGCGTCGCGACGATTCCAGAGCGTGCAGGCCGGCGCCCTTCGTGCGTGTTGGCCGACCGATCGTGTTCATTCTAGGTGCTCGTTCTCGTCGCATCGCGTCGCCGCCGCCGTCTATCCGATCTATCTATACATCCGACCAGGGGCCACGCCTCGTCCGTATCGACCCGCTCGCGTACAGTCGTCCGGGCGTAGCTGCATCCGCGCACGCGTCTGGCTCCCGTGCCGAAAACGGGTCGCGCATCGCGAGAAAAGCACCGGAGAACGGCACCGCTCTGGTTAACTAGCTGCTCCGTGCGCTCCAGATACCTATGTACGGCTACAAACGGGGACTTGTCGACGCGGTCGCCGACGTAGCTGTGCCCGTGGCGACGGTAGAAGTGGCGCGAGTGGTGCGAGTGACCCGCGTGGGCGTGGCGGTGGGCGGCAGCTCGGCGGTGGCGGAGGTCTCGTTTGCGCGGCCGGCCTCGCCGTCGTCGGCGAGGCCGTTGGGGACGGGGCGGCGGAGGTAGCCGAGGTCGTCGGCGACGCGGACGGCGTCGACGAAGATGCGGCCCATGAGGGCGTAGCCGTAGTCGGTGGGGTGGGTGCCGTCGGGGCCGATGTCGGCGACCTGGGGGCGGCCGGGGAAGCCCTCGCTGGGGTGCATCTCGGCGAGCAGGACGGGGCGGCCGGCGAAGCGGTCGCGCATCAGCGCGCGGTACTGGCGGTTGACGTCGAGGATCTCGGGCTCGCAGCCCGGCACCGTGTTGGTGAGGCAGGTGCTGACCACGACGGCGGCGCGCGGCGACGCCGTCAGCAGGTAGTCGACGAAGGCGAACAGGTCCGCGCCGGTCCGGTTCACGTCCCGGTGCTGCAGCACGTTGTTCGACCCCACGTGCACCAGGAACAGGTTCGGCTGCAGCCGCGGCACGATGCGCCGCGCGTGCTCGTGGATCTGCGTCACGCGGTTGCCCCCGTACGCCTCCAGGTCGTTGTCCAGCATGTCGCCGAACCGCTGCGACCCCACCATGTTGACCACGGCGCCGAGCGTCCCCGTCAGCTCCTCCCGCATCGTCTGCCGGAACCCGACGTCGCCCGTGGAGAACTCGCCGCGCACGAGCGACGCGCCGAGCGCCATGATGCGCAGCGGCGTGCCGTCCGCGATCCTGCTCGAGTTCTCCGGCCGCCAGTCGCCGGGCGGGATCGTGATGCCGTTCTGCGTGATGGTGATCGTCGGCGGGTCATCGGTGGGGACGGTGCTGTTGGTGCTACTGTCGCTCCCCGCGCCGCCGCCGTCGTCGCTGCTGACGTCGCTTCTAGGGTGGAGGATGTTGGCCGCGCCCAGAGCTAGATGGTACGGTTGGTATTAGTGGTCGGACACATCGACGGGGACGTAAAAATACGTATCAACCTCGGACCAAGCGACGAGACGAGACGAGAGAAGAGAAGAGAAGAGAAGAGGGATTACGACTTGCCTATTAGCACTGCCGAAACGATGACCAGCATAGATAAGGCAAATATGGCCCTCTTCGTGCGCATGAACGACGGGCACGATCTCCTCGATGCCGTCGGTGCCATGGATTGATTCTTGTCGGCCTCCATGCTCGGCGAGGGCGGGGAGGGATGCATGTTTACGTCGCACAGTCGAGAGGACAGAGATAAAATGAGAGACGGAAAAAAAGGCGTTGTCTTACTAGAAACCCATCGGCATTGAATGGTAGAAGAGAGAGTGGAATGGGCTGGCACGGTTGGCTGGACAGAATGGGTTCCTTTTTTTTTTTCTCTGTTTTTTGCCAGTGAGCGTCCTCGATTGTCTCTATAACCCCCTTTTGTCCACGTCTTACGCAAACCGCCCAGGCAGGCAGGCAAGCAAGTAAGCAATAGGTTACTTGCACTGCCCCATGCGCCGTTGCGAAGGGAAGATAAAAAAAAACCCCCCAGGATTCGAGTCTTGGGATGTCGAGTACCAATTGGCAGTAGGTGGATTGGTTCTCGGCATCTTATCCGTCTTGACTTACACAACTGTCTAGGTAGCTAATCTAGGTAGGTAACTATCTAGCCCCTCCTAAGGGGGTATCCTATTAATACCTGGACGTACTTCAATGGCCATTCACTCCAATGTGAGGTAGATATACGTACGAGGAAAACGCAGCTAATGTACACACTTACTTGGTGTTCCACTTGGGCATGCGGCCAAGAGAAATCCGCGTGGTATCGGCTTACGCCCACAAAGCCTCAAGGCGTCTCGTCTCCCTGTAGGATCCAATGAAACAAAGGCGCACGCAGACGAGGAGAGACAAGCCAAGCTCCAGAGCCTGGTCGTGCCGTTTTCGTGTCGCTACGGGCCAACGTCATAGTCCCCCTTCTCGTGGTGGCGGAATCCTAGCCAAGCCTGGACGATCCGGTCTTGGGGGCACGTAGACGTGGAGGGTTGGCCGTCCTGGCGCATCGCAAGCCTCTAGACGCCCCCAACGCGCGGAATGTCGGCAATCTCACGTACCTATACCTACATGCCATGTACAACATAGGTATACCACATACGTACATCGATAGGATGATACACATGGCAGCCCTACGGCAATTGGACAATGGTGGTGGTGCAGGATGCTAGGCTTAGGGTGGTAGGAGGTTGTTATTATCGTGAAGACGTTAGGTACCTAGGTACAGGGCCTCCCTTCGACAGGTGTTTACTAGGGTAATTCTTTAACCTGTGCCGCATGTCCGTGAAGCTTCCCGATTCCTGTTTTCTCTAGGTCGAACTCATCGATACTTGCGTGCCTAAGTACCTTGGCTATCCGGTGTGTGAGAGGTAGGTATGTATCATACCCAGTGCAATCCAATCAACCCAGTATACGTGTCTGTTGTAGCATCTTCCACAAAAGTATACGTATATATAACATGGATACCTAATAGACGGAGGCAGGTCGGAAAAGACCTAAACACTGCTAACCTACCGTACCTAGCCGCGATTTGGGGTCATAGCTTATGCGGTTTGGTCGGTAGGTTTTCCACCCTACGAAGGGGCTGAGCCGGGCATCATGCCTATGGGCGGACGATCTCACAGACCCTTCGGATCATGTGACGCCGCACCGTGACGCCGGAAGTCTGGGTTCGGTAATATACTCAAGGGAGATGTCCTCCGTTCTCCCTCAACCTCTTGGCAGTGTCCTCCACATCATGCCTAGTGTAGTGCCAGTCCTTCTCCCCCAGCTCGGCCAGCAAGGATCGGTGATCATCTTGGGAGATGCTGATTCGGCCATCGTGCTTGAGCTGCCAAAAGAGGAACGGATGGATATAGCCATCGCGTGTCTGGATGGCGGCAAGTTCGTCGCTTACGTCGCCGCCACCTGGCTTGGGCAAGGGTTCCCGCAGGACCTCTTCGAGCTTGGACATCTCCTCATCCAGGAGTGTTTGGTCCGCAGCCTCTCTTGACTGATGAAAGAACTGAAGCTGTGCGACAGGAATATCCTCACGGATCAAGAAGGCACCTCTGCTGAGGTTCCCGTGGAGAATACGGAGACTGTGAAGGTCCTGCAGGGCCTTCCGGCAGAGATCGAGATCGTCAGTACCGGCGTTGCGCGCAGGAACCGATTCCAAGACGTATCCAATCACACGATCGTGGTTATCGGTAAGGTGTGCAAGGAAGCGCGGAGCGATGGACTTGTGTTGAAGGAGCGAATAGATGCGGCTTTCCTGTGCGAGGGCATAACTATCGACACCTTCCAGGTCGATGTTCCAGAAGGCCAAAACCGTGTCCGCCTCGAGATTCGCGGCGCCAGGATAGGGGTCCGATGGGACGTGGACTCGGAGTTGTAGCTCGTAATCCTCGCGGGCTTCGACCGGATCTCCAAGCTCCAGCAGGTCGATTCGCGATCCATGCCAGGCAGGCGTGAGATCCGGGAAGCGTCGTTTCTCGGTTGAGACGAGCGCGAACTTCCCGTCGGCACCGACGACAAGATTACCAACGTCCCAGTCTCCGGCGGGCACCGTGTCGAATCCTAGATGTTCGCCCGACCCATCGGGCAGACCGGAGAGAGGTTTCGGGCCCATCAGGTACTTTACCGAAGACCCGACGCTAATCCGATAATAGATGGGCTGCGTGGGTGGGCCCTGGAGGACCTCGATCATGTTGAACGGTGCTTGCTTGGGAGGAAGAGATGCCATGATGAGAATTGAGCAGGCTATATCGGTATGGGCAGAGCAGAGCGACTGGGGAACAACGCCAAAAGTAGAATGTCGTACTTGGTTTTGCCTGGCTTAGGGTAGGTAAGAGAGTTGCGAGGGCAGACATGAGCTGGCTTATAGAGGGAAGAGGAGAGAGACCTTTTATAGACAGTCAGCTTCAAAGGTACCATGGGTGGAATGCCATGAACGGCCACTGCGGTTTTCGCGTTGGGAGGTTGGGTCAGTTGGTAGGGCATGCGGGATGAGGCAGTCGACAGGTCGGACACATCACTATTGGATGGGGTAGGACTAACGCCTGCGAAACACTTCTGCCGACACAATAAAAGCGAGCGTCCTCAAAACGAATCTAGTAGGTAGATTTAAACGAATGACATGGTTATTATCCCGTACTCCCTTGCCCCTCCATTTTGACCGTCTACGGTCAAAGCGACAACAACCAACAGTAACCCCGATCCTAGGTGGCCAGTGGACATATTGGTATGTGAACATTGTGTCGAACTAGATCTCAAGCGGGGTTATTATCAATTGCTCCTAAATAGGGAGGCCTTGCATCGTACATACCTTGGCGCTGATAGACGGGGCGAAGTTTGGTGGGCGGTGCCAAAAGCCTTTGTTGAAAGGGAAAAGCCGTCTCAGTAAGAAGAGAGAGAGAGAGGGTTTCTGGCGGAGGGAGTCGAGAAAAGTAAGGAAGAATATTGTAGAAGAGAATTCTGAGCTTGAGGAACTGAATTGTTGTGATGCTTACTGACTGAGAGACAGCCTGAGCTCCGATACTTGCGCTCCCTTTATATACTCAAAGCTCCCTCATCCCGCTCCATCTTGAACAGGCAAAGCAGGCTCATTGCCGCCGACGATAGTCCCCGACGCGTTGTTGGTAGCAGACACGCAGAGGCCGGGCCTGGTGTCCTCTCATCAACCGGTCCTGTCGGTGACCAGCTCGACTTAACACACTACATTCTACCCAGGTTATGCAGTAATAGGTATTGGAAAAGGTGTTGCGGCTGCGTAGGAAGCTTCTACTATATGTATAACCGTGTTACGGACCCAGCACTTGACTTAGCATTCGGAGCTTCAACATCGCGGCCTCCAGCCACGCTATGCGATAACTCAGGCGCATTGCTTTCGACAAATTGTTACTCTACGTCGCTACGCTAGGGAAATCGGGGTCGTTGCGGAGCCTACGAGGGGCTCCGAACCCCTAACTCCATCGATTATTCTCTTATATACTCAACGAAGCCTTAGAATGGACGGCTTCGCCGCCCATTCCCGCTCTCTCGACGAGAGTCCGTTAATCTCTCCTGCAAGACCTAACCTTTGGCGTCGTTGCCGCGCGCGGTAAATCGACCTTTGTTGGCCCTCCGAGGTTACAGAACGACGGTTTACATGAGGGCTCCGAATACCACTGCTAGCCCCCGACGGAACTGTTGGTTCGGGCGAAAATGCGCGGCAGTGGTGGGCTGGTCTTGCGCGCGGCGGGCAAATCGCGCCAGGATCGCCAACAGTTGTAAGCCCTCGAATGTCTTCACCCTGTCGCCGTCGCTTTGGCGCAACTGGTTTGATTAGTCAGCCGAATAAGGAGTGCTGGTGTTGGAACAGCCCTAAGCTACCACAGAGCATTTAGCTACCTATTCAGTATCTCGCATTCTCGCGGCGCGCTTTTTCGCGGTTCAAGCTATATCCTTTCCCTATAAAGGCGGTTCCAGTTTTTTAGCAGTGGTTAGTCGCAGGTTTAAAGGACGTATACGGGCCCCTGGTTTCACTACAGCAGGATTCGAACCTACTTATATAGCGGCATCATACCGCCATATACCTATAGCCAGACGCTAAACCACTGCGCCGTGTGGGCAGGGGATCGATAGCGTATCCCGCCCATGCAGGCATTTCCCCAAGGTACTAAAGGAATAGGGTAATATGCGCTATCGAGAATGCGAGTGCGTGTGCCGCAGAATCACCCAATCCGATAGACCATAGACCGACCGACCGACCGACCCCCCTTGTAGGCAAAGACACACCTAGCTTATTGGCGTCAGGCACTGCCCTATTGCACTTGACCCGGGCACCTCATTCTTCGTCCTGACAAGCCCGGACGATGATGAACCAAACTCCAAGGCTGGTCTCAGCCGTCCGTCCAATCACCGTCTCCGAAGCCTCCAACATGTGCCTAATCTGGAAATGCCTCTCAGTCTGCTTCGCTTGCCCGTTAGTGCTGTGACTGCTGGCTCTCCCCGGGGGCTGACTTGGGCCTGGCCCGCGAAATGCGTGGATTCTCCAGCCGAAGACTGCATTCGTAACTAGGACGAGGCGGCTCTATTGCATCAGATAGTCGAGGTAAGGGAAAGAGGGATAGATATCCCGGTGAGCACTGCTCAGATCTAGTCGTCAGCCCTCTCTCGCACGCGCGCTGTGGTTTAAACGAATACGAGACACGGCTCGCCACCTTCTATCGATTCTATACCCTATTGACATTTTAAAGACAACTATCCATCATGCTTCTAAACAACCGCAGTTCCGTGTATGTGTGTACATAGAGATCTGTAGGTTTAGGTAGAAAGGAGGACTCCCGCGAATACGAATACGAGGACAAGGTTGAAATTCGCCGAAGGGCTCCGTGGGTGGACTCACCTATGCACAACTCCTACTCCCGGCCCGCGAACAGGCCGCCCTTCCTCTTTGCAACGATCGTGAGCGTGTTAGGTAAGCTACCTCGCAGGCGAGATTGCACGGTCAAAGCGGCTTAGGCAACGATGATGTATTCTACTATAGCTACTTCCAGCCAGATGCTGGGAATGCGGCCCCTCATGAGAATCCATGGGGCTTCCGGGTCCGCACTGTTCTGAGGGGTGGCCTCGCTCCTTCGTGCCTACATAAAGGGGCGGGGGACAACTACGGTTTAATAGCAGTCAAGACGACACACCTCACTACTCCGACCTACCTGCAAGAGCCTCTTCTCTCGACACACAACCGCTTACCGAGGCCACTGATTATAGCGTCGTTTCGAACATCAGTCAAGATGCCGCTAGTCGTCCTACCCGCCCAGCAGTCCGACATCAAAGTCTTGCACGACATCTACTTCGCAGCCTTCAAGAACGAGCCGGTGATGGGTTTCCTGTTCCCGGGAGGCGTCGACCGGGAGGCCTACGACCAAGTTATGAAGGACTCCTGGGGGCACGATACCAACGTTTACCCGATCAAATGTGTCGATACCGATACCGGAGAGATCGTCGGGATAGCCAACTGGGAGATTTTCTGGCGGCCGGGCGCCGAGAATGGCTGGAAGATGCCCGAGGGCATGCCCTGGCTCACGGGAAAGGAGCGGGAGAGGAGCGAGAGTGTCATCATGCCCGTATGGGAGATTAGGGATCAGCTGTTTAGTGGGCGTAGACATGTTTGTAAGTGTTCGTCTAAGTGGTGCGTGTGTTCACGCTGGTAGCTGACACGAGCCGACACGAGACCTAGACCTTCAAACTACGGCGGTACATCCAGACCACCAACGTCGCGGCGCTGGGACACTGCTCTTACGATGGGGAATGGAAGTGGCCGACAAGCTCGAACTTCCACTATACCTCGAGGCTACGGGGACTGGGCTGCTGCTATACGAGCACGAAGGCTTCGAAAGGTTGACGCATGTCCGCATAATCCAAAAGGCAGAGGCTACTGGTTTCGAGACGGATATCGAGGTTCCCTTGATGGTGAGGTTGCCGAGCAAAGCCGGGGGCATTAGCTTCAAGGAGTGGGCAGACAAGGGCTACCCGGAGAGTTACTAGGCTGAAAATTGTCTGCCGCAACGAATTAGCATCTGCGTCGTAGTGTAGGGTAGTAGGTAGGGAGACTTATCCCCTAAAAAAGGGGGCCGCCTCCGACTCAATCAAGAGATGGAGAAGGAGACAGCCTAGGACTACCATCCAACGGGCCTGTCCTGGTATTCGAAAATAGAGTGAGAAAGGTATACCGACAGGATTCCCGATCTGACGCTACACGACTCGCAGGAACCAGAGCCGGACAAGCACAAAGCTTTGACACCAACTCTAGATGGGTCCCGACGCTGGTCCTGCGGACGCGAACCTCATAGCGGGCATCCCGACGGCATGCGTCTCCTAGCAGGACCCGCACAGCCAAGTTCCAACGGCATCACCCCCGTCCTCGACTAGCCTAAGCTTCGGAACCGGCGAGTCGTATCACAACAGCCGACACTAACACCAATCTCGAGAGAAGCCTCTTTCTGTCGAACGCACTGCCAGCGAGGACTAGTTTTTGATTCCTCCCCGTCGGGTTCCAAGGAGCGGCAAGGGGGGCGTTCGCGTACGGCCAAAAGACGTCCATAAAAGCCGCACTATCATCTCTCCTCAGTCCAGTTTCTGGCAGAGTCGAGGGAAGCTCGCCGACCGGTCGCTAGGAGCGACCGGTTGGCGAAAGGGGAGTTTGGCGTCCCCCATCATCGTGGGGCGCGGCCCACGAGAGGGAATTAATGCGCCTGGTCAGACCTCGTAAAATGACACACCCGTGGCGGGTGCCGGGATGCGGTGCCGGGAGCTGGTAGAGCCAGGGGTGGAGTAGATGAGGTTGCAGGCGACCGACAAGTCAGCTTTTACACCGACACCGACCGCCAGCTGGTACGTAGCTATGGAACAAAAGGGTACCCAGATCTTATAACATGGCAGCGGGTATATGGTGTCGAGAGACTATGGGCAAGTTCTGTTGCAACCACGCGATCGTCGCTCACTTAGCCGAGTAGAATTCCCTGGCGTAAGTGATTCTGGCAAGCTAGACTGGCGATATAGGGTATGAAATTGCCCACGACCCTCGACTGTACGAAGCCAATGTTACGTTCTTCCCGATCGTCCCCGATGCTACGAGCAAGGCCTCGATGAGAGCCCTGTTGCCACCAGCCAGCAGTGGTGAAGCCGCCAGAAAGTCATCTTCCAACCCGTCTGGTTCTGACCAACACCTCCAGCACGGTAACGCAGCGACCAGAGTCCTGATTCCAGCGGCATAAAGCTGACGAGCGACTCCAGGCCAGGAGTTCTTATCGGACGGACTCATGGCTAAAGCCTCTCACGCGCCCGGGGGGCGACTGGAGTGTCCGATCATCGCCCTTCCATCCCGATGCCCCGGTCGGCCTGGCCTACTTTTCAGCAGGGGGGCGTCACGGAAGCAGCTAGGGATATAAAAAGCGACTTGGGACGACTGTAAACGCAAGACTAGAAACCAAGAGACACATTAGGGTTATGTTCAGAAACCACATTCCCTGGCGGCTCGATCCGATAGCCAGGTCCAGGCTGGCGCCTTCACACGACGATCCTCACGCGGGGACTGCCCACCAGGTCGACATTGACCACGGGTGTACCGGCGTGTCGTGTGAGGTTTTTCTCGAGATCGACGCAGGGGCCACGAGGACATTCCTTTCGGAAAATGGGAATCGGAGAGCAGTGGGGGAGGCGTCGTGCGAGTTTGGTAGGGCTCGATCCCCTCCTGTCAGAGGGTATGCGAGCGAAAGAGCCGTCTCTCAAGAAGGGAAGCCAATGGGGGAGTGCATGCGATCCAATTCGTATCTCGGTTGCCGATAGGCGTGGTCTCCGGGAGGGAATTAGGAAGTTGGCGACGGGTGCTGTAGGATACGCGGTGTTGACGAAGAGGAGAGAGGGAGGGAAGGGAAGCAAGCGAGGCAGATGGATGCTTTGAATCTTATGTATTAGGTAGTCGAGGGTCGCGTCGCGTAGGCAAGAGAATGGGGGGGGGGACCGCGTCGTGTTGACATCTGGCACGGGGCCAGAGCACCTGGCAACCAGAGCTCAGTCCACCTTAACCAACTCCATTGACACAACACCTCCTTTAGGTACTATCATGGCTTGTCAGATACCCCTTTTATCCCCTATCCGCTATCTATGAACCCCAACGACGTCAGATGCCGTAGGAACCTGAGTGAGTAATCAGAACCTGGACATACCTATTTACTAAATTTCCTATTTCCTTACGTCTTCACCTTGGAGGCGTTGCGGTGCCTAACGTGACCAGTTAACGCAGATGCAGCAGTTTCTGTTGCCCGTGCCGAGCTCCTCGGACCGCGACGAACCCGCTGACACAAAGCGCTCACCCGAGTGTTGACGCCAGTAGTAAAACTAAACCGTCCGCCACCATGGATACCAGGCAAGCCGATGGAGAAAAGCAGACCCTGGTGTCAGCCATCGAGAAGGCGTCTGCGAGGGCGTTTCAACCCTCGGGCGATGACGCATCTCGTTCGGAAGGCCAGCGGGAGTTGAGTGCGCTCTTGTCGAGGTAAGGGAAAGCGAAAACAACCCCGACATCAACCTCGTCTCTAAATCTTCAACTGTAGAACGAGTACTCTAGCACTCATGTCCGCCCTGAGCAAGTTGACCGGTCCTGATGGCGCCCCACCATGGCTCCGGGTTCATCTAATGGACATCTTAACTCTGCTTCCTCAGCGCCCAGATGGTGTTCGGTCCACGTTAGAATTTGTGTTTTCCGTCCACCCATCCAGCACCCTGAGGGCGTCCGACGCCCCAACGCTGCAGAAGCAAGGCGCGAATATCACGATGGAAGCCCTTAAGCTGGCCACCAACTTGCTTTCCGCCCCGCCAGCTACCGTCTCTCCCGAGGAGTGGTTCCCCGGCATAGCACCGCAGCTTCTAGCTCTCCTCGACGGGAAGGACGGCCAAGATCTCGTCAAAGCCGCGGCCTACGTCATCGGCTTCGGCGTGTTGGGGAGAAGGCAATTCGGTGCCCCTGGTGTGTAATCACTAGCTCTAGGAAGTCATTCTTCAGTCATAGATGCTAACGAATCTTGGTGCTCAGGCTCGGCTGGATGGAAGGCATTTGCCGCGCCGATGCTCTCGAAGATAAACGCCAGTTTATCCACCCAGGAAGCAGCAAAGAAACCTGTAGTATTCAGCGCCGGCCCAGATGAAGTTGTTGATTTACGGAAGGAGACTGTTTCTGTCGAAGCAGATGAGCTGCACACTGCTCTCAAGCGTTTATCCTCTTTGCTAGACTCGCATCCTAATCCTGGACTGACTAAGAGGCTTCTCGGGCCGTTAATGCTGCCTATGTGGACCATATCCTCGTGGCCTCCTGTGAATGAGAGATTCGATGAGCGGTACCGGCGTCCAGCAACCACTCTTCTGCAGATCTTCCTCAAGATTGCGGGATCTCCGGAAAGGTTCCAGGCACTTCTCAAGAATCTTCTAGTCAATGGCAACGCCGACCCGTCAAGGACTCGATGGGTCTACGATAGAGTAGGGGATTCCGACCTTCAGGTGAAACAGCTGCGTGATGGCACAAACGCCACACACTTAACGTTAGATCTAGGCCTCTTAGAAGCCAAGTCGGACGCCTACGTGCAATTGTTGCAATCGGTAGCAACTGAATCGGATATCTCTGCGCTTTTCTTAACCCTGTTCCGAGGCTCGTTCAACCCCACGAAAGCCACTCACGAGATCCGTATAACTCCCGAGAACGACCAGCAGGGAGACCCGACGGTGCAGCTAGCAGAGGCGAAAGTACTCCAAAAGATGATGGAGAAGCTGTCCGATCGGCTGGTGTCCAATTGGAGGCAAATGATCGAGCTGGTCTGTGAGATACTTGCTGAATCGCAAATATCACTGGAGGGGCCTGGCGACGACGCTACGCCAGTAGCTCTCAGCTTGCTGAATCTCGTCGTAGCGGCACCTGGATTCCAGAGATCGATGGTCCGCGCTGACCTCCTCTCGTCCATCGAGGATTCCCTCGGGCGCATTAGTAAGGCACCGGAAGCCGATGTATCGCAGACCGCTCGCAATCTCTCGCTCCTCCTCAAATACCGAGACGCGATAGACGACCCCTCGGAGCGGACGACAGCACCGACGGACCGCCAGGTAGAAGACCGCAAGACATACAACCTAGCTATCTCGTACATTACGCAGGCGGACTCGCCGCCTCCTGTGCGCTCGGAGGGTCTGAACCTCCTATCGGGATTGATACGCGCCGGCAGCCCGATTCTCGACATCCAGGCGACGCTAGTGCTGCTGTCGTCGCTGCTCAACGAGAGCGAGGATTACGTCAACCTGACGGTGGTGCGGCTCTTCACGCAGCTCGCGGACCGGCATCCGCGTTCGACGGTCAAGGAGCTGCTCGACCACTACGTCGACGCGGACGAGCGCGAGACGGTCGACACTCGCCTGCGCTTCGGCGAGGCCCTACTCCAGGTCCTCCAGCGCCTAGGCGAGACCTTCGCCGGTGAGATCGCCGCCCAGGTCGGACAAGCGCTACTCTTCCTCGCGGGCCGGCGGCCCCGTCGCCCGAAGACTGAGGCCCGCCAGCGCCGCGCCGACCGCGTCCGCGAGGTGAAAGACAGGGCTGACACCGCGCGGGACGCCCGGCAGGGTCCAGCGACGGGCGTGCTCGGCAACGGGGACGAGGATGAGGATGAGGACGGTCGGACCGCGGAGCAGAGAGCCCGCGACGACCTCGTCGCGCAGATCGTGGCCGGGTGGGAGAGCCGCCGCGGCGCCGAGGACATGCGCGTCCGCGCCTCGGCGCTCTCGATCCTCGCAGCGGCGGCCGAGACGAACGCGCCGGGCCTAGGCGCACCGCTCGCCGCTGCTGCGGTCGACCTGTGCCTAGGGGTGCTAGCGCTTGAGCGCGGGCCGGAGGCGGGTATCCTGCGGCGCGCAGCGGTGGTCTTCATACTTCACCTCGCGCGGGCGCTCGCGTCCCGAGGCCCAGGGCCGGCGGTAGTAGGGGGCCGCGCCGCCAGTCCTTTCGGGTTTGGGCTCGCGGGGATGGGCGGCGAGAAGGAGGCCGAGGTCCGCGCCGCGCTCGCCTACGTCGCCGACACGGACACGGACGGGCTCGCGCGCCAGCATGCCCAAGACGTCCTCGAGAGCCTCGACAACTGGCGCCTCGCGAGACTGACGCCCCGCGACGTCGACGAGGGCGGCCGCGGGCCGGGGCTCGCGCGGCTCGCGGGCTTGAATCTCGGGGCGGGGTCTCCGGCGGCCAGGCTGCCGCCCTTGCAGGAACAGGGAGGGACGAGGCCGAGGATCGAGGAGGTCGAATGAGCGAATAAGCGGGGAGGGGTGGCTTAAGGTGGGTGGATAGGCGCGTACGCCTGTGAGGTCGCATTTAGGGGAACAGCTTGGTGTTGTTGAAAAGGTCTGAAACAACTTAGTTATTATACCTAAGACGGCCCGACACATATTCTACTATCTACGCCCCATGCTATCCTCTTCACCAGATCGGTTAGGTAGGCTAGTGTGTCCGACCTGACGGGGACGATGTTGCCAGGTAGTCCTATATACCTAGCGCGAGCCGTTCGTGCCTCTCTGACTCCCCGGTGTTCTGTGCTTCGCGACTGTCCAGTAGCCGAGAAATCTGGCTTGGGCCCCGCGAGAAAGGAAACGAGTTGCGGCTCAAATGTAGTAGGCGCTTAGAAACACAAAAGCATAGCCACGGCGGAGTCGTGGTTCTGTAACCGAAGCCTGCCGATGCTACTACTACTTCGATGGCGCACCGCGGCTGTCTTTGCCCGAACCTCCTACTGGTAACGGACGATAGATCCTCAGGCTGCAGCATCTCCTTCCACGGGCCTCCGAATACGACGCCGGGAACAGTGGCCACGGCGCACGCTACGGCGCGGAGCCCGGGGCCATCGACGGCGGGCTCGAGGGCCGCAACCGTAGCGATACGTACACGAGGGGCGCTCATTACGGCGCGCAGAGTGGCGCGGGCCCGGAATAGCCATTCCACTGGCCTCCGACGGCATTGACCTGCCGCCGAGATCCCATGTAGGCAGGCGTCGATCCGGATGGCGCCAATCCTGCTCCGGCTGTTAGTGTGACGGCGCGGCGCCCGGGTCAGATCGAGGCACAACTTACGATACTACCCGGGCGAAGATACGCGAGCGCACGTGTGTGGGGCGGGATCCAGCGGGGCTAGCTAACGCCTAGAAGGGGGTCCCTCCATCGCCCGGGCTGTCCGTCTATCTGGGGCCCCACGCTGGCCGCTTAGGAGCGCGGGCCCGGGGCGGCAGAACAGGGGCGAAACGGGGGGGGGGCGGGCTGCTGGGCCCACCGCCGGGAGCGACGGCGGACGTCGGAGGGCCTAGGGGTCCTGGCATTTGAGCATACAGAAGTCGTCGGGGGTGCGGGCGAGCAGCTTGAAGAGGATGTAGATGCAGATGAGCATGACGGGCTCGACGTGGGCGAGGGCCGAGTTGAAGTTGACGAGCGTGGTCAGGAACACGACCAGGTGCAGCACGACGGAGCCGACGTTGGCGATGGTCATGGCGGCGGTGGCCAAGGAGGAGGGGAGGAGGGGGGGGGCCGCAGGCCGGGCCGTGCAAGCAGCTCTGGGGATGGCTCGCGAAGGGGGGGGGGATCTTGCCTGCCCGCCGATGCTACGTTGGGTAGATATCTAGGTATACCGGCCTCGGGGAGGAGGAATTAGGTGTGAGAGGGCTTTCTTGTTGTGGGGTAGAGGACGGGCGGAAGTCAATAGCGCAAGTAGGTTCGCTAAGCCCCGGCGATGGCGTAGGAGGCTCCGGGGGGAGGGTACTTGGTACCTATATCGGGAGGTGGTAGGTACCTAAGGTACCTCAACAGGCCAGCGGATCCCGATAACGCCTTACTCTGGATAAGTATTAACTTAGTGAGGCCTGGGGCAATATGCGCTGCGCCGGAGCACCGAAAAGGTGCAGCAGGGGTGGGAAGCAAAACTCAGCATCGTGGGCGAGACCAACTCACCACGCTCCAGGAGGGCTTACGGCTGCAACTGGGACACGCAAATGAAGGTGTATTGTGTTTGGGAAACAGAGGTAGTTTCAGGCGATGTTCAGCGGCCACGTCGACAACGGCTGGGAATCTAGGTAGGTATTGTATCGCATATCGCCTTGGTTTAACCCTATACCTATAGCGAGGTGCCTTATTTATTCCAAATTTCGTTGCCCTCTGCCTCAGGTACCTTAGGTACCTAAGGTACTTAACATGTGGATACAGGTACCTAAGGTAGTTAGAGGTACGTACTAGCGGGTAGTGAGGTATATTAGGTACCTTAGTAATAGGGATGTCGACGCCTATTGTCTTGTACTACCTAACGTTCCTTACCAAGGCAGAGTGCGTGATGTCATAACCTAGGCCCGATAGCTCCGGAGATGTTACGTAACAAGTATTCGATGGCCGTGTGCCTGGCTGCCCCACTTGCATCACCTAAGCCAGGCGCCGGGCCTGGATTCTCTCTTGTCCGGGACCACTCCGCCAACCCCCCATCGTCATCTAGCAACACCTCAGCAACCATCCGACGTCGCTGGACTTCCGCTGGCCTTCCCGCAGCCACCCCTGCATTTTCCCGCGTTCACGCATACACATACACATACACACAGATATCATACAAGCACATAACGTATATGTATATACCCATAGATGCCAGTAGGAGCCTACGGCCATATTTCTTGTCCTCCTAGCTCGACGCCCATAGCAACCAACCATCCGTCAGCGGCTGTCTTATGCCTACCTCGCGATTCGGACCGCCTCCTCGACCACCTGCAAGCGGCGCAGTCCTGTCATCCTCTTAGATCGCTAGGAACGTGCTGCGGACAGATCCGACGGATATGGTTCATGTCTCTTAGGGCCCCATTAGAACCCCCAACAATCCCTCTTCTAAGAGCGCCCTCAACGCCGCCATGAGCCTCGCCCGCGGACCTCCGAGGCGGTGGTCGTTGAACGATACCTATGGTTAGTTGGTCGTCTGTAGCTTGCCTAAGATGGGTCGGAGGAAATTGCTGGCAACTTGGAAGCTGACAATCTTTAATTCTCGTAGGCTTCATCGCGACGTTCTTTACGTGCCAGACGCGAGCCTACCATCGCCGAGCGATTGCGAGATGTGGAGCAATTCGGCCGCTGTCGCGACCTCTATCGGAAATACAGCGCGTCGATGCGGCGCGGACTTGCGGTGGTGTTAGGGGTTCCGCGGCTCCATTCCCGCCGTACGCCCGCCACTTCCACACGTATTTTGTCACGCACATCCCATCTTCGTCGCTTCACCCCGATTCGCGAGCTCCGATCGGTCCTCACCACAACTTGCCGCGCTCCGCTGCGGCGCCACATACCTCCGCCACCGGCGCCGCTCCTGTCTCCCCGCCAAACCTGCCGTCGAATCGCGATCTGACCGTCGTTCGCATCCCCCTCCGCAGCGCCAAGCACCACTTCGGCGTTGCGGAATCCAGGGGCTCCCGGCCTAGCAATGAGGATACCCACCAGGCCGGCACCATCGACATGCCTGCCTTTGCGAAACGCGGCCCTATCAGTCTCGTTAGGAACGCCATGAAGAAGAGCGGCGAGGCGACATCGGCCGACAGTGCCTATGGAGACCCTCAGATTTTCTACTTCGCCGTCTTCGACGGCCACGGAGGCACCCAGTGCAGCGACTTCCTCCGGGACGAACTCCATGGCTACATAGAAGAGGCCGCTAAAGAGTTCGAGCTGAAGAGTAGCCTACGGTTACCGCGCAAGGGCCACAGGCCAAGTACAGAATCGCCCGAAGCATCGGCCCGGGCCGTATCAGATTTCGAGGCCGGCGGCCGGAAGAAGCTGGAGGGGCTGGATATGGAGAGCCCGGAGGCTGTCGCGGCGAAGGCCCAGATTCCCGAAATTGACAAGCACGGCGCGATTCACGGAGGAAGACACCACCATAGCGCGATCAAGGGTCACCACCCCGTGCCAGCCGAAGGTTCCGAGTCGAAGGCCTTGCGATTGGAGAGGGAGCTCGTGAAGGAGTACAGGAGCACGGTGGGCGGGTATTTTAGGCGTTTCCACCCCACGCACTTCCGCTCACACCACGACTCCCACTCGCCCGAACCGCCGGTCACCGTCGAGGCCGTCCTCACGTACGCGTTTCTCCGCGCCGATCTCGACTTCGTCTCGGCCCAGGCCCGCAAGCCGGACCCGGACGACCCGTACGTCAGCGACACCGCGCTGAACCTGGACGAGGTGCTCGGCAGCCCGTACCACATGCCGCCGTCGGGGCAGGGGATCGGCGGGCGGACGCGGTTCAAGGGCGGCTCGACGGCGTCGGTGGCGCTCATCTCGACGCCGACGCCGGCGCCGTTCTGGCACCCGGCGGCGACGTCGACGCTGCTGGTGGGCCACGTGGGGGACACGCGCATCCTGCTGTGCGAGACGGCGACGGGGCTGCCGCGGCCGCTGACGTCGGACCACCGGCCGAGCTCGCCGAGCGAGTCGCACCGGCTGCGGCGCTTCGCCACGTCGTTCGTCGCCGACTCGTTCGGCGAGGAGCGCATCCAGGGCCTGGCCAACTCGCGCGCGTTCGGCGACGTGGCGTCGAAGCGCCTGGGCGTGTCGGCGGAGCCCGACATCGCGCGCGCCGAGCTCGGCCCGGCCCAGTACAGCTTCCTCGTGCTCGCGTCGGACGGCGTGTCGGGGACGCTCGGCGACCAGGAGATCGTCGACGTGGTGAAGGAGGCGCGCACGCCCGAGCAGGGCGCCCGCGACGTCGTCGCCTACGCGACCGAGGTCAGCGGCGACGGCGACAACGCGACCTGCCTGGTCGTGCGGCTCGGCGGCTGGGAGCGGCGCAGCGAGGGCGGGCTCGGCAGCCTAGGCACCAAGGAGGTGCGGGATTTCCGCCGCAGCGAGGCGCTCGACCCGCGCAGGGGGATACGGTGAGGAGGAGATACCTAGGGGGTTGGCCAGGGGGAGAGGGGGTGGGGCTGAGGGTGAGGGTGAGGTGAGACGGAGAAAGAGGCGATGCGCGGCGCTGAGATAAGCCCGAGGAGATAATGCGACGACGGGTGAAGGCGGGTTCGGAAAAAAAATAGGGGGAAGGGAGGGGGAAAAAAAAGGCATGGAGGGGAGGGGGGCAATCGGGAATAGACGGTCTAGGACGAAAGACGGCGCGGGAGGCGTCGGATCGACCGGCCTGGAGAATGGGCTGGCCGGCGTCGGCGGGGTGCTACCTACTACATTCGATATCACACACACACATACACACTCTGTTATGAGTCACCGGCAGACGGGGCCATTACTTTACGACTCTGACGGCCGCCGCAGAGACACATGATGCTAGCTAGATACGATAGACAGACAGACAGACGGACGACCGCCAGACCGCCCCGGCTGGCCCGCCGTCTCCGTAGCACTGAATGCAGGTATGCATGCGTGGGAAATCACGCTCTGCTCATCGTCGTGGCGTCGTGAGAAGACGGCTGGGAGCAGGGGGGGGTTACAGGGCAGGGAGTCATCAAAGGTCTGTCTCGGCTTGCCTACTCGGGAGCGACGTAAGCCGAGCGAGGCTGCGATGCGAGAGGGCGGGGGGCAGAGGGCGGTGCTGATTAGCCTTTTGCATTTCTTTGCCTCTTCTGCCTCCCCCCCCTCCCCCTCCTCCCCTACTTCCTCTCACGCTCGTATGCTCCCCCCCTCTTTGCTTACGACTACGACGCGCGCCGCACCTACGAATCACGGCAGCAGGGAGACCCCCGGGGGAGGGGGGGGGCGAGCGCGCACGAGAACTACGACGAAGCGGACGTCCGGCGGAGGGGCACGTGGAGAAGGAGATGGATGGGTAATTAGCGGCAAGGTCAGATTGCGGACGCGGAGCAGTACCGTGTATGAATGTGAGCGTGAAGTGTGTGTATGAGTGTGTGTGTCAGGTGTGTGTGTGTGTGTGTGTGTGCTGTAATGCCTATCGATTCCCAGCGCCGAACGTTTCGCATCCGTCCTAATAACGCCTGGCAGTAGTACGTCACCCAACGTGTAATGTGTAGTAAAAGAGGCAGTGAGCAGTAGTACGTTCGTTCCGCCGACCCCCTCCCTCCCCCGGCCGCCAGCCCCCCCCGACTCCTTGCCCCTCCGCGTCTACCCTCCCGGCTTCGTAAGGTGCGTGTTGACGTAAGTCTTTTTCCGACTCCCCCCTTTCCCCTCCTCCTCTTCCTCATCTCTCATCCCGACTCCCCCCTCCACCCATCTCGGGAGCGTACACTGGGGTGGCGAACTACGTAGAGGAATCGATCTAGGTAGAACCTAGAGCAGGCCGAGCGTGACCAGGTGAGCGGTTAGGTATGTAGGTATTAGGGAGGCGGACAAGCGAATTAGACGGGACGTGGAGGTAGTTAGTTAAACCGCTCGCCACCCCGGAGTTGGCTCACTACCCATCACGCTTAATAGTACCTCACGACTACCAAACGAGTAAGCCAGCCGACGAGACTGACTGAAAGCAACAAATGACAACGACGCCGACGGAATTCCAAGTCCCTGCAGAAGCGGTAGCAGCAGCTACGGGACGGCCCAGATGTGTAGCTGCCTTATGCGTTTCCGCAGCAGGCGGACAGCGGCTCCCGTCGCTGCTACCGCGACACGCCGAGTGCGTCGAGTCGCTTGCACGATTTCAACTCGAACTGGTCGGCGATTTTCATCTTATCCGGGTCGGGGAAGAACCAGCCCTGCGCCTTGTCGATGAGTTCGCGCTTGGTACGGACCTCGGTGTCACAGTGGCGTCGCAGCGTGCGCACGAACCCGACCTCGGCCTCCTTATCCAGCTGGCGGAACTTATAGTCGTTCCAGCCCGCCACCGTCGCCGGGTCTACGTAGTAGTCGACACCGAGCTTCGGCGTCGTCCGGTGCAGCGTCAGCGGCGGAACCGCCATCTCGAACGCCATCTTCGGCACCGCCGGCTGCGTCTCGCCGCTCGAAAAGAGAGACGAGAGTAGCGGGAACAGGAAGAGGAACAGGACCGGCAGTAAACTAATCAGCGTGTCCCATCCCGTCTGTGGTTGCTGCTGACCGTCAGCCTCACGGGGACGCCTTCGCGGGTGGCCGCCCGCCATCTGGTGTACGCGGAAACCCCTGTTGCCACCGATGTTGAATACAAATTGTGGGCCCGTGTCGAAACCTGCCATGCCAAGTTAGCGGTCCATACCTTGCTAGCTTTCTCAACCCTTCGCGTCCGCTCGCATGCTCGACTCCAACGACGGGGCAAGCTCTCGAGAACGAAGAGATGTAAGGATGCTGCTCACCGCCGAAAGGCCCGCCGAATCCGCCACCGAAAAACCGCTGGAACATCTCCTCCGGACTGATCTCCTCCTCGAACATGCCCCCACCACCAAACCCCGCTCCGGGCCCGGCTCCCCGAGGACTGCCGAAGCCGCCAAAGGGGTTGGCCGCCTGGGCCCTGGCGCTCTCGAACCGGCTATCCGGGTCGGTGCCGAAGCGGTCGTACTTATCGCGCTTGTCCTTGTCGCCGAGGATGCCGAAAGCTCTGCTCACCATCTTGAAGGCCTCGTCGGCGTGCTCGTGGCCATTCTTGTCCGGGTGGGTCAGCAGGCTCTGCTTGCGGTAGGCCTTCTTTATGTCGGAGTCGGTGCAGGTGGTGCGCACGGTCTCGAGGTCGAGGATGTCGTAGAAGGCGGTGGCCTTGCATCGGCGGATCCGCAGCACGGCGGCCTTCTGCTCCGGGGTATATTTGCGGTCCTGGTTTCCCTGGTTGTGCTCCCGCGACCGAGAGGACGAGCCGCCCGACGAGCCGTCGAAGCCAGAGGCTGTTGCGCTAGGCATGGCCGTAACAGCGCGCTCTTAGGAGAAAGTGTAGACGCGGATGGATGGATGGATGGATGGATTGACAGTTACAACTGGGCTGTCTTCGCAGGTGTGGTTGTCGGTGAGACGGCGTGTTGTCCGAAGAACGCCTAGGCAGACAGATACGTGTTGTATGCAAGGCTCCGATTGTTTATCCAGGATTGGAGGGCGTGGGGTGTAGGTGAGAACCTGTGTACCGCGTAAAGACCTGGTGATACACAGTACAAGGGCGTCGAAAAGAGAAAGTCGAGCGTCTTCGTCTGAAGAGAGAGCGGTAGGTGGAGATAGAGGTAGTCAGAGAGAGGGTTTTCTCTATTAGAATGGGTAGACTTCAAGCGACTAAGTAGGGGAGAACGGTCGGTTGCCTGGCCTTGATGGAAGAGGTCAGAGAGGGCTATCGCGTCGTAGTGGTGTCGTTGAGTGGTTTGGAGTCGAGGCTGAAGCGACAGAGGCGATAGGTCGTAAGTTGTTGCTGGTGTAGGATTCGACCAACACCTTGGTGTCTCTGTAAAGTGCCCAGGTGGCTTTTCCCCATCACCCGTGACGTGTGGCTAGTGGCGGTGATGGGCGGATAACCGGTATCAACAACACGCCCTCATGCATAAACTAGTAAATATCACTCAATTGAAGCCTCCACACTCTCCTTACATGGGGGTTTAATGCAGGTTGCATAATGCTCATAGGTACGTGCCTAGGTACCTTTGTACTGTGGACTTGAACCTGCAGGAACGAACCTGTAGTAGATCAGGTACCCAGTACCAGCATGATCTCTGGTGTGTAGCTTACGTAACAGGGAAATGGGTTAGGGAATTATGAGCTATGGTTGTGCATGCACAGGATGCATAACAGAGAGAGACAGCGTGAGCGTAGAGAAGTAGATACGTACACTCACCTCATGACCTCCCGGTCCAGAGGCCGGGAGAGGTTGCAGCAGCTAATGCTGTAACAGGCTTGGCTCTCTGGGAGGATGCACAAGCACAAAGAGCCTCAACGTTGAATTTTACAGGTATAACGCACAGTTCCGTCCTCTGTCTCACTCCCTGCGAATAACTTCACCTCGGACGGCAGTCCAACCCCCCGGAGCTGAAACGATTCTGTCTCATTCTCACTTCTGCTGCTTACTCCACAACCTCCTCCAGCAAACCCGGAGCTTGTTCGTCTTTCTCAGGGCCAATTGAGGCAAGAAGAAGCTGCTGGTAGCGGCCAGGTCGAGGTCCTACCAGCTGTTTTCCCCCGCCTTGCGCGCCATGGCCTCGCAACCACGGCCAGAATCACCACAACCACCTCAATCGCCAGAGCCACCGCGATCAGAGCCACCGGGATCAGAGTCGCCACTAATAATAGACCCGTTGGGAGAGCCCGAATCTTCTGTATCACGGATCGAGGAATGGGGTAGTAAGTACTCCTTGCCCTGCTAACCCGCTCCGCGGAATCCCGCCACATACCCCTGCATCGCCGGTTTCCTACTTGCTTTGCACCGCACCCGGGGCCCTGTGCTCCCCTCTCCCGTCCAGACACCACACCCGTCTCGTCTCGTCCCGTCTCAGCGCACGCGCCTAGCCTAGGCTTCCCTTGCGCCCCCGCTAACGGCGCGCTCCTCCTCCTCCCCTCTCGCGCAGACTCGCCGCTGCCGCCGGTAGCGCTGGCGACGCTGGTGGCGGCGCTGCACTTCCGGCCGCTGCAGCCGCTGCCGCTGGCGTTCGCGCCGGTGCTGCTGTTCGCGAGCTACGCGAACCTGCAGGGCTTCCGCGCCGACGGGGCCGGCGTCGCCGCCGCCGCCTCGGGCACGTACGCGCTGCTGTCGCTGCGCAGCCTGCGGCGCGGCATCGGCCGCCGCCGCCGCGCCCAGCCCGCCTACTCCTGGCGCTCCGTCGCCCGCCTCTCCGCCCGCGGCTTCGTCCGCGGCGCCGCCGTCGGCCTCGGCCTCGCCAACGCCATCGCCGGCGTCTGGGTCTACTCCACCGCCGACCGCGACGCCGAGCGCCGCGAGCGCCGCGACAACCCCCGCTGGGCCCGCTGAGCCACTCGTCCCTTCCCTCCCGCTTCCACTTCCCTGCCTTGGCGCAAGCGGGGAGGGGAGGGCAGAAGGGAGCGCGGCGGATCGGCCGGCGGACGAGCGGATGGGAAACGAAAGAGAAAGAGACGAGAAAAAAGTGATAAAATAAGCGGGATGGGATTGGGATGGGTGATTGGTCGGTTCGTTGGCTCATTACCTAGTTCGGCGTGCACGGCGAATGGTGAGGGGAGCAAGTAATACCTACAATGTGATGCAACGTTGTACGAACACTTCGACTACAGCTTTCGGAGTTTGTGGGTAACGGCTGTAAAAGCACTGTAAATATATGTGTGTGTACAGGAAGTCGGCGTGGGCGTATATCGAAGCATTGCGGCCGTCGACTGGCAATCGGACTTCTCATCTTCACATTCCTAAGCCTCTCGCCGTAGGACACGTATATATTTAGGGCGGTAGAGGTTTGTAATGCGACTCAACATTCCTGTTGCTTATGGCTGTCCTCCCTGGATGGGGCGTATCCCTTTGCGTGGACCATCCGTGTCTGCCAAATATCTTGTCCATCCATCTATGCAAACTGCTCTACTAGACATAGAAATCCTTTGCCTATTCCATGCCTGAGAAATACCCTCATATATACCGAATGGCGAGGAACGGATTCGGGGCCAAATAGAAAATCGAAGGGTACAGAAAAAGTATGATAAACTGTGCGTATTAATAAATCCTAACGCCAGGAGACACCTCAGCACTTGATACGTCTCCATAACCGCCCCGTCTGAATAGAACAGAAAAAAAAAAAAACAATCCCCTGGCGTATTTTGTATCCATTGAAGATGCGCCTTGTTACTTTTCCGGCCCATCTGTATTGCGCAGGTCTATGCCTCTTGATGCGGCTGATGCTAAGGTGATTGCCCAGAAATCTATAACAGCTTGCTAATCCATAGCTAAGCCTCGTCTGCTTCTCATCTCGGGGGAATATATAAAGAGATGAAGCCCTCCTGTCTATTTTTGGTGGTAAGTCTTCTCTGTGCTTCGTGGTGCTCCACCACTGCTGGCGGGGGGCTGCCGGCTGTCTCGGCTTAAGCCACGGTGATCATCAGAATCCTGGCGCTCGAGTACACCCAGACCGAAAGGGTAAGAGATACGACGACTACCATGCCGTAAAAGGTGCGGAGCGCATTAGGCGCCCGTTGTTGCCGGACAGTAGGACTTTGAATAGTGGTTGTCTTGAAGTCGGCGATGTATTCGACATCCGTCTCCCTGGCTTTGGGCTCGGCGAACTTGGTGTACTCTTGAATGATGCTGGGCAAGTCCCAGTCCTGAGTCTTGCGTAGAACGCCAATAACGCACCCGGTCCGGTGCCTTCCGTGGTTGCAGTGGACAAGTAGAGGGTAATTCTGTCGGTTGCTGATGACGGAGAGGATGGCCTGCATGGTATTCAGCGGGATGTCGGCCTTCTTGGTACCTGCCATGTCGAAGACTTTGTGATTAATGTGGTTATCGGCCATAAACTGAGAGAAGCCGTTCGGTAGACTATCTCTGCCGACCAGCGTGACGATAGTCTTGAGATGAAGATTCGCCAGGAAAGGATAATCCGATGCCTGCGGATATCCGCTTCGGTACAGGCCAGGAAGTACATTAGCGAAGTTGACGGGAGGCGTGCCAGATAGTTGGAGACGCCGTTCTCCGGTTATGTCCCTTGCTGAGAAATAGGACTTTTGGAACACCACATCTAGAGATCCCGTTTGGATACTAGGCACTGGATGTGGTGGCTGGGATAGCTCTTTCTTGTTATTGTCGGCCATTGTGGACAACCCGAGGCTCTAGCGAGGCTGGTCTGCGGTGGTCCTAATTTCGCTGCTGTAAATGGTACTCTGTGCCCCGACGCGCCCTAGACGGACGACAAATGATAGGTGATAGGAAGCTCCAGGTGGGATCAGACGTATGACTAGCGGAATGGCGATATAGCACTTGGCGTATTGGAAGCAGGCGGGAGCAGGAATACAACTGCTCAGTAAAACAAGAGTGTGGACGGATGGGTTGGCGGTCACGTAGCCGTAAATAAAGGCCAAAGAGGGAAGAGGCAGGAGGATTGGCAAACGTTCTATCGCCTGGGCTGGATCCGTTCTGTGATGCTGGATCACAGAGTTTCGAGACACTGCGACATGTTGGCGAGATGGAACAAGTATCGCATCTTCCGTAACCGTCGAGATGGTGATTTGGGGACAGTGGTGGTAAGTGGCGTCCAACACGGACAAGACGAGCGAGATGAGGTGCCGCCGAAGATGAGACCAGCGGGATTTTGGAAGCACGAGACGACCGTCGTGCCCAGAGGGAAAAGGGGCGTGTCAAGTGAGTGGTAGTTGAGAGGGAAAGGAAGAGAGAGAGAGAGAGAAGAGAGAGGGGGAGGGAGAACGTTCGTGTGTGCTGAAGAGAAAAGAGCGCCGCACTTCTCATTTAGGGGTCTTACTGGGGTAGGTGGATTCCGGTGGGGAGGAGAAGGGTGGTGGTGTGGGTGGTGTGGGTGGTTCTGGCATTGCCGCGTCAGTACTTTGGATACTGAAGGGAGTTGTGAATATACCTGCCTTAAGGCTACCTCCTCTGGCCTCGGGTTGGCTGCCCTAGGATGTACCTGTAGTGTATACATACGGACATGTATAGGCCGAGGCGCCTGTGAGGTACATGGTAGGTACCTACCTTTAGTATGAGCAGAGGGACCTACGTTAGCTTTGGGCTTGAGCGATGTAGATAGGTTAGGTACCTAGGTACATTACGTACCCAACTTTACGAGGGCACCTCGGGTAACTTCTTGGCCTCAGGTGAACCTAAGTGTGGGAGGTAGGTACACCGGTTATTCAAGGTACTACCTCCAGCCCGAGAAGAGGTCGAGGTAGGGAGGTACCTTAGGCATGCTTTGCCTGGTACCTAGGTTTTATAGGATGTATCCTACCCAGAGGCACATGTAGGTACCTTCTAGAGGTAGGCACCCACAGGTAGGTACCTACCTCTCCTAACCTTAGGTAGGTAGACACCTTAACATAATGTATATCGAATACCTATGCTGGCTTAGATATTGGAGATGGCAGACCGAAGATTAACCTGATTCGGATTCCGCCCTCAGCCACGGAGCCCGGGGGGTGCATCACCTGACTACCTGCCTGGGTAGGTAGGTATGCAACTCAGAATATCTCATTACGCGGCAACATTGCTGGGTTTCGTGGCGCGCACACGTATATGGACACATTGGGAGATAGCCTGGGCAGCTATGCCGAATTATACACCTGTCTAAGCTATGGTGGGTGCTGGAGCTACCTGAGGCTAGGGTATAGCTACCTGCGTCTAGTAATAGCCTTATGCTGCGTTATACATACCTCCTACCCTATATAGCCATCGAGGCATCCACCTGCATATATATTGTACATTGTCGGTTCCGTCCTCACAACTTCGCATAACCCGTGGGAGAATCGGGCTATCCCCCGAGTGTTAGGACGCGGACGACTCGGCTGGATATTGAATACCTGTTCCATTGACGCCGTGCGTCTGCAAGGGTGTGCCTGTTAGCACGTATGACTGTTAGCACGTATGCCTGCATTGTCGGTATAAGTATGCATCCTGGGGTGGATTGCCGCAAGTGCCTAGGAACTGGAGGGCACAATGTTATAGTATATGCACAATGTCGTCAATACATATATATATGTACCTTTGGGTTATGTAAGGGGCCAAAATGCTGCTAAAACTCCGGGCAGGTTAGCGCCAGATGGATCGAATGACGGAGCAACTTCGGATTAAAAAGGTCACTGCTCAGGTATTCGCTACCTGTTTACCTAAGTACCTGCCCACCTTATAGGTATAAGCAGAGGCCACAATACAGGTACCCAGGTACGTGACCTCCGAACAGGCGGAACTATTCCCCAATCGACGCAATGGATGCCGCTGAAATCTTTTTTCCGGAAATCACGAGGTCGTAGGGCTCCGACTCTCCCGCAAGCTGTCGTGATAGGAACTTCAGATGAGATACGCGCATCTCGAGCCATATAAATGTAGACGCGTCACGCATTCCTGCATCCCCTCATCCCCTATACAGCACATATGCGACCCGTCAACGCGGCACAGCAACTCGGCACGATGCTGGTCTCATCCCCGTACCACATTGTGTTCCCTCTCTGTGAGACCGAACCGCTCGACTCCTGTAACTTGACAGGTAGGACGAGATCCGTCTTCCCGATCCGTCCGACAAACATCGGAGGCGTGGATTTACTCCGATAGGTGATGGGCGTTCCATCCTGACTTGTCCCGTTCGATGGATGACTTGTCTAGGACCTTTTGGTCTGTGGCCTTTCGTCGTCGTCGTCGTCAGCTAACTCGCACGAAGCTGTCGAGCGGCATAGGTAGCTCCTCCACACAGTGTGGTGGATCATGACCTAGGTGTCACCGTTCTCTCTCTCTCTCTCTCTCTCTCTCTCTCTCTCTCTTTCTTTCTTTCTCCAGCCCTCTGCCTCTCGCGCTTTATATCCATTAGGAGAGAGTGTGTTGGTGCGCACATAGATATTGTCATCGTACCGGAGGGCTCGGTTGGTGACGATTTCGCCGTCCAACCGCAGAACCTCCGCATCCTTCGGCGGGATCCTGCGAGGAGCCATCAGCCAGCACTTGTTCGTTCCGACATCGCTTGCGACTGCCATCCCGCCCCAGTCAGCAGCGCCCGCGTGGTCTGGTGGGATTGCGTGTGTGTTTAGTCGGCCTCCTCTCGTTATCCTTCTCCCATGTCCGTAGTCTCATTTCAGCGCTGCCTCGCTGTGCCAACTAGGCAGCGTAAGGTCATTTTCTCGGCTCGGCCTGTGCAAAGTTGAATTTGCACTTTGCCGTAGCAGCAGACCCTCGAGGTATTTACGGCCCGCTGCCTCCTCACGATTCGAGACACCGATGGGGCTTAGTCGACACATCACGGGAGCAGAGACTTGCCTTTTGTTGTCGCAGCATCGTGTTAGCTTCACCGCGGAGCTTACAGGTGCCTTGCAAATCCTTCCCACCTCGACCTCTCTGCTGACGGCTTTTCCGAGAGGTGCTTCCTCGAGACCCAGGCCGTTGGACTGTGCTTCGCTCCCGTCTAGACATGTCCGTTCAAGTCACGAGATTCATTGTTGGTCCCTGGGCTGGCGGTCAGCGCGCCGTATTCGCGGGCTCGCTCGGTTCCGTGACTGCGGTTCTGCCTGCAACTCACCTGATGACGGGCTATACCATAGCGTCATCGCAAGCAAGTGCATTTCTTCCCTACACGGCTCCATGCAGGTACTATTACTAGCCTGCGCATATCAGCCTCGACGTCTGGCTTCGTCCCCGGCTTACTTCCGCCGGCCCACCACACGAGCTGCCAGCCCTACCTAGTCAAGCGACATCACCGTACTGACGACCGGTTACAACCGTGCCTGGTCACGCCGTCCATAGCGCCTGTGGGATACTTGTCCTCTATTCGCTTCTTTTAAATGGTGGTCAGACAGGCGTTGGAAAGCCGTCTTCGAATCCGCAGACCGTCAGACATGCTGACCGTTCCCATTTTACATCACTCGCAGGTTATGTTCCCAGTAGTAAGCCGAAGGCCAAGTCGTATTACGTCCTGCATCCATAACATCATCAAAGCAAAACCATGCGAAAGCACTATCCCACGCCCGTCTAAGAACCTTGCACCGAGCCGTACCCGTTTTCGTGGTGCCTAGCACGATGGAGAAGGCAGATTGAGAAACAAGAGAAGAAACAAAGTGACATGGTCCGATCCGCTTAGCGCCCCCCCTTTAGCCTCTGGAACCCCGCTGCCTTCCGCTCGAAGACCGTCTCGCTCATCGGTCTCGCCGGGACATCCTCGAGTGCCTCGTCGACGAGCGTGGCTACGTCCTGAGCGCACCCGAACGACAGGCTCCAGCCAGCACCGCCGTGTCCGTAGGAGTGCACGATGCGACTGTGTGTCCTGCGCAGTTCACGCTCTACTCTCACGTTCTGCCCCCTGAAGGGGCGGAGGCCCTGGGCAAACGGATATTCCGCATCCAGGCGGGCGTTTTCTAGCCCGGGCAGGAACTTCTCGCACCTCTCCCGCATTCTCTGGATGATGGGTGTGTCCAGCGTAAGGTCGAGATCCCACTCGTGTGGCTCGGTTATACCACCAATCACTAAGGACCAAGGAAAAACAAAGAGTCAGTATTTTTAGCTTGTCCGTGGGGATGAATCGGGAAAGGGGGAAAGTCGGAGTGGCGAGGCTTACGGAGGATGTTGTCATTCCTAGGCACGAGGAAGATGATTTCGTTGGCCGAATGAGCCGCGTCTGCCGTAATAGTCAAAGCGGCTTTGACTTTCGGGAAGGCCACTCCATCATTGATTACCCGGATCAGCCCACCTCTGATCGGATAGACGGTCTCGTCCCCCGCGAGGACTTGGCTCTCGAGTCCGGTGCAGTTGACGATGACGTCTGCCTCAAACCGTTCTCGTAGCGAGTCCTCGATCTCGAGCAGGTCATCCTTGATGGTCTCGGTCACGAGGGTGGCTCCTTTGCTCTCGACAAGCTCCATCAGCCACCCCATAGCCTTGTCGGTGTCGATGACCGGCGCCAGCAACTCGTATGCGTCGACGGCACCGTATGACGGGTCAACCCCTCTCTCGTCGGCGATGTCGATACCTCGGTAGAAACCTCGGACGCCGCTAGCCATGATCTCGGTCATCTTGGATAACTGGGCCTTGTCGGACTCTACCGTCTCGGGGAAGAAGAAGTCCGACGGCATCATGCGTACACCTGACGCTTCGCTTAGCGACGGGATGGAGGCAATCCCGTCCCAGATGTGATACGACGTCATGGACCAATGCTTGGAGTGGGCGAGGGAGATCTTGTCCGTGTGTTGTCCGCACACGGCTGGCGGGAATTCCCAGAGGGCCCCAGCTATCTGGGACGTCAGGCGCTGCTCGTCGCTTGCCCACGCACCGCTGACGATCGTGACGCGGTAGCCACGGTCAAGGAGCACCCATGATCTTGAAGAACCAATGTCAGCGTACTCTTCTTCTCTTCTCTCTAGCGCCTTCTGCTCTCAGTCGTGGTATGGGAAGCAAGAGAAAGTTCTTTCTCGAGCAGTTCCTAAAGACAACTGGCTCCTAGTAGTGCCGCCCACTTACGAGATCAGTCCCGTGACACCTCCCCCGACGATTAGAATGTGCGGGGATTTGCTACCAGGCCGTCGAAGGGGCTGGCCGAGCGGCGAGATATCTCTCCACAGGGTGAGCGGCATCTTGATACGTCTATAATTTTCTGAGAGTCTCGACTCGCTCGTGCGTTGGCCGAGAGGGCAAGCGAGTGCTATCGGGGGAATGAGACGAGTGTCTAGAGGGAAGCGATTGGAAGAGACGAGTTGTCTTGGAGGGACTGGGTAGAGCGTGACGGGGCCTGATGGAGATGAGAGATTCTCGACAGGACATGTCCAGTTATATACCACCCTCGCCATTCATAAATGCCTTCTTCCTTTTCCCTTTGCTGGCCCGCCATCCTCTCTCGGTAGGACACAGTGATACCTACGGCCGCACCTTACGCCAGCCGCGTTTCTATTACGAGCCGGCTTTCCCTCTTTCAGAAAAGTATGTGTGCGCCCACACTGCCCGCCTTAGGAGAGCACACTGCCATGCTAATCTGAGAAGGTGCTTATGTTGCGTGATCGGCAGGGCCAGTAAATCGTCATGGGAGAGAAGAAACCACCGTGTAATCCCATGCACTCTGCGCACACTTGGAAGCAGGGGGCTAGCCTAACACCCACTAGCACTGCTCGCCTCGTAGGGCTATTTCGCGCGTATCAACGGATTGCTTACAGGGGTGCCTGGTTAAGTCGATGAGCCTCCCGAGGCCTTGCTGCGTCACCATAGTCTGATCCCGCTAGTCCATGGCTATGGCCTTGTCGGTTCTCTGAGAGTTACACGCGAGTACAGCTAACTGACAGACAGATATTCCCCCGGATGCTCGATAGATTAGGACAGGTGCACAGACATGTATCATCGTGGGACGAACAGTCGGCTTTCATCCGAGTTCCCAACCGGGCTTCCCCCCCCTCTCTCTCTCGAAGACACGCAGTGACTCGAGTGCAAGGAATGCCACGCATGTCCCGGCCAAAGGATTGGCGGAACCTGACGTCGTAGTTGTGATGAGAGTACAGCTGTCTTGGATGGGTACGACCCCCGACTCTCTTACTGAGCAGCAGGGCTGATTTCGGTCGAGTTCACCGATGATGATCATGACAAGGGCCATTTGATCAAGTTAGTCGTGCTGACCGAGACTATACTTCCCGGCAGCCCGCCAATCCTCACGTACACTAACACCATACCAACGACGTTCTTTCACGTCATCCTTCATGTCATCAGTGCTCGTACGATCTGCGGGTTGCTTCCGTAAACAATCTACTTCTGGACCTTCTCTCATCCCATAACGAGACGTGTGCTATGCAGCGAGTAGCTACATTCTCGAGGCGGAGGCGGTGAATTGCATCCGTACAACTGCAGTGAAATTGACTGCCGTGGTCACAACCCCCCTCCTCCCCCATCCCTTTGCCCCGAAATGGCGGAAATTGTGCGATAAGTTGGCCATAGCCGCTGGTCACTGCATATAGCCTTCTCGTACAGACCAACAATCATCCCATGCGATGGGCTCGTTTAGGAAATCGGCAATGATGACAAGGTCCACGTTGGGGAAGATGGCGGCTGCGCCAGACAGATATCCCACCGACTTACTACACACACCAGGCGGTCGAACGATGATGCTCTCCCTCCTGGGCGCTATACCGCTGACTCGGTGTCACCACCGGGGGGGTCCGCGTCGTCGGGGCTTGTGACTATGCACGCCTAGTAGCTAGGACCGAGCCGGTAGATAAGCAGCTGGCGGCGCCGGGGACCTTCCAGCTTGCGGCTGCAGGCCCGCCGGTCGAGCCGATCCGACGGATGGGGCCTGCAAGGGGGGTGGGGGTGACATATCCGGTCAGAGTCGGCTAGGTACCGTTGATTTTCAGCCTCGATTCCAGCGACCGTCACTGTCAATCGTCCGCTATCCTGTCAGCTCGGTCCGACTCATACTGTCTTCCCTTCCCTTACACGACGATGGACTTGTCGCTCGAGGGCTCAGGTTTAAGGAGAGCTTCCCATGGCGTCCGGACCTGCCCTCAGCGCCGCCTCCGGCGCCACCACTAAGCGCGCGTGGCTGACTCTGGTCGGCCTCCCCCTCCCGCGAGTGTGATCATCGGTGCACGACAGGCTTCGATAAATAGGATTCATCGTCGTCACATCTCACATCTCCCTAACCTTCACCGAGCCTCGCGAGCGGTATTTTACTGATGCATCGCATTGGCAGCTGCCCACGGCGGTGTCTTCATTAGCCAGCCACTCTGTTCGGCGGAAAAGGGCTCACCGACCAGTGACAAACAAGGGGCGTCCGGGTCTGTGTTGACCACTCGCGCGATAGTTCCGCGGCAGTATTTGCGGATTGGCGCTCCCCCCCCCGAAGACAAGACCGATCCAGCAGCAACGTAACCTGTTTCAACTGCGCTATCTTCTGCCCGTTGGTGGCTGCGATGCGCAGCGGTTCGGGTGGAAACTCGACGGACCGTCCCCGGCTAGCGCACCCTAAGACGGACGGCGAGCGAGAAGGGCGCATGTAGGTAGGTAGAAGAAAGGAGTCGAGGCGACGGCGGGACGTAGGGGGCACCGATGCGTCGAGCCATTGTTCACGAGCTCTCACATCTCACAAATCTGCCCGAGAACTGATCTCCTTCGCCGCGATCAAACTCCCCGCCGTGTTGGGAACCCAATTCGCTGTGCTGGTTGCGCCCACATGCCCGCCCCCGTGTCGAATGCGCCTCGGCGATTTCTCAGTAGGATACAGTAATATCGCCTCGCCGCCGCCTGTGGCACGCGTTGGCAGACGCCAAATTACCGGCGGGTATAGACGGGGCCACGACCCGACACCAGAATGACACCTTACGTACGTACGTACGTATGGGCGGTCAGATATGTGCGCATCCCGCTGATCTGCCAACCCTCGCAGCCCAATAGCCTCGTCGAAGGGAGAGGGGGGTGAGGAGGGGAAGGGGGCGTTGGACGTCTTTTTTGTCGGTGGGCTTTGCTATGCACGTGCACGTCAACCCGGCCTTGACAGCCAGCCCTGGCAAGGGCCTCAACAACACCTAGGTGTGGCGCGCGTCGACGAATGGAGCGGAGCGCGGCGGGACCATCCGGGGCGGCCGCTCCGTCTCGCAGACAAATAAGCAACCTGTCGTCGCTGTGGTGATGTTGCTGGTTCGAGATACCGGTGAAAATGCGGGAACCAGGCACTGCGACGACGGTCGAGTGCTGGCGGCTCTGTTGGCGGGGGGTGCATGCAGCCAGCTACTGGTGCGTTCGCGTATGTACTGACGAGCATATACGAGAGAGACCTATCGTAAAAGATGGTCGCCGGCCGCCCGACGAGTAATAATGGCGCGCCTCCTTACAGTGCCGAATTTGGGGGGGGAGGGGGTGGGGAGATGGTGAGGGCGATTGGGGGGAGGGGAGGAGGAGGATCTCTCCCCTCTCAGGGTATGGAGAGAGGTCACGATGTCGACGCCGTAGACGGCCCGTCTCTCATAAGACGTCGTCCCCCCCCCCCCCCCTCCCCCCCACACACGGGCGGCGGCCACGGTCATCTGGACCGCGGTGAACAACATACCTACATACGTGCAGCCCATGCCTACCTATATCCTACCTTAAGAATATCACCTACGTCTACCATCTATGTATAGAACCCATGTGCCGGTACGACTCTACTAGACGCTGCTGCTGACCGAGTCGATGTCTAGGCTCGTCTCTCTTCTTTTTCCCCCTCCGGCTCTAGTTTTGGCAGGGATCGATGGCGGGGAAGGGATTTCGACTTGGTGTCTTCGACTCGAAAAACATGGCCTGATTCTTCTTCGTCGGTTTTTCTTTTTTCGTCTCGAGCAGGCCACCCCCCTCCCCTCCCCTCCTCCCCTCCCTTTTTCCCGCCTACGACCGTTTGCGTGCCGGATAGCACGGTGGCCTTGCCCGCTTACCTGGGCCGGACATACACGGGCATACGGGTGAGCCCGAGTAGGCTGCAGGACTCAGGTCGCAACCGAATCGCACAGAGTCGATTGCGGTTACATGCAGCTCATCGCGTCCTGTCGCGACCTGGGTCTAACCGGGTTCGGGGTGGCAGCCATATAGCATAGGGCTGCATCTTCCATGCGCGGCTGCCCCCCCCCCCCCCCCCCTCCTTTCGGGATCTCGATCCATCCCTTTTCACGTGCCGGCTTCCGAAGTAGGGCCTGGCGGTGTCGGTTATCTGTCGTGTATAGGTAATAAAATCCACGGGTGGCTGGGACCAGGATCGCTGAACAGGCTCCGTCTCGAGGATGGGTTACCTCTGCGCGCGCGCACGGCATATGCAGCTCTTGCTCAGAGCTGCGACTCATGCCAGCGGGCTACACATACCTATATACCGCCTCGCGTGCCGCCAGGGTGGCCGCAGGCAGGTATTACACCGATGGACCGACGCGCGAAACAGGACAGAAACCGGGTCTCACGCCGGGTGCGCGCAGCAGGGTTTATCAGGTTATATCAGATTCCCATCAGGTTATGGATGGGGAGGGCGGGTTGGGCGCGTCATGACCTGCCGCACGCGCCGGGGGAGGGCGGGAGGGGAGTAAATAATCTGGCATTGCCTAATCGAGATATATTATATTACCTGCCTACATGGAGACGCATATATGTATACTTATTGTGTAGGTATATATAAGACATGACGCATGGCGCATCCGGAACGGGACGGTCTCGTCGGCGTCGTACGGCCGTCAGTCGCCTGGTCGATCAGCTAGCTACATGCCTCCTCTTGTCCCCCCCGTCCCCGCCTCCCCCCCTTGCCTGAGGAGGAAGAGGGGGTGAGAAGAGAGAGAGAGATAAGAAGGTGATTGGAGGGAGGCACGAGGGAGGAGGGGACTGGAAGAGGGAAAATGGCAAAGAGACGCTGACGAAGCCGGCTATAAATATCAATACATTCATAAATATACGTAAATGGCTGGGTGGCCCGCACAGGACTGACGCTGCGCGCTTGCACGCACGCAGGCAATGCTCATCCGCGTGATGCTGAAGCGGTGGAGCTCGCTCGCGGCTTTTCAGCTAGCGGCTTTGGCGGTGATGCTGCTTCGGCGCTGCGGCTCTGGCGCCACCGATCGCTGGGCCGATAGTGCGATGGCGAGGGACGAGGATTTCAGACAGCGTCGTGGGTGGCTTTCGGGATATCCAATCGCTCGTTTCGGCGTTCGGTTTTTTTCTTGTTCTTTTGCTTCTCTCTCTCCATCTATCTATCTCTCTCTACCTCCCCTCTCTCTCTCACACACACACACGCATGCACACTCGCTCTCTTGTTCCCTAACTCCACTCAGCGTCGGACACGCGATATACCTAGCTGGGTAGGCATTGCGTATTGTCGGGTCCCCAGCACCACCGTGCGGGAGCGTACGAGGGGAGTGCGAGGGGCCAGGGGACGAAGAAGAAGAGGAGGAGGAGGGGGGGGCGAAAGGTTAGGTAGGTGTTCTACCCCTCCTCCGCCCTCCTCTCCCCCACCCCACACACCAACGGGATGGCTGAGAGGGGCGCATACCGGCCAACCGACCGCCGGTGGTGTACATGAGGGGCGAGGACGAGGTACATGGGCATGCCGCACCAGGATGTTGCCATTTGAAGTATAGGCGGCGTGCGTCTTACTACGTGCGTCTGTACCGCGGCCTCACACGTGCCCCGCCATCTGATTTTTTTTTTTTTGCCTGGGTGTTGCCGTCGGCGGTGCTGGGCGACATACCAGCTGAGGTATCTGTCTCTGCAGAGGTACCTGATCTGGGCCTGTCAGTTTGGCGGGTTGGGTGGCTGAGCTCGCGTATATTAGGTACGTCTTGCCGCTTAGCCGCTGGCTGCCGTGTAGGTGATGTATATTACATCATGTACCTACCTAGAGCCATCTACCTGATCGGCCTGTCCATTTGCCCCCCCGTCCATTTGCTCATCCCATTCCATCCATCCCGCTCACTCCTCCACCACCGATACGTCCACGCACCTCGCACACGCACCACGCACCACGCACCACGCACACACAGACACGCAGACGCAGACGCACCGACGGCGCACACCGACCGCTCCAAGACGTCGTAGTAAGTGAACCGTCTACCTCGGTACCTGCGAGGCCCCTAGTCTAGACCCGACCGCGTCGCCCAGTGAGGCATATCGTGGGCGCTAGCTGCGGGCGTTGGCTACGGGCGTTGCGCGAACATGGCCTCCTCCCGCTTCGGCTTCGGCAGCTTCCTGCTGGTCGTCGCCGTGCTCCTGGTCGCGATGCCTGGCAGGGCGGCCGCCTTTGGCGCCGGCAACATCCCCTCCATCGCCCAGGTCGAGGGCCACAATTGGCGCCACGGCGACATCGAGGACATGCTCAAGACCATCGCCTTCCTCCACGGCAAGAAGTGGTCGACGCTGATGGTCGGCCGCACCTACTTCGGCAACTGGCTCCGCGACTACTCCCAGGCCATCGACGTCTCCAGCCTGAAGGGCGTCAATGCCGCCACTCTCCGCATCCTCGTCTGGGTCCTCTCTTTTCTCGCCAACGGCTACGCTACCGAGGAGTTCGAGGTCACCGAGGAGCGCCTTGGCGTCTACCGGCCTGAGGAACACATCGACAACCCCCTCGGCTATGCCGAAGGCGTCGACGCAAGGACTTTCGACAAGCGCCTCCGCGGGCCTGTCATGCCTATCGAGACCGAGATCGACATGCGCACCGGCATGAAGAACTACATCGCCAACGAGCAGGGGAACTGGGCCACAAGCGCCGGCTACCTCCGCTTCAGTCTCGGCCGTAGCATCCACTTCGGTAGGCTGTACTGCCACGGCTCCCACGGGAAGGGCAAGGAGGACGATCTCTGCGAGGCCTTGCGGTGTCTCGGCCAGGCGCTCCACTGCCTGGAGGACTTCAGCGCCCACAGCAACTACTGCGAGCTAGCTCTGCGCGAGATGGGCTACCACGGCGTTTTCACCCACTGCGGGTCTGACTCTGAGATCACCCTGCGCGGCCGTCGCGTCTTCCCCATCGTAACGGGCACGTTCGGCGGCGTCGATTTCCTGCACTCCGTGCTAGGCGAGGCCAACGACCACTTCACCCAGTCCGAGGTCGACCAGCTCGACATTGCCCTCAAGAACTCGGAGCAGGGCGCGACCAAGTCGTCGGGCGGTGGTGTCGCACGCGGCCTCGGCAGCAGCGCCGGCGATTTCATATCCCTGGTGAGCCAGCTGCCGGGAATCGGTGGTGGCATGGCTTCCGAGGCGCGCAATCTGAAGCGGATGGCAGAGGACCAGCGGAGGAGCAACGAGATGCAGGGGACGCGCGACGGGACGCGGGCGAACGCCAACGTAGTGCCCGGCATGAGCGAGAACTTCGACCCGGTCAAGGTGTCGAGGCAGATCTACCCCATCCTCGAATTCCGAGACAAGATCGTCAAGGCGATCAACCGGGGGATCTCTAAGGTGCCGGGTCTCGAGAATCTGCTCGAGCACATCAGCGAGACCCTCACCGCCTTCGTCCTCGGCCTGCTGGCGCCCTTCATCCGACCCATCATCAACGCTGTTACCAAGGTGCTCAAGGACGGATCTTCGGGCGTCATTAATGCTAGCGCCCATTCGCAGCTGGAGCCCTGGAAAAATCCCCGTTGCACCGATCCGACGCACTCGATGCTGTCCAAGGACCACTTCACTAACGTGTTAAACCCGTGCGCTGGGCGGGTCGCCGCCGAGATTCTGCAGTACACCGTGCCGTACGTACCCTGCCCCTCGACCCCCCCCCCCTTCCCGCTATGAGCGCGCCGCTAACAGAATGGCTTCTCCCCCCCTCTCTCCAGACGCGTCCTGTACGCTTGGGACAACCCGGGGGTGCCCGTTGACGAGGTTGTAGACGACGTGCTGCACGCGCTGCACCACCCGGCCATCCGAGACGAGCGCATCGAGATCCAGCGCGACATGTTCAAGACGGTGCGCAAGTGGGCGGACGAGTACGGGCGCGGCCACGACATCAACCGCGTGCTCGGCTCCGAATCCGTGCGCAACGGCAAGAACCACAGCCTCACCAGCCAGAACAAGGGCCACTCCCACGGCGGCGGCATCTTCGACCGCGGCTTCGCCGAGCAGCCCGGCCACGGCCGCCCCAGCGGCTCCCTCTGGTCGCAGTGCGCGACGAGAGACCTCGACGCTATGGGCTCGGTCTCGGCGCGCCCTACGTCCTCGCATTCCCCTCAGGGCGGCGGGCGGCCCCCCGCCGCCAGCCCCCCCAGCTACGGCTACCACCAGGCGCCACCCGCCGGCGGCCCGAGCCCGTACCAGGGCCAGCCATATGGCCAGCCGTACGGCCAGCCCCAGGGCTACCAGGCTCCACAGGGCTACGGCGCGCCGCCGCCGCAGGGCGAGGCTGCGTCGTACTACGGCGCCGCGTCGTCGCAGCCGCCCCAGGGCTATCCCGGGTACGGCGCCCAGCAGCAGCCGCCCCCGCCGCCGGGAGGCGGGTATCCGCCCTACGGACACCAGCCACAGTGGGGCAGCGGGTACGGAGGGCGGCCGTATTGAGGGGCGGTCTCATGAGATAGGAGAGATTAGCTGGCGTAGCGTGCAGGTTGCTCGGTGCGGTGTGGAGTTCCTGCGGGGTGGGTCAAGGTAATATGGTAGGGGTCTGTTCTGTAGGCACCGAGGTGCGGGCGTTATGATCATGTACTGGAGGGGGGGGGAACTGGATTCTACTATTTCTAAGGTGTCCTAGCTATCTAGGTTTGGGGCGGAGATGAGGTATGAGATACGGTGATACGTAAAGGCGTCCTGCGAGGAACTCCCTACCTCGACTTATCCGGTGTCTGTTTGGGGGCGGGACGGGACGGGACGTCGGGGAGCAAGGGGTTGTAGGTGCCGGCCCGGATATTGCTATGGACATTATGTGGAACGCGAGGATATGACGAGTCAACGAAAACAACAATAAAGCGGGAGGTATGTATACCTATTGGGGGCATGGCTAAGGGTCTATTTATACCTGTATCTACTACGCGATCGACTTATTCCCCCCTTTTCTCTATCGCTTTCTTCTTCTGCAGGTAATGGAGATCAGAAATCAAAAGCCAATATAAAGTCGCCGCACAAGACTTAATCTTCGCCCAGCAACCGTCCCCTCCTGAACGGCTCCACGAGCTGGAAGTCGACGCGAGGCGGCAGCTCGTCTTGGCTCCAGTACGTCATCGCGTACCTAAGCCAGTGCGCGTACGTCCCCGCTACGTTGTCGGAGCCTTCGTTGTCTCTCCACAGCGAGCCCAGCGTGCAGGGGCATACCCGGAGGATGATGCCGTGAGCGAGCTTGAAGCCGAAGCTACGCTGCAGGCACGCCTCGACGATCTCGCGCGCCCGCCGCTGGTCCGGGGACTCGGCCGCGCCCGGCTCCGGCAGCCGCAGCGACATGAGATCGTAGGCGAGGCGGCCGTCCCAGCCGGTCATCTCGTTGACGAGCTGGGCGCCGACCTTGGAGTCGATGGCGTAGATGTGCTCGACGGCGTACCGCGGGCCGTCCCAGCCGCCCGCGTCGTCGACGAGCCCCATCACCGCGGTCATTACGTGGCCCTGGATGACGTAGTCGGTGAGCATGCGCGAGACCTCGGCGGGGCCGATGCGGACGCCGCCGGGCTCGTCGATGACGAAGGAGCCGCCCATGAGCGGGGCGCCGCGCACGAGCGGGCTGGCGTGCATGCCGTCGGTGCTCGTGCGGCCGCCGTCGGCGGCCCAGAGGGCGAGGAGGAGGCGGTGGCAGCGCTCGAAGAAGGGGTTGGCGGGGAGGGCGGCGAAGCAGAAGTTGGCGAGGCAGCGGGCGTCGCGGTCGGCGGGGTGGTCGCCGCTCATGGCGTAGGCGAGGAGGCGGTAGGGGGAGGCGGGGTCGGCGACGGTGGCGCGCCAGAGGGCGTCGAGGTCGCCGATCTGGAGGAAGCCGGCGTCGGCGTAGACGCCGCCGTGGCGCAGCAGCAGCGGCCAGCGGACGAGGTCGGAGCGGTGCTGGGCGGCGTAGCGGCCGGCGAGCGTGCCGTCGGCGAAGGCGCGCGGGAACAGCGCCGGGTCCCGCGCGTCGACGAAGCGCGCCGCGTGCAGCGCCGACCCGTCCACCAGGTCCACCACCCGCACCGCCCACCCCCGCGGCGCCAGCCGCCGGTGCCACGCCCGCACGTTGCGCCGCAGGTACGCCGCCATCGCCCCGTACCCCGCGTCCCAGAAGAACCACACGTTCTTCGCCCCCGCCACCGGCAGCCGCGCCGTCCCCAGCTCCGCGTCGACCTCCGCGTCCGGCCGCAGGTCGAGCTCCGACGCCGGCAGCGCGTGCACGCCCGCGGGAACGGGGTACGGGTACGGCGGCTCCGGGATGCTGCTGATGCTGCTGCTGCTGCTGCTGCTAGCGGCGTCGGCGAGGGTGCTGCCGGTGCCCATCTTGGTCCGCTGGCTTTCTCGCGGCTGGCCTGGGCGGCTCGAGCGGCGTTTTGGCGCTGGGGTTGGTTGGTGGTAGGCTCTCCGGTTCTATTTTAGTGTAGGTAGGGGTTTGGGTCTGTTAGCGATTCGCGTGCTCAGAGCGAGATACCCAAGTAAACTGTGCTTGGTCTGATGTTGAAGTCGTCGATTTGCTTGCCGCGCCGGCTGCAGGGACGTCTCGTCTGCTCGTCACTCTTATATAGCCTCTTGCCCGTCGCGTCCTACCCATCGTCAACCCACGGTGCGGTCGCCACTGCGTCCGACTCGATGCAACATGCTGGCGAGAATGGGGGACGTGTTTTATGTGTCTACGGCTCTCTGTCTGCACAGCGTGTTGTCGCTTTTGGTTGGAGCAAGGGGGGGCCGTTATCTTCGGGCACTTCCGGCGTCCGAAAGGAGCCAAGGTCCGCCCCTAATCGTGGTTGACTCAGGATGACCGTCATTCACGTGACCGCGGGATGCCGAGCATTAGCGCACCACCCCATGCCCTGCCACACGCGTGGGCGGAAATCGCACCCCTGGCTCCGACGGGATCCCTACCGGAAGGGAGCCATCGATGGGATGCGCTGTGATGGGGGCGGGCGGCGGCTCTGACTAACCCGACTGGCACACACTCAAGGGAGGACGAGCGAGGGGGGAAGTGGTGGTTCACTACGGGGCTCGAGATAAGCGCGCAAAGGAAAACTAAACGCAGGTTTTGGGAGGGCCGACGTTAGGGGTTCCTTGCGGCTCGTGGGAGGGGGAGAGGAGCGAGAGGGGAGTTGAGTGATACTCACGGTTAGGTCTCGTTACGGGTTCTATACCGAGGTAAGTAGGTATTATCTAGGTATGCGGTGCTTGTGTGGGCATTGCTCCGCTGGTCGAACTCCCCACGCTTTCGGCAGTTCCTCGACCGTCATGTCCGACTGCCTCAAGAGGAGCGCCATAATATATCCGTATAGCGCCTCGTGGGAAGATGTAGGTATCGCGAGAAAGCGGTGCCGATAAATTCTTTAGTTGGCGGGACTCGCACCAAGGCGATGGAAACCGTCGGCCAATCAACCGTGGCGGGTTCGTCGTGGTGTGCCCAAATAAGTAAGTGGACTGGGGATGACCACGGAGGTAAGTAGAGAGCATTGGTGATGGACGCGCGGTCGAACGACGTTGTGCTGACCTGTGTAGGATTTAGCTAGGTGGACTTCGACGGCATGGATACCTAGTTGCTCCTGCTAGGCCTTAGGACAACACTATGGGTATTACATTAACGGGTATTCCGCGACGCGATGTCGGTCCCGTCTATGCCTACTTACCTCCTCGAGACACGCTATCGTGGCCACGATGTTCAGAGTACGGCTGGAGAGTCAATTCGATGATGCCCGAATGCGTCGCGACCCGGCGGCCTTGGTTCTAGTGGAGTGGTGGTCATAACGCCATGAGTGGGATATTACACACAGGTAGGTACTGCCAGCGGTAAAGACATCCTGATTTAGCCGCTCTGCCTGGATATTACCTCTCCGGCACAGGCAAGATCTACACGTCTTCGTGGTTTCGACGCGTTGCGGGAAATTGTGAGTAATATCACCACTACGGCGAGGTCTATACACGTGTCCTGCCCTTCGCATCGAGCCTTGGGAAGGCATCACGGGTGCTTGTATGGGAAGGGCCGCGTTCAGCTACGTACGAGCTACGGACCAAGCTAACCTAAAAGCAGCAGACCGGCAAGGTCAAAACGAACGAGATTGTTGGCCGTTTCCGGAGGGGAGGGGAGGATGGGGGGGATGTTTTGTTGTCGTAGCCTTCGCTGCAGAACAACTCGTGTCGATCCAATTCCTTCTACGCCATCCCAGGCAGCGAGGTAAGCCCTGAAACGCGTCAGTATCATTGGCGTCGGGCGGGGAGGCGCGGTGACAGCGGGGGGGGGGGGAACCTACATCCGTCGGTGACCTCGCCGACCATGTCCTTGACGGTGCACCGGTTGGCAGTGGACATGGCCTGCTTCTTGATGGAGCCGCAGCCGTCGTAGAAGCACTCGGACTTGTTCATGGCACGCTGGAGCGAGTCGCCCTTCCAGCCGAACATGTAGTCTGCGTGGGTGCCGTAGCCGCGGGAGCCCTCGAAGCTCCACACGAACGGGTTCGGCGTGCCCGTCGGCCACATGCTGTTGAACTTGGTCGTGTCCCAGACCGTCTCGTACGTCAGCTGCGGCATGCGGACCGGGTGCGACGCCGGGCACGGCGGCGCGTTGGTGAACCCGTCGCGCGTGATCGTGTTGTACATGTGCGACTGGTGGTCCGGGCTGTCGAGGTTCTTGCCGTCCCAGCATCTGCACGCGGGTTAGCTACGGGGGAGCCGCCTTTATCGGTCGAAAGGGGGGGTAAAGAAGCGAGAGAGAGAGAGAGAGGACGGGCGGGCCTACGCGGGAAAGTGGTGGACGGCGAAGATGCCGGCGGGGCAGGGCCGGTCGGGAAAGTCCACCATCTCCGCACCCCGGTTGATCAATGTTTGCAGGCAGTTGTAGCGCAGGCCGATGTGGCGCTGCGCCTGTTCCAGCGAGTTGGTGGTCGGGCTGCCCACCGTCATGCGGAAACCCTAGAGCGGGTTAGAATGCGGGGCGGCGGCGAAAAGGGGGGAAGGGAGACTGGAGGAGAGGGGTGGAGGGGGAACACACGGGCGGAAAAGCCCTGATGGGTTGGTTCTTTAGGTTGTCCGAGAAGAAGTCGTTCTGGGTGTAGTAGATGGTCATCCCGCCGGTGGTGCCGGCCGCGAGCGCGGCGTTGTTGACGACCGGCACGCGGTGGTACGACCCGTTGGTGGGGTGCTTGAAGTACAAGACGGCGGTCCAGTAGTTGGAGAAGTCCTCGGACATCTCGCAGGTCGTGCAAGTGCCCCTCTCGCCGACGTCGCCCTCCATGGTAGCGTTGAAGGCATCGCCGCCTACGATGTGGTGGACGTGGGCGGAGGGGTTCTGGCCCGGCTCGACGACGGGGTCGAGGCGCTGGATGGTCAGCGTCGAGCAGCCAAAGCGGAGGCCGGCATAGGCCGGCGCGACGAGCGCGAGAGCGACGGAGAGCGACTTCATTCTCGGCGGCAGGTTTCTCTCGACAAGTGGAGACTTGGGGAGGGGAGAGAGAGGCTAAGCACAAGGTCCAGCTCGGGCGCCCGCTCGACTCTTATAAGTGCGATGCCGCCGGGACGATGCCCGAGGATTTCATTGCATATCCAGTGCTAACTGCGAACTGCCTGCTCAACATGGGTAGGGGAAATCTATTTCCTGCATATTAAAACTCGCGGGAGTGGAAGGCTGACTGGAAAAGGGGGACGAGGCGGCAAAGATCTGCCCTATAGGAGGGCTGGTTGTCGCCCTCCCTTCTCGATCCCATTTTGCCGGCGACATGGACATTTAATTAGGTGCCCGTACTCGGCTCTTCCGTTGCTTCTGTTTCAGCGCGGCAAATATGCCAGGGGGTAGTTGGGTTCCCGGCAAATACTCGTGGTAGGTAATATTCCCCATCACTTTCCTACACGTACTAGCTTAAAGGAGTATCGTGAGCATGTCAAGCTCTCCGCGTCGTCGCTCATGCCAGCGTGCCTATATTGCAACTCACTTTGTCGATATTAGGCCGGGAGGCATTCCCTACCTAGCTGGGTGCACCCTAGGCTTATACTTGCCAGCACCTTGTTCGGCTGAATCTAGCTAGACGGCCTTTGGTCCTTCTTAAAACTGTCTATTAATCACTCAACCATTTGAGATGCTGAGCCATTCTCACATAATGTTAGCAGTAAAATTAGTAAGTGTGAGTTGAACCCGGATCAGAATAGCAATACGCCGCAGTAGCGTGAAGCTGGAATCGTATAGTATTTGGCCATCCCGACGGTAGACTCTTCCAATGTGGTCTGTTCTCCATCGCGAACTACTATTATGACTCGGCCTATGACTAATTCTTTGCCATGAGTCCCTAAAACATCTGAGCGCGGCCGGCGCCTGATGGCGTTTGCAGAGAAGGTCTTGAAACAATAGGTATTCAATACTACCCGTAGAGAAGAAACCCCCGAGGTTTCTCTTGCTATGTTAGGAGCGATGGCATTGGAGGTAATACCTAATATTAATATGTTAGCGGATGCTTTTTAGGTCGAGGCCGTAATAGTCACTCAGAGATACCCGGAAAGCTAACTAAACGTCCACCTGCTTGACGTCTTACGTATGTAACTTCACGAAGAGTTAAGCGAAGGCCATTAGAGCTACTCTTTCATTGAATATATATAGGAATGAGGTTAATAGTATTACGTAGAGAGCCACCTATATTTAGCTCTCTACTTCTTCACTAGTTGCTCGCTTACCTAACATAGCTCGCAGCTCCCTATTTTGTATATATATGTAGCTCGCAAATCCTTTGTTCATTTTCTTCCTAGTGGGCCAGTAAGTCAACCCAACTTCATTCCATTTTCCATTGCCCCTATAGCAGAGCAGCCTTAGCCCCGTACGTAGCTCTCCCGATTTACGTAATAAATAGTGAACCCATAGTATGTTCAAATATTGAAGTAGAGAGATGTGGACGTGCGTGTTCACCATGACATAAATTGCACAGTAGAAACCATTGAAAACATCGAAGCATCTCCATCCAACCTTTCGTATGCTCGCTTTCAACCTCAGGGGATAGCAACTTCGCCCGACGTGGGGAGGAGGACTTCTTCGCGTCGGGTGTCTCGATAATACCACTCACCCGCCCCGCGTAGGACGCACAACCTCCGCACAGACTAAACCCGGAACAACACCGGCTCATTCGCGGAGACGACAATTGCCGGTGCAATCTAGATTAAAAACGTAGGCGATATGTGTCTGTCATGGAGAGAGTGTGACACGAGACCAGCATAGATGGCACGCAGAAATGGAATTCTCGTGCAGCTCTGCTCCGCCTTTATGACGCGGGGTTACCTCGAGTAGATTGCTCGCGAGAAGCACCCCGGATGCCTGTCAGTAAGCGAGTAAAGCTTGTATGGCTGTTCGTTCGCGCGAGGTTTTCTCGTCCTGCTTGTCGGTCCTAATATTAGCTATTCGCGGCCGGGGGCGCTCGTTCCTAGGGAGAAGCTGACTGGCCGCCCAAGCATCCCCCCCCCCCCGGCAGTCGATGCGGGTCTCTGGTTCGGGTATTACCTTGGTGATGTGCTGTTGGGTTGGGTGGCTAGGTTCTCGGCCCAGATCGTTAGTCGAGATCGGGCCCGACTGCATGATATTCGGTAGCCAGCCCTAGTAAGACCGTGTAGAGACGACTATACCTGATATTAGAGATCTAAACGTAGTGGTGTTGCCACCTGAATTCTCCCTCTGGAAAATTTCCGGATCGCTTTCTCTATCGCTGAATATTTACAGCGCCCACGGGATAATGTGATGAACTGTAGCACCATTGGCGTAATAATATCCCATCGTGACATTGCCATACCTGCCAAGCCATCCTTGGCGTTGAACTAACACACCTGTACAAGATTCTGGGTGATTTCTCGTTCCGTAGTAGCGAAACCATGATTAGTGATAACCTTGTTTACATCGTGATCCGTGTGATGGAGGTTGCTTAGTATCAGATATTAACGCTGCGGAATCGGCCTGACCACGTGTAATATTTCCCTGTGTTTCGGGCATATGGGAAAGCCGGGGGGAGGGGGGGGGGGGCGTCTGCTGGATTGGATAGTGGCATATCATGTGCGCCTCTGTCCTCCCGTTCCGCCCATAAAGTGCGACAACCCATTCCGGGTAATCAAGAAAACAGCCCTCAATCTCTTCGGGTGTAATATATTCCATCTGCAAAATCGGTGATCCAAGTTACATGAAGAGTCCAGTCGGATACCTAAGATAAGGGGATGACGTTTGACCATACCGCTTGAAGTTCTAGCACTCCACCGAACTCGGGAGCCATCAAGCCCAAAACATGGACACCGCTGCTCATGTTGGGGTGAGGTTGAATGACAGCCCGTAAGGAAGTTCTTAAAAGATGAAACAGGAAATAAACGGAGCTTAGGCCATGACCGGATACCTTGCACTGTCGATATTAATGTCTCAGTCTTACCGGTTATCGAGTTCGATGTGTGCATATATAACGTAACGCAGTGTACGACCACGAAGCTTAGATGCGCTGTACCCGTGTTACTAGCCGTCGACGAAGATCTTAGAAGTAACCGGGGTATCTGCCGTCGCGGTATGTCGAGTGCGTCACTTTCACCAAGACGCCCGGGACTCCCCTGGATGAGGCCGTCTACGCTGATCAGGCACTCCCACCCCATCAAAGTTAGACGCGATCATTGAATCTAGCCATCTTCAAAGCGATTACATCATATTCCCTAAATACCATAGGCTAATAAAGTCGTGTAATACAATGCGATTTTAGAGGGCCGAGGCTCTGTTTTTCGTTCGGCTTTTAAAATGTAAACCCGACATGTCTGAACCCAATTGACGAATATCTCTAGTCGCTTCTGCCTGCATCGTACCGCATAGGAATCTACGAAGAGGATCTAGCCCGACCGAAACTAGATATCCTTGCCCATCCCGAAGAAGAGCTAAGCATGGGGAAACTAAATAGACTTTCGACTTGACTATGGGTCGCGGGACGGTCCATGCCGCCCCACCCATTAGTACGCTATCAATATCTGCTCGGTTCATCTATAGTGAGCTCCGTCTGGGTCGGCTCGACATATTGTCCCGCCTTTCGCAAGACGCCTTTCTGCATGGCTACCTACCGCGCTGGAAGTAATACAGGGACTTCTTTCACGACAACTCTGCGTGGCTGGCTTCGGCAACCATATATATCGCTCTTGTCTTGATGGCCACGCAGGTGGGGCTTGCAACCGAAGCTCTCGCGGAGAACCGAGCCTTCAAGTTGGCATCCTATGGATTTACCGCCTTCTCCATTATAGGTCCTCTCGCTGCGGCCAGCCTAATTGTCTTCAGGGGCTGTTCTATCTTTGTATATACCCAATTTCATCGTGAAGGTGGCCTATAAGAGAAAACGTGATTCAGGGAGGCTTTAAATTGTTTACTGTAGTATTGTAGTAGGACTGGCCCTTGTAGGGTTTCACGTAATATTTTTACCCTTTATTCTTCGTCGTTTAATCGTTATCTACTATCGCTACGTAGGTCTCTAGATAGTCATAGACTTCTTTGATCGCCATCCTCGTTATCATGTCTTCGTACTTGCCGTCCCCTTCTTAGTCTTCTTTCTCTCTCCCAGCTTCCGTCTACAGCTGGCTGATTACTAGATACGGCTGCCACGCTGCCGCTGCCACTGTCTTATCCTGTAGATCGGCACCTGGTCCAGTTGGTAGTAGCTGTGGCTATTTTCTATCCACCCTACAAACAACAGCGTACCCACACTATTCATCTTCAGTGGCGACCACCTAGTGTCTCTAACCTCAACCCCTTGGTCTCAGGGGCGATCTTTCCGTCCGAACAGGTTTAGGATACGCCGATCAGGAGGACCCCTGTTTTTCGGCCAACTAGGTCTTTTTTTCGTGACTCTAGAGCCGTTTCGTGCCCTTGAGGTCTGGGTGGGTCGATAGGGAGAGCTGATCACAATGGCGACCATCGTTTCTTTCCTAACTTTCTCTTTCTCCCCCAGCCACCATTTACAGCTGGCAGAGCACTGGATACAGCTGTTATCCTGCTGGCAGGCACCTGGGTCAGCTGTTGGCAGCTTCGGCGGTTTCCTATCCGCTCTACCGCGTGCCCACGCTGTTGCTCTTCGTTATTCGTAACTGATTGCGTATTAAATATATCAAGATATAATAAATATGCATTACTCTCATTAACTACTCTCATAGCACATTACGTAGATCGGGAGAGCTACGTAGTAACTGAGGTTGCTCTGCAGTAGGAGCAACGAAACGTAGGAAGAAGAGGATGAATTGACTAACTAGCTAACTAGGAAGGAAATGAATAAAGGAGATACGAGCTACCTATATATATACAATAAAGAGCTACGAGCTATATTATATAAGCGAGTTAGGAGTTAGGTTAGGTAAGCGAGCAACCAGAGAAGAAGTAGAGAGCTATGTATAGGTGGCTCTTTACGTAACATATAGGGAAAGCCTTATTATGGTTTATGAGCTTGTTGACTTGCTTAAAGCTAATCTGGCTTACCTTGACAACCTCATTCGTCTTCTGGACAAAGTGCAGCACTCCTGACAGCGACTCTCGTACTGGCGCCCTTGCAGTCTGCGGCAGGCAAATGCGGCGAGTCTGAGTGGTAACAACTGATCTTGCCTCTGAACATAAGTCCTTCCTCGGCGAAACCCGACTCTCTATGTACTCTGTGCTCGAAGTTGGGCGGAAGCTGGCTCTAGTCGGGCACGACCATCCAATCTTCTTCGGCTTCTATGAAGCCACCAGCACTTGGGTTTATTTCATAAGGGTCCACTTTCCTCCCTATTTCCTCGTCCCATAACAAAGAACTTCCGGTTAAGGCTTCAGAAACAAGTGTCTTGCTTGTTCTTGCCATAATATGCTTGTCGAAACAAGTTACTGGGTGCTTTTCTTGGCTTGTCTAGTTGTCTGGTCAGGCTTGTTCCAAAAGGGTTTCAAGGAACCCCCGGGCCCGATCTCCTATCTCTACCTCTCGGCCCGTAAGACGGGTCGTACAAGCCGCACCACAATCGCCGAGCCACCGTTCTTTAAGCCACAGTACTACGACAATCTGACCAGCCCAACTAATTCCCTAGGTATATCTTACCCCAACCTCTAATTGGATTAAACGATAAACTCGCTTTATACTCCCTATTCATTATAAGGGATTTGGAAATTTCCCCTTAAATGCATTTCTGGCCACAGTCCGAAAGTGTGCTTAATTAATTCTTTTTCTTCATTAAAAGCTACCTGAGGAGAGCATCCAGTACTATAATACATTATGCTGGTGGTGGTGGTAATCTTGGTGGTGGCAGTCTTAGCGGTGGTGGCAGTGGTGGCGGTGGTAGCGGTTAGTGATTGCTCAAGGAATCGAAAAGACGACGAGCCAATGGAATCTTTAGAAGGCCGCGACCAGCTTTGGGGTGAGGTATTAGGTATTGGGGATTAGTTGGGCAGGTCTGCGACCTCAGCCCGACCACCAAGGTCAGCGGGGCGAAGACATCATCAAGACCATCAATATATCACCATTCTGCATCACTCTTATCATCACTTGCGCTTTGCTCCTCAGATTCACAGACTCGCAAAATGTGGCTTCTCAACGTCAAAACACTTGAGCTGGAGGAATTTGTTGGCGACAATATCCCGGACTACGTCATCCTCTCGCACCGCTGGGGCTCGGACGAGGTGTCATTCGTTGATATGAAGAAGCCAAAGTACCGAGAGCCCGCTAAGCATAAGGCCGGCTTCGCCAAGATCGAGAGATGCTGCCTGCAAGCTCAGAGTGACGGATACGCGTGGGCATGGGTTGATTCCTGCTGCATCGACAAGCGCAGTAGCGCCGAGCTCTCGGAGGCCATAAACTCCATGTTTCAGTGGTACCAACGTTCCAGCCGTTGTTACGTCTATCTTTCCGACGTTCCCAGTGGAAGCGAGGCCCTTCCGATGTTGAGGAAGAGCGGATGGTTTACACGGGGCTGGACTCTCCAGGAATTGCTAGCGCCTGAGACAATCGTTTTTTTCGCACACGACTGGATTGCCATCGGCTACAAGGAGAGCCGGAGAAGACACGAAAACAGGCGGGTTTCCAGTCTCAGGGGCGTTGAGTGGGACGGCCGATTTCTATGCCCCAACCTTGCGGTTGAACTGTCAGGGATAACGGGCATCCCCACGGAATTTCTGGTGGGGGATCAAGATCTCGGGCAAGCATGTGTAGCACAACGCATGTTCTGGGCTTCTTACCGAGAAACGACAAGAGCGGAAGACCGCGCTTACAGTCTGATGGGCTTGTTTAATGTCAACATGCCTATCCTCTACGGAGAGGGTTTGGAGAAAGCCTTCACCAGACTGCAGCGCGAGATAATGAGCAAGACGCCCGACCAGAGCATCTTTGCATGGTACCGTTCAGATGCAACTTCTTACCGCTTGTTGGCAGAGTCACCCGATTGTTTTCGAAATTCGGGTACGGTAACGCTAGGGCCGAGAGGATCGCCCTCACCGAGGATAACGCCGAAGTGGTCCTCATTTTCCATGACGAACCTTGGGTTACGTGTTACACTGCCAATCACCCCGATTCGAGGCAGCGACGCATTTAGCCCGGGAGACGGCACATTGGCTGTGTTGAATTGCCTTTTCAGCGAGGATAACGGCACTCGACGGAATATCGGTCTTAATATCCTTTTTCTAGATCGCGACTTGGAAGAGTGCCCCATCTTCGTGTGTGATAGGCCTTGCAGATGGACCTTAATTGGGGGGGAGATGCGTCCCATGGACATGCTCTTGTGCGGAAACGACTACATCTCGGATCTGCCAAAGAAGAAGATCGCCACGCAGGCCGGTATCCCGGAACCCAGAAGTATTGAGTCTCAGCTTCTGCACATACTCGCCGATGAGACGGGCTTCAGTCGTGACGATATAACAGACGAACATGTTCTCACTGATCTAGGCGTTGACTCGCTTATGAGGATCATAATCGTTGCCAGAATCCGCAACGAGATGCAGTTGGACCTAGGCATTAGGCTCTTAACTGGTGACCCATCCATTAGAGCTATCAAGCGTTATCTCGGTATGGTGCCATACGTCGTAGGGTGAGCCCTGACTGTATCCAATCCAGTTCCCCGTTGAGGTTTTACCCGCTCCCGGAAACCGAAAAGGCTCTCACCGTTACGATAGTCTTCACCGGCCGGGGAGTCCAGTGGCCCGGAATGGCCAAGGAGCTCATGGACGACTACCCATCTTTTAACGACGACATTCTCTTACTTGGCGCCATCCTTGCCGGGCTTAGGGAAGCGCCGTCGTGGGATCTCTGAGAGGAGCTGCGCCGGCCGAATGAGTTGAACAGTTGTGCCTAGCCGGAGCTCACTAAGTCGTCGGTATGTGCCGTCTAGGTGTCGCTGGTGAACCTGCTGCGGAGATGGGGCATCCGGCCTGCAGCCGTGGTGGGTTGCTCGAGCCGGGAGATTGCTGCTGCGTACGCGGCGCAGGCGATCACGTCGGCGGAGGCCGTTATTATTGCGTGCTACTGGGGCTATGTTGCCAAAGGGCACACCCGTCCAGGTGGTATGGCGACCGTTGGCCTCGGGCGAGAGGACGCTGCACCGTATTTGATGCCAGGGGTTGTAATTGCGTACGAGTATAGTTTGCTAGCCGTAACGCTCTCGGAAGACAGACGCTCTAGAGGCGGTGTGTGAAGACATTAATAAAACCCAACGGCCAGACTGCATAGTTTCCGAAACGGCCTATCGTTTCCGTACGTATCTTCTCATCGTGACGAATCACGTCTACGACACTCTCTTGAACTAACACTGATCTAAACTTGGATCACATGCTAGACATTGGAGGATCCCTCCAGTCGTTCCTTGGCGAGAAGGTAAACAGCAAGGCTCTAACTGTTCCTTTTTTTCTAGCGTCAAGGCAAAGGCACTGTCCTCCTCGGTCGTTCTGGATGCGGCATACTGGCAGGAAAACATAGGGAGCCCCGTGCTCTTCGATTCGGCCGTCAAGCGCTTACTCAACAAGGAGTCTTCCGAGAAGCTCTTCCTCAAGATCGGCCCCCACAACACGATGGTCTCGCCACTTTATTAGATCCTCCAAGCTTGTGATCGGACCGCAGACGTCTACGTCTCGACGCTAATCCGTAGAACAGACTGCGCAGAGTCTGTGCTCACGATGGCCGGCGAGCTGTACCGAAACGGCGTCTCGGTGGACTTCTCCCAGACCGCGCCGGCCGGTACCTGCTGAGCGATCTTTCCATCTACCAGTGGCGCTGCAGTCAACTAAGCCATGAGGAAACAATAAAGTTGTTGCGCGAAGAGCTATCAACCTAACAGCTACCTATCTCCGGGTATATACAGGAGGCGAGAACAAAGAGGTCTATCCCCTATCGCATATCTCTCCCTCTCCTGTCAACCAATAGACCCAATGGCCCTACCTAGATGGCAATGGCCAGAGCTGACACCTTCATCAACCAGCCTTTACGCCGTTGTTTGATCCCCGCCGCTCCTCGCTGTCAGAGCGTCCCTCAGCTTAGACAGCGCCTCGATGATAGTCGCTTCCCGCACCCGTTCTCTGGGCCCGGGGAACCGAAACGGACCCCACGCGCGACTCCCCTCAGGCGACGCGATGCCGATGAACACGGTCCCGACGGGCTTCCCATCCTGGGAGTCCGGGCCCGCCACGCCCGTGGTTCCGATGCCCCACGTAGCCGGGCTGCCGTCGAACGCGGTCGCGTTCCTCGCGCCTTCTGCCATCTGCGCCGCAACGTCGGCGTGGATGACGCCCTCCCGGGCGATGAGCTCCGCGCTGACGTTGAGCAGCAGCTGCTTGAGAGGGGTCGCGTAGGAGACGACGCCGCCGCGGAAGGCGGCGCTGGCGCCCGGGACGGACGTCAGCGTCTCCATGACGCCGCCTCCCGTCAGCGACTCGGCCACGCCGACGGTCTCGTTAGCCGATCTCAGCAGGGAGATCACGTCCGTGGCGATATCAAACAGGGTTTCGGTGCTGCGGTCGATATACTGGAGGTCGACGGCGGCCATGATTTTGTCCTGTTCTGGTATTTATCTCGTAGATCGAATATAGGGATATGGTATGGACGGTTGGGCTTTTTCTTTCCGAGATGTCTTGTGACAAGTTGAGGCTGCTTTCTCGATGTGATTGCAGATGAGGTTTTCGAGACGGCCGCGGGTGCTTATATACCTCCTTGTGTGGGTACCTAGGTAGGCAACACCTCCCGGGCGTCAACTAATACTACTACTAGGTAGGCAACAGCATTGTCCTAGTAGGGGGTTGGTTTTTACGCCCCCAATCTCGCCCATGCGACTTGAAGCGCGAATTACGATCGGCCTGTTGTGGTGACTGGGTACCCGTCAGCCTAACTCATGTATGTTGGGTTGGTGTTGCATGGGCGTTCCGCCTACGACCAGCTGATTCATTGGCTGCCTTGGCTTGGCTGCGGTTTAATATGACAAGCGCCTGCGCCGTGGCTTTGCATCAGGCACATCGGTGGATATCCTAGGTAGGCATAATAATACTCGGCTGTGCAAGTTTACAACCAACACAACGATCGTAAGCCAATGAGTCAATTTAGCGGCCAATAATATGTACCTATAATAATCACTTACTGAAGAGACGACGTTAGGGGGACGGCATGCTAGCTTCGGCTCCGATTTTCGAGAAAGCATACTGCTAAAGACGCGTGGGCTTCAAATGCTCAAGACTTGGAGAGAATGGACGAAATGGAGTATAGGATTGTTGATGAGGCAAGGATAAGGAGGAATGTGGAGCCTAGATTTGACGGGCACTTCACAACCCTTATATCCTTAGCTATATTGGAATAAAAATCTTTGAAACTCACGTGGCTCGGATGCAGCTGTATGTTTCTGCATATTATTCTAGAAGAATACCGCGAGATGGAGATGGCTTCTGTTGCGTAAGATGGCCAGCTGTATGCACATTTGCATTTTACACATGTTAATCTTAACTTCCCCTTAGGCTCAACATCAAGGACAGGAAATGTGGTGTTTCCCCAGACATCGTCAGGATCATCCAAGACCTTCGGAAGAATCACGTAGCTATTGCTATCGTCTCTAGGAACACCAATAAACGCCTGTGTGTCTATCGTGGATACATACGTGACAGCATTTAACTCGGTACTTCAATAGGACTGATCGGGCCCTTTGGTTCATTAACATTAAGGATCCCAAAGATGGCCAGGTGAAACATATGACGAAGCTAATCAAATTCAACGACGAATAGGATGGTATACTACGGCTAACCCATTATAACTCCGTACGCTGACGTATTTTAGTCTCAAAAATGGAACATTTTGAAAGAACTCCGGGCTGGAGCCAGCAAGAGTTTCACGATATGGTATGGACCTTACATCCTTTACGCCACTCTTTTAAAAACAGAAGCACTAGATCTTATTTGATGATAAATTTGAAAATGTGGATGTCGAACTATGGCAAGGCAAGATTGGCGGTTCCTGTTTGATGATATACCATTAAAGCTCATACTATTCTTAGGTGATACCTTTTCAAAGGTAGATGGCAACGTCGGTATTACATGGAACGATTATAATGCCGGACTTGACCAATGGCGTCGCTACGAATCGATTCGAAATAAAATACCTGGCAGCAGACTTGAGTCTCCCAGGGTGAAACTGATTGGTTATGTCGGAGCGGACCAAGCCTCGGCCATGCGATATGCAAATGGAGAGCGACGTTTGAAAAGTAATCGTGCATCGCGATGGGGTCACGGCATGTACGTGGCAGATAATCCACACATGTAAGTCATCACACTCCCTGATACTATCGCTTGATTCGAAATAACACGTTATTGACCTGTCCAAGCGCCGAGTTTTTCTCGAGAGCCGGAAGAGCAGACCAGCCTCAGAACCAGTACGTCGTTGCACTTTATACACGAGACTGGCGTACATTTGAAAACATTCCGAAGGTAATCGTTTCCCTTATATTTCACCTACCCCCTTATCATCTTATTGACATGTCTCGCTACTTAGGTCTGGGTTCCAGAACGCGGGACGTTCCACCAGATCAACAACTTGAACCAGACGGATGAGAAGACGGCCGAACGCCAAGACAGGCTTGACAGGAAGATCATGGAAAAGTTCCACGTGAAAAAGCCATTTATTCTCTTCTCCAGGCACCATTACATGGAGGGCATGACGTTTCTGAGAGACCAGCAGAGGTTCAACGAGATGGTCTTATATCCGCAGGTCCAGGACGCCTTGTTTTTCGGGGAACCGTTTCCAATTGCCCAAGCCGTCGCCAAAAGGGAGCAGGGGGAATGGAAAGAAGGGAAATGGCATCGTTATCTGAGAGAACTGAACATCAAAGTAATTGCAGAGACGATGGAGGACTTTAAGGAACACAATGAGAAAGTGGGAAATGTGTAGGTATTATTAGTACTGGCGTGAAATGGTCTGGGGAGGTTTCTGGATGTGGGTTTCAGGTACCGGGATTCTCGCATGTATTATGCGCTGGTCGCATATTATAACAATTTTGATTGATTCAAAGGTCTGCAAATGTGTGCTTCTCGGCTGGTCCGCTTCCTGTGATCCCAATACCAGTTAGTAATCAACTAGTATGCGAATCTTCAGGATGCTGAACCTGGCTGCCGTTCATGAGGAGGATAAATAGGAGCTAGAACTGCTAACCGACGGACTTATAGGTATACAGCTCCTTTTATAGTGAATATCGGCTTGGCTCTTAAGGAGCTGTGAATAGGCAATCGACCACAGGCCGCCGTTTGATTACGTTCCCGAGTAATTGTAAGGTTGATGAATCAGGATCCACGTATGTAGCTACGTATCATTGTATTTAGGGTAGCACGTGATACTAAATGCCTCCAGGATACTTGGGTACCTGATCCTTATCTTTTTATCTCTACATGCCTATGTACTTTATGTGTAAATGTGGACGTACGGGTATGATCACGTGCGACCGCAGGGATAAGCCCCGCCACAGGAACATCTACGAAGGCCTCCGAATAGCTTCAATTCAAGCCACCTGAACCTCCCTAGATTTCCACAGTAAATCATTTATACCCTATCTATCGTGATGGTAGATTTTCATCAAGCTCGTCGCCTGCCAGTGCTTTCAAGCCTCCCAAACGAAATTCTTTCCCTTATTTTGGGCAATTTCTGTTTGCACTGTCGCGAGACGGAGGACACACCACATGCCTACTTCCAAAACACTCAGCGCCAAAGCGGGCAACCATCGTGGTATTCCTTAGATAGCAAAGCATTACATTCTACTTGCCTAGTGTCCAGAAACCTTCGCGATGTTGCGCAACCAATCCTCTACCATCAGTTCATTCCTGGATACGGCGACTGTTGGGGATCAGCTCTATCGGTGTGGTCCCGGCGCCTCCTCCCTTTTGTCCGAACAATAACACTTCGCCCCGACCTGGCTGGCATGGTTCAGAGGCTTTACTTTGATATCAACCTGTTGCACGCGGTCACGAACGACGAGGTCGAGGCTGTATTGGGGCAAGCTATACAACCACATGATTTTCTGTCCGACTTTCTCGGCCCTTTCCGAGACATGTGGCCGTCAGGTTTTGGAACGTCGTACAGGCCTTTCGGTGATGAGTTGGCGGCGTTGCTTTTGGTCTATCTCCCCAACCTCACTTCCCTCAGTCTCACGGGAATGACCCCTCGCAGAAGTATTCCCTCGTCAGCACTGAGGGCTGCCGGTGTTTCCAGCCTTCGTATCCGGACCATTGATCTCCTTGGATCTGGAAGAGACTTGGGCTACCGTTTAGATGGCATTCTCGAGACGGCTTCATCCACTTTAAGAACGCTTAATCTCGACTCTTGCACATCTACTGAGTTGCATAGTCTAGCCCGCCCTTTGCCAAACCTACAAAATCTTCGTTTTACTAATAGCAAACTTGGCTTTTCATGCATCGGACTACCATTTTCTAATTGTATGGGGCTCGAGACTTTCGTTTACGATGCCGGTAAGTCTTTCATAATCCCCAAAGGAGAAAAAAACCTTGTAAACATGATTACGAGGAGCCTGCACAGCAGGGAGCGCCACCTTTTTTATTTTCAAATTATGACTCTCATCACTGATTCCGGTTCGTGCAGTTTGTGAGGCCGACCTACCACCCGGTACCTTCTCCATGGAGAGGAGGGAAACCCACGGTCCTTCTCTACCAACTGACACCTTCGAGCTTCTCAACAGGAATAGAGAAACCATCAAAACACTACGTCTCGATCTTCGATTTGAGCAGAATGCTCCATTCAAGGATGAAAGAAACATCACGGAACAGATCCCCAGTTTACGGGGATTTCCTGTCCTCCAAAATTTACAAATTAATTCCGTGTTAATATACAGCACCGTGGACGAAAGGCCAGAAGATTGCGGTATTCTGGTGCAACTACTTCCTCCGTCCCTTGTTTCGCTACACATGGCCGAAACTATAGGTGGTCGGCTAATGCCACGCTTGGTGAAGGGCCTCCTCAATCTCGCAGAGACTGTTTTACAAGGGCAGTTCTCCAGACTGAAAGAGGTTAAATGCGATACGGAACAGCGATTGGATGATTACGACGTGGGAGAGATGTTTGCCAAGGCAGGGGTAGACTTTGGGTACGAAACTTGGCCGTTCAGCCACAATGACTAGAAGGGAAATGTCCCTAGGCTAAGCTAGGGCACCCCTTCACGGGCCACCCCTTTACGGACTACCGCGTTAGGACCTACGAACGCGCCTTTTAACGCGACGCCCTTGCTTGAATAACCTATAATTTCTCGGTTAGTTTTAATCTTTAGTAATTCCTTTTATTATTAATCTCTTCCTAATTTCTTACTAATTAAGATAATATCTTTAAAAGAATAATAAATCCGTACGTAAGCCGCTATTCGGAAGGTAATATACGGTACTAATATCCGATAAGCTACCCGTTTATATAGCGTCCCTCGTTCCTACCTAATACGCCGTTTCGCCGGTAAACTAACGAAACAAGAGCTAAATAAGAATCGGTAGGCTTTATTACTAATCTTAAAAGCTAAATTAATTCGTTAGGCTATTTCGTAAGCTAGGTTAAGCTTTACGCCGGCCTTTATTTAATTTAAGTTTATAACTGAACGCTTATTAAACCCCGACGGCGGCTCTAAAAAGCTAAGGAAGTATTAATATTACCGGTTTTTAAAGCGAAACCCGGAGGTTAAGGCCTTTACGGCTAAAATCGTCGATTATAAGCAGATTAAGGGCGCTACGGCGGTAAATATTAACCTTTTTTTCGACCGATTAAAAGCTCCCGAATTATTAGCCATCCTTCCTAAGCGCTTCTTTAACGCCGACGAAATAAGTATCGCATAAGGCGTTACCGATAATTACTAGGTAATTTCTGAAGCTAATACCCATATAGTGTAGTGGTACGGTGGATCTAGGCTACGTAGCCTTTTCGATGTATATTTATATAGGTCGCGTACTTATATTTTCATTAGTTAGACTTAAACATATAGACATTATAGCCTATAGCCATTTATTCGTTTCTTACTATGCCTTTCTAGCTATCCTTTTCCTTGCCTTTTTCCAGTCTCCCTTTCCTAGCTGCCGTTTTTAGCTGGCCGATTAACCGATTATAGCTATTTATAGCTATGATCTTAGTTGATCGGTACTAGGCTAGTTATTAGTAGTTAGGTAGCCCTTTTCGTGCCTCCGTTAGCGTGCCTACGCTGCTCCTGTTCAGTGGCGACTACCTAGTAGCCCGAGCCTTACCTCAGCCTTAGGAGCGACCTTTTGCGCCCGTTTTTATAGTTAATAGGTTCATAATATAACGATCAGGAGATTCCCTGTTTTTCAGTTAATCAGGAGTTATTTTCGTAGCTCCAGAGCCGTTTTCGTGGCTTTTGGTCAGAATTTTCAGGTTATAGCTTTTCAGGTCAGGATTAATAGGGAGGGCAGATAACTATGGCGACCATTAATAACTACGCCCTCCTATTAGCTTCTAATTAGCTTACCTGAAATCTCGTTCGCCGATTAGTGGATCTATCCTATCCTCGTTTCTTAATTATCTCTTTTGAAGGAGCTGTGCCCGTTTTCGTCTGGTTTTGCCTCCTTCGTTTTTCAGTGCCTAGATGGCCGTTTTCTCAGTTGATCTGACACCGTTACCGCTACCACCCCCTTTTTACAACCTCGCACGCGTTTGAAGGCATCCGTTCTTTTACCGATCGATCTATTTCAATTGCAAGAGGCTTACCGATAGCTCCGATTGCCCTTGTTTATCCCAGCTAGTTACGGCACCTGGGGAGGTTTCTCCTTAACCGATAAGGTGCCACGATGCCCTCAATTACCACACGAAGATACCGACAGACCTTATACCCACGAACCTGATCGGGGAACCTACCGATCAGCGCGATAGACCTACAGACGATACCGCGATATACGAATTGAATAGATATTAAATAAGAAAGCCCAGGAAAAACAGTCACCAGTCATAGAATAGTCAGGTTAATGCCCGGAGACCCCTCTTATCGCCCTTACCGATATGTGGTTAGTAAGAAGAGCCAGAGCCCCTAGAACTACGTACAGGGGAGGGATCGAGGGTTAAGGGAAGCCCGGTAAATACTGCCGGACGAATAATAGTTAGATACGAGTTAGAAACGGAAATAGTCGGGCATAAATAGGATATATTAGTCAGTTTATAGGATCAGGATTAGTTGAAAAGGATCGGCAATAGCTATGAACGAGAAGGACGGGATCACGTTACATCAGATTTTTCACGGGATTGTTTCTTCGTTTCTTACGGGAGCTACGCTTATTTTACCTACCCGTTGCAGTTCCTATTTTCCGATTAATCCCTGTTATTTCTTAGTAGCCCTAATGAACCTAGCTCGCTCCTAGTTAATTAGGGTTAATCAGGAACAGGTTAATCAGGTTAGTTTACAGGTTATAGCTCCGCTAGCCCAGTTATTCTTGTTATCAGATCTTTCCTATTTCCTATTAATCGTTAATTAAACTGGCTTAGCTCCTAGTTAGCAGCGATTGAATAGGTTCGGGATTAATTAGGTTTAGGTTCAAGATTAGGCACGGTTGCAGTCACCCACCCCACCACCCACTTATTGCAGTTGCAATTGTCTCCCGTTGTTTCAGGATCAACCAGAGACCTACCTGACTTATCCTGTTGGCCTTTGATTAGACTGGCTAGCTTTTAGTTGATTAGGGTTAATCGGGATTAGGTTGATTAGGTTGTTTAGGTTCAACAGGAACGAGAGCCACCGTACCTGTTGTTAGGAGTTTAATTACTCCTTACGGATTAATTAAACTAGGGAGGCTATAGTAGTACGGTAGATCTAGGCTACGTAGCCTTTTCGATATATATTTATATGGGTCGCGTATTTATATTTTTATTAATTAGACTTAGATATATAGATATTATAACTTATAGCTATTTATTCGTTTCTTATTATACTTTTCTAGCTATTCTTTTCCTTGCCCTTTTCTAGTCTCCCTTTCCTAGTTACCGTTTTTAGCTGGCCGATTAACCGATTATAGCTATTTATAACTATGATCTTAGGTTAATCGGTACTAGGCTAGTTATTAGTAGTTAGGTAGTCCTTTTCGTGCCTCCGTTAGCGTGCCTACGCTGCTCCTGTTTAATAGCACTTAAGAAAGGCGTCGAAAAAGGTTAACAAATTACTACTCTTAAGTATATAGGCTTCGGCGGAAAGCCTCTTCCTCCTTTAATACTTTTTAAGGGTATCGACGTTTAAGCTTAATAGTTTCCTAACGATTCTTATAATCTTTAGGAGAATTAACGGTTTTAAGCGTTACCTAAAGGATAAACTAATAATAACATCGCGTTAAATTAACTTATAGGTATTAAGGAGGAGCAGAGCGTACGCGATACTAGAGACCCGGATAGGTTTATTCGAAAGTATACTCTATCGAAGACTATAGTACGTACGATGGTCTAAAACGGATAAAACTAATATCGCTATATTAATCGAAAGGTAAGGAATCTAATGTAATTATCGTATCTTAGCTATGCCCCTTAATCGTAGAGATATAATAATCGCTAGCCCGAAGGTATAAGAGGTAAGGAAAGAAAAGAAGCAAAACGTAAAAGTTACTTATTCGGCTATAGCGGTACGACGAAGTAACTTAAGCGCTTATAATTAAAATAGATATACTAATCGGAGAACGACGAATCTAATAGCAAAAACGAATCTTTAATTAAGGTAAAAATAGTAAAGATAATAATCTAGCTAGGTAATAAATTAAATAATAAGTATAGCATCTTCTATACTTACGGGAGTTATGGTTACTTTATATAGGTATAAGGCCTATCGTAACGTATTACGTAATATATTAAGAAGGTATATCTTATCGTATTACTATAGCCTCCTTAGTTTAATTTTACCGTAAGGAATAATTAAATTAAAAAGGATAGTACGGTATATCCCGATTAATATCTCCCCTTAAAAACTACCGCGAAACTTCATTCTACCGGCTATTATTTAATTATTACCGTCGCGTCTTTAGCTTCTCGTTTAATATTATAAGGAAGCCCTTCTATTACTTTACGGCTAACTTAGCCCGGTTTACCCTCGCCGATCTAACCCGATCGGCGTTCTCTTTCTTTATTTTAGTTACTTTCTTTTTAATTTCGTCCTAGCCCTCTTAATTAAAGGAATAGCAGAAGAACGGGCGCGTCTTAAGGATTAATTAGGTATTTTCCTTTTATTTATACGGTATAGAGGTCTCTCCTAACTAAAAAGCCCTAATCCTTTCTGGTCCGGGGAAAGGAAGGAGGCGCGTTATAACCTTAACGAGGTTATTATAACGGAGGTTTACGTCCGTTAATACTAAGAAGTAAGGGGAGTTAGGTACTAAGGCTATAAAGGAACGGCGGACTTCGGCTTACGTAATAAACCGAACAAAGGATTTACGGCTAAGGAACTCGCCGATCGGCGTATTTTACGCCGAGGCTATAGCGTTAATAAGGTTAATTTACTTTTAATAATCTACGGCTTACCGGAAACGCTTAACGATACCTACTTTTCCCTTTAAAACTCGAACGCTATAAAATTACTCTACTACTTCGGCGTACTTTCTTATAATATTAAGGAAATCGAGCCCCTTATTCTCTAAGGCCTAACGCGCGATTTCGATCGGTCGTTTAAAGATAAGATACGGTAAAATACCGCTTTAAAAACCGTAGCTATAGCTATCTTATTAGTTTATTAACGCGATATAATAAGTAAACTAAGGGGTTATGCCGGGCTCGAAGCTATCGTCTTCCTAGGCTCGCTATAACTAGCCGAGCGCGTACGCCGCCTGATCGAAGGCGCCGTCCCTAACTATATCAAAACTATATAGTCTCCGGAGCTTAGGGAAGTATAGCGTCGGTCTCTAAGTACTCGGCTAGGAACGCGTTTTTAGGCCTATATACGCTATTAAAGCGGCCTAGGGTATTAATGGTATTTAGTTTTTCTAATCGCCGAGTATAAGGCTTAGTAGCGTATCGCTTCTTAAGTTAATAACGAAAGGGATTATTATCCGGGCCGAGCTAAAGTTAACGGTTCCTATAAAGGTACTTCCGTCGAATTCGAATTTTATACTAGACTAGAAGATAAAGTTTATACCAAGTAATAAAAAGTAACTAACGAACCTATCTTTAACGACGTAAATCGATAAGCGAAGGTAATAATCGGTAAGCTAAATAGGACCGTCGATTATTCCTATATATAAGGTCTTTATAGAGGATCTAAAACCTTGCTATATCGCCTTAATACCGGTTATAGGAA